TTCTTACACCACGCTCTTGTTTACCATATAACGGTCCGGCGTGCGGTTGCCAGGGGCGACCCATTATGAGGTGCGAAGGAGCGCCCGCTGGCAGCACCGATCGGCAAACACTTCTTGATCGTCGTCCGTCGATTGGGAGTCCGTCGATCAATATTTGGACCGAGTCTCAAGAAGGTACCAAAAGGTGTTTACCGTCACAAAATAAAAACCTGTCCGTATGTCCTGTTATTCTATAGAAATTTGTTTTAATAATAAATTGTAGAAGAGTTACGATGGATAACAATTTAAGGACTATGTTGTGAAGTTAAATCATTTTGCTAGTAAAAGTTTTAAAGAAAACATCCGGAAAAATCAAAATACACCTGTAAAAGCCATTAACTTGTTTATAGGTATTTAGCATAGATCTCAGACCATCGTCTGATTTGGTCTGAACTTGGCATAAACGAGGAAACTGCGACGTTCTTGTGCTTTCGATATACTTTTCAACGCATGGGGATCTGCAGATGCTTCTTAAAACAATTCGTTGCTGTATTTTTGTTAGCTCTGTATTTGTGTGTGATCGTGTTATTACGATTCGAAGGACAACATCAAGAATTTCCTTCAGAAAAGGGATTAAAATAAGATGCTTACTGCTGAAACCATAGATGTGGTGCTATATAATTTTATCCCATGTTTAAATAGGTGTGCGGCCACAATTGTGCCAGTTGGGAAGGGGGGGGGGCTGACGTCACTTTTCTACTTCCTAGTTTCTATTTTTTTTGCTAGCAAACAAAAACATTGAAAGAGACATCCACTGGTGGATTAAAATGATAATATATATTTAATTTATAAATTCAACGAGACCAACTCGTTGCCCGAGCACGAAGTGGCGGTTAATTTTCCCCTTCCCCTCCCCCCCCCCCCCTCTCCTGTGCGTCGTTAGTCTTCGTTAACATCCAGAGGTCATGATTACAAATATCTGCCACAATCAAGACGCGATATTTCGTGTCAGCGAAATTATATAACATGTTATATTCATGTTAGGCACCACAAGAAATTCTAACTGGCGTAGCTAATAGAGCAAGTGCCCCTCAATCGAATGACAACAAAAATGTAAGAAAAGGGAATGAGAGAGAAATACTACGAGTGTTATGAATCCTTGAACTTAAATTTGTATTCTTTCATGATTTATGATTGGTTCATGAAATGTATTTTTCTTCTTTGAAGTCGCATTATATATTTAGTGCAATTACATGAAAGACGTGAAAATAATATCGAAAATTTGCAAAGAAGGCACTACAGCAGGGACACTTGAAAAGCAGGGGGACACTTTTTCAGTTGACATTATTGCTAAAGGAAGCCATCGATTGGAGAAAAATTGAAGAGAGTGTAATTGACAGTTACTTGTAGGCTGATCTAATAGCTAGGCGGACCATAATAGACGGACACGGACGCGAAAGAAAACTTGAGTTCCTATTGGTGTAAAAGGTGTCGATATAAAAAGACGCGTTTAAAGGTACTTCACATGAATCTTTTTCTCCTTCTATGCTTTTGTTAATTGTTAGAATCTCTCTTCAAGGCTCTTGTTCATTAATAGTCCTGTAATTACCATTGATTTTCAACCCATCTTGAAATCTATTTTGGGGGAGATCGAACCACTTTTCAAATTTTGTTTGTGATATTTCTCTTCAAGTGGATACTAATTGTATCGGTTGTTATGATGCACACTTCCGATTCAAGTGGCATTTGGCATGACAGACACCTGGAAGACCACACATTTGTTGAATTCTTGATTAATTTATAAATAGGAGCACAAGCTGTATGTCATGAGAGATTATCTATTGAATCGCTAAAACAAATAATGATTATCTCATTAAGAAGATTGATATGTCATGATTTTAGGAACTTTTACTATGTTAAATTAAAATGATCCATCTCTATGTCGAGATCAGTCAAATTAAAGAAATATCAAACAACCAAACAGCAAGAAGGTAAATTCATTCAAAATTGGAATTCCCATTGTACATGTTAAAGATTCATCTCAATATGTTTCAGAGAATATGCTTTAAAAAAAAGCTTTGAATGAAAATTTACAAGCTATATAATGTCATTTAAATAATGTGTTTGTTTAGTTGTGTAAGATACTAGCGTTTTGTATTACTTTACAGCCTCGGAGAGAAGAATGTATGAAGGGAAAGGAAGAAAGAAAAAGGAGAGAGGAAAAGAAGGGGAGAGAGACAGAGAGAGAGAGAGAGAGAGAGAGAGATAGAGAGAGGAGGGATAGAGAGATGGGCAAGGGGAGAAGCGAGAAAGATAGATGAGAGAGAGAGAGAGAGAGAGAGAGATTAAAAATAAGTTATTTCTTTGATCTGCATTTTACTAAACACATCACAATGGGAGCTTAAACGATTGACAGGAATCACATTGTGAGTGAGAAGCTTTGCTCAATTAATATCGATCAAACATCAGGATGGGCGCGGCCTCATTCGAGTCTTGGCGTTGATTGGTTAACTTTTATCAGAAGTACTCGTATAACAATCATAATGAGTTTGTTTACTAAAATGACCATGTTGTCTGTAAAAATGTATACCATTCGATTATAACCGTTAAAGTATTGTCAACAGATAATCAAGAAGAAAGTTAATGACGTCAGCATACTTAGATTTTTATTTTATTAACTCTTTACTGCACCATGGCGTCCCTCCTCTCTCTCTCTCTCTCTCTCTCTCTCTCTCTCTCTCTCTCTCTCGCTCTCCTTTCTCTTGTCCACCCCTCTCTATCCCATTCTTTTCCTCTCGCTCTCCCATTTAATAATGGACAAAAGCCCTCTCTCCCTTTTCACAAAATGTAACTATTATTCCAAGTAGTAATTTGGCTTAGTTAAAGTGTTTTTTAAAAACCCATAACAAACAAATGCAGTCACATTAAATCTGTTTCTCCAGACGTCGGGCATTCTTTTGCACAATTATTTGCATGCATTTGTTGATACTGGTCTTACTTAATGTAGATAGATACAGATGCGAGTATGTGTTTCAAACAGGTACATGTATAAGCCTATCCCTCTTTTCTCAGATTTTCAGACTTTAAAACATCAATTTCTTTCTTGTATAAAACATTAAATGTATTTTAATATTTCCAAAGCCGTTTGGTTTATAGAGAAGCAAATTTCCCATAGAGAATTAGGCTTATATTGGGGAAGTCTTTACGAAATTGTGATGTGAATACAGTTACATTAAAACAAATCTAATACAAGACAAACATATTGACATAATTACGGAATACATTGTTGGAGTAAAATCTTATCTAAATTTTTAAGAAATGTAGAGGGCGGTGGTCTTAAATCATACATGAGAGTCTTGTGGACCGTAATTATTTCAAATATTATTATGGGATGTAGATATCTGAAATGGACCTCGATAGGGTATTATGAAATTCGTGATTAAAAAGTAATAGCAAACATTGTCAAGGCGATATGAGGTACACGAAAAATGCTTTATTGACATGACTGTGACAATAATTTCATTTTAACAGACGAATCTCAATCATCTCTTTTTTTTTAAACTCTCATCTCTCTCTCTCTCTCTCTCTCTCTCTCTCTCTCTCTCTCTCTCTCTCTCTCTCTCACTCTCTGTGTCCTCCTCCCCCTCTCTCGATCAAAGATCAAAACAACTTGTACTGCACCAAGTGCATAACATATATAATCCTAGGGCAAAGCAATATTACATTGGCACCAACTTCAATCTTGTTACGGACGTTATGATACGAGAAATAGCCAATATAACTCTTTACCTTACCCGAAAGAGTAAACAGTATCAGCGATTGTTTTCATTTTGAATGCAATTAAATATTGGAATTCCCTCCCTTATTCCATAAAAACAATAGAACATCTCAAACAAAAAGAACGTAAGGAGCACCTGTCATTTGAAACTCGGAGAATGAAAGCAAGTGATATGATATAATTATACTAGTATATGATATGGCTCGCATATAGACCAGTTTTCTTTTCTCTGCCATGTAGATTCGATATTATTGTATTGCTTAAGTTTTTTGAATATTCTTGAGAATGTATTTGTTAAAAAAATATCCTCAGTGTTATCAAACATCGCTTTAAATATCTGTAAATAATGCAAATATTCAACATGTTCAGTATTGAATATCTAAATCGGACCTTATTGTAAATAAGCTTTCGAGCTTCTATGGGCCATCCTGTCAAGGTAGTTTTAATTTTCTTGTGTTCTTGGGTCGGGCACTGGAAAGCTTTGGGTCAGATCCAGGATTTGTAAAAGAGTGGCACAATAAGTCCATGCCTAAGTAAAAAAAAACATTTTAAAAGAAGAGAAAAAAAGGTCATCTAAATTTTGATGACAATCATAAAGAAGAAACACAAGTGATCGCCTCAAAGGGGGAAAGGGGCACATTCTTGAAGATGTGTACTTATAAGTATGCCATTTTGGTCAAAAGGGGGTAGCGTACTGATTGTGCACCCCCCTTCAATATACCTTTGAGGGGAATGTTCTCTCACCTTAGCCAAATATATAAATGTAATGAAATCTCGAAGATTATCACAGTAATACAGTGCGTCCCCCCAAAACAAAACCGAGAATTATCGATGTTTTATCGCAACTCATATGATGCATATTTCACGCATGAGTGATTAAAAACAATTTGAAGAGAGGGTACCCAAAAGTCATTTGGCGGGCGGTATCCGAATTTCAAAGAGAAAATCAAATTTCTAGAAAGTTCATTTTCTGCCCTTTCGTATGACACCTCAATCAGGAAAAATGAGCCAGGAATATAATTTGATTAAACGAATTTGTTTTCACTGGCTGCCTGTCGTAGCAACAAACATAGTTGACAAAAGACTTAACTCCGTTTCGTTGAAGATCAGCCATTGATGCATGGCTGATCGTCAACGAAACGAATCGTTTTTTATGGGACGCACTGTATAGGCCTACATCTTTGGCCTACATAATTATGGCCTATGGCCGTCCATAGTTTTTCTTTTTCTTTTGTCCTTTCGGCCACACCTCTTATCAGCGCTGCTGATGCAATTTCTGAATGTTGGATTTTTCTTGTTTATTTGCAAGTTTTGCCAATGTAATCCCTTTAAGTCACAATGGCGGATGAGAGTGATATAACGGATTTCAGAGAAAGACAAGAAAATGAAGTGGAAGTTCTTAAAGCCATATTCATGGATGACTTCAAAGATAAAACCCGGGACCCCTCCGTAAGTATTTTTGTCCAGTCCCATTCGCCCCTTTTTGTGTTATTGTGTGACTGTTGAATTTGAAAATGCAAATGTTCTTTGAAAGAAAAAGAAAGAAAGGAAGGAAGATTGAAGAAGATGGAGAAATACCTCTGGGCGCTAGTGTAGCAAGGTATCCAAAATATAGCCTACTAAAACAGACCCCAAATTTCAGACCCCAAATTTCGGAAAGAAAGAAGAGGAAGAAGAATAAGAATAAAAGAGGGAAACGGGGGCAAAGGGCGAAGGGCTCTTACCTCCCCCCCCCCCCCCCCCCCGAAAAGAAAAAAAAATAAGAGAGAGAGAGAAGGGAAAGAAAAGATAAGGAAAGAAAGAAGAGGAAGAAGAATAAGAATAAAAGAGGGAATTCTTTCCTTATCTTCTCTTTCCCTTCTCTCTCTCTCTCTTATTTTTTTTAGGCGGGGGTGGGGGGGGGGAGGAGGAGGCAAGAGCCCTTTGCCCCCGTTTCCCTCTTTTATTCTTATTCTTCTTCCTCTTCTTTCTTTCCTTTATCTTCTCTTTCCCTTCTCTCTCTCTCTCTGATTTATTTTTAGGCAGGGGGGGGGGGAAGGAGGCAAGAGCCCTTTGCCCCCTGTTTCCCTCTTTTCTTCTTCTTGCTGTTTTTTAGAAAAATACTCTCCCAAATACAACAAAATTGACACGAAACAGGTAAGAAACATAACACCTCTTTAATCATTATCTTCATTGGGACATTTGATTATTTATTTACCGAAATTTGGGACTGAAATTTGGGGTCTGTTTTAGTAGGCTATATTTTGGATACCTTGCTACACTAGCGCCTAACTCGGCATGACTATGAGACGAATTAGGGAGCAATTTTAGAATGACACACAACAAAAATTGACCAGACGTTCTCAGATAAATTCTTATAGACTAGAGGTCTAGATCTACAGCTTATAATGTCAATTTTAATGCAATATTTCCTCCTTATTTTCTCTATTTTTTTCTCTATCTTCCTTTTTTTGTTAGTAATCTTGATTTCACGTAAATTATGTACCAAAGTTATTGTAATATTGTATGTTTTGTCAGGATCAATTTTAAGAAGCTATTCATGTGCTTTTCATGATCCTCCTACTGTAGATAACTTACTATTAATAATATAAAGACTGTTTGTAGACTATTTTGAAATATAGACTCTATGTTAAGTCCACAACTCAAATCCTAGGTGTCGGACATTCATATACATAAACCCTATTGGTACTGGTAGGGTAGGGTATTCTAAAGTTAAGCCAGAATTAGTCTGATCAAGTAAGTTAGATCAGATTAAAAGCACATGTGCATGTAATAACCTCTCATGATGAGTGATCAGATTTTGTTCAAACGTGCGCTGATCTATTTCTCTCATTTTTCTGCTCTTATCGTTTAAAACCAATTAAACAGGCTGGACTTTGCCTTTAAACATAGCAAGACTTGTTATATCTAAAGAAATGGTCAAATCTTGCTTGTCATATCTCAAATCCAACCTTTAAAGCCCATCTGTACTAGTTTGGCCAGGAGGGATTAGACCACCCAGCGTGGTCACTGACAGGTGGCTATCTCATCAACTCAGCTCTCATTTAACATGAGAAAAAGAGGATCATGGGGGACCATTGGGCACCGCTAAGGCATTGTTTTCTATATAGAGGGAGCAAGTAGCTACAAGTAGTACAGTGGGGCTTTAATAAATTGAAGCAAAAAAAGTGGACTGATAATTAAGTGATAATTGTGTTTACATGTTTCCCCCCCTTACAGCAAGGCCTGGAGCTGCACCTTCGCTTGATGCCTCAGCAGGGTATGAGTGGTAGTGGGGATGTCCATGTCACAGCTGATATGACCATTATCTGCCCTCCTAGATACCCAGAGCAGTAAGTAGCAAATAACTTACTGACGTGCTTCGTTATAAACTCATCTCGCTACTATCAGATAATTATAAGAATAAACTAATTACATTGCAATGATTACAATGAAATGACTACAATGTAGAGCACTTAGATGCAAATGTATACTACCATTCCTGTACTTCATGGCACTCTTTTGCAATTACTCGGCTCACCTACCATCCCAGTATAGCTTCCTGAGTGAGCTGCCAAAGGGATTACACAACCAACTTGACCAAGTACCAAGAGGTTCTTAGAAAAGTAGTATTAAGTCCTATACCTTTGTGACTATTATATGGACTAGAAGAGATCTACACATTTCAAGCAAATATCATCATCATCATCATCATCTTGTTTAATCCCTCTTTTTGATTCTTATGGTCTATGATTCTTCACCAGTCTTATTTCATTATCACATTTATTTCTCATCAACCCTCCCCCGCCTCTCTCTCTCTCTCTCTGTCTCGTTTTCATTATCATATTTCCTTGCTCTTTTCACCATCCAGTAATTGATTCCAAAACATTAGACTCACTGAAGTCTTGTTGTGATCATGAAATGTGTCATCTACTGGCAAAGCAATCTCAAGCAATATATTTCTTTTTTTTTTGATAGAATGCCAACAGTTACCATAGAAAATGGCAGAGGAATATCCAAAGAAAAACTGAAGCAAATAAAAAAGAAGGTGGACATTATGGCAAAGAAACTGCGTGGTGAAGTAAGTAATCAGATAGATATCTTGAAGAAATATACTATTCTTCTGTTCTGATAAAATCCGAAGAGAAAATACTCAGTGTTTTGTGGCACAAAGTCATTTGAGATACATGAAAGCTAGCAATTCATCCATATCATCAGAGTGAATAATTTTTAGGACAACCTAATAGATTTAGTTTGGCCTGTGTTTCAATATACAATGTGTTCTTCAGTCTTCAGTAATATAATCCAATTATCAATTAGGAAACGTCCTGAAGTTTGTTCATAAACTTGATACTTTTTATTTCGATTAAATTGGAATGAAATAGTAATATGTCCTCTTTGCTTTTAAACCTTTCTGGAGGTAGGGGATTATCTATTTAATTTAGGTGACATGTTGGAAGATAGTGATGGCAATGTCAGGAGAGAGAGTGAGAGAGAGAGAGAGAGAGAGAGAGAGAGAGAGAGAGAGAAGAGAGAGAGAGAGAGAAAGAGAGAGAGAGAGAGAGAGAGAGAGAGAAAGAGAGACAGAGACAAACAGACAGAAAAAAGGTGGGGGCACATTGGGAAAAGAGAGTGGAGAGGTTCTTGACACTATTGCACTATTAGTAACTTTTCTCTCATGTGTTTTACATTTCCATATAAGGTAATGATACTGGAGCTGGCGCAGCATGTCCAGCAGTTCTTGCACAGCCACAATGTGCCTGGACCAAAGTCTTTCTATGAGGAAATGATGAGCAATCAGAAGAGGGCTGAGGAGAAGGTGGCCAGAGAGCAGAAGAAAAAAATGGAACTGAGGAAGAAAAGAGAAGAGCTAGAGGTAGGTGATTCTTTTAGATGATGATGATGATGATGATGATGATGATGATGATGATGATGATGATGGTGATGGTGATGATGATGATGATGGTGATGATGATGATGATGATGATGGTGATGGTGATGATGATGATAATGTGATGATGATGATGATAATAATGATGATGATGATGGTGATGATGATGATGATGATGATGATGATAATGATGACGATGATGATGATAATGATGATGATGGTGATGATGGTGAAGATAATGATGATGATGATGATAATAATAATTATATAATATTGACTGGCCTTGAGGGGTATATCAGAAATATTGACCAAGCTCAGATCATATTGCCCCGAGTCGAAAGACGAGGGCAATATGGTCTTAGCGCGGTCAATATTTCTGATATCCCCCGAAAGTAAAGCCAGTCAATATTTTTATTGTTATCCAAATCAGACATCTAGAGCAAATAGAGACATCCACCATGACAATCTCAAGAACTGAACAAACTTTGTCAAACCAACACTGTGCATCCAGTGCTTGACAAAATTTTCGATACACTACAAACAGTGTGTATTTGGTGTGATTATTACGTCACAATAGAGTGCGCGCAAAGTGCGCAGGTTCTCGTACGCATAATATTAATAGATGCAAATGAAAATGCGAGACCGTGGAAAATACCAAGGTATATTTTCACTCGTCTCTACACGCAAAGTCAATACGCGCAGGGAGACCAAGGAAAATACAAAGAATATACCCCTCCGTTCCCACTGCTAGTGAAAACTAGGGCAATACGGTTTTGTAAATGACCAGCTCAGATGTCTGATACGGGTAATAATAAATGATAAAAATCATAATATTTGTGTCTTTTCTCCCAGATATACAGCAATTAAAAAAGACTATCGATGGGTCTACTTCAGAGTTACAAGATAAACAAGTTACCAAGCAGTGAGAGTGTTAGTTGAAATAATGCATAAGGTTTCAGAATAATAGATAGGTCTTCAGACTTTGTTTGAGTTGTGCCACTGTTAGTGATGATTGATTTAATTTCTTACTGTATACAAAGGTTTATTTTTGTAATATTTGTGTTTATATATGTTTATGTACATGTATGTGGTGTGTTATTTAATATACATTGCAATTTTGCAAAGTCATGAGCGATACCTAAAGATCAGTATGTTTTTTAAAGAAAAGAAATACACAAGATATTTTGTATGAAGTAAATGCAACCCAATTGTGAGATCATTCCTTGAAAATGACATATTCTTGACTTGCTAAACAGATATTAGAGATGGATGAAGAGATCCAGAGAAGACAAGAGGCAATGAAAGAGCTGAAGAAGAAGAAAGACCTTACAAAGCAGGTAAGGATTATCAATGAATTAAAGGGGAAGTCCACCCTGACATAGCATTGGTTTTAATAGAAGTAGACAACAGCCTGCAAAGATGAGCTAATGTATGTGAAAATATAAAAGTAGCCTGTGTTAATTATTGTGAAAAACGATATCACACAAAATATCTGTACACAAAAAATAGGCTTATCAAGTTCTCAATAATACCGATATATTTAAATCTTGCTTCCATATATACCGGTATATGACTATTTTTGCCATGTGAAATGAATGAATTGTAGTTTTTATATTAAAAAAAAAGAGCTTGTGTGTAAAAGAATGACATAGAGAAATGTTACCAAACATTCTCTTCATTCTTTTCATTCCACACTGTCTTCAACTTTGCACATTGAAAACTAAGATGTGAAGATTGTGATGTTTATAACAGAATTTTACCGATACCACCACACCCTACCCCAATCATCATCTCACCCTGTTGTTTGTTAACACGTTAAACATTTACAGCTAAGGTAGACTTGTTTTCATAATCACATACCAAGTGAAAAAAATAATAATAATAATAATAATAATATCGAATATTTAGGAGCAATCAATCAAGATTTAAGAAAAAAGGATGAAACCATACAATTCTTTCGTCTGATTACAAACTAGGATTCTGACGAAACCAAAGACTCAAGAGAAAGACACAACTCTGATCCACCGGGTAGCCAGTCCCCAACCAGGATACGAGTGGACAGTGGATCGCTGGACAGTTCTGATTCCAGCTCGCCTAAGACCAAAGGGAAATGGCAGTTTGATCAGGTCGAGAAGGGAGGAGATACAAGGATACGAACAAGGTTGGTCAATGAAGGCAGCTTCCCCAATTAGACCAAACTTCAGAAGATCTGAAATTTTCAAAAATTAGATGTGAAAAACATCCAACAATTAAAGAAATTTAGACCATTAGAGTATATTCTGTATGAACTTAGAGAAAAATAAGCCTGTCCCTGTTTTTTGTTTGAAGAATGTAAGTGTTTGGAAAAATGCTGTATTTTTATTGGAGAAAAATATGCACTTTGTGCAATTCGACAGTGGTTTCACTTTGTCACAGTACCGGTATGGTGATGTACTATACCAATGATTATTTAGGAACCAGTTTTTAAGAACGACTCTGAGAGGCATGGCACATGTGATGCGGTAAACCATGGTATTTTGTTTACATGTCCATTAATAGCAATAAGTGGGGGTGAAAATTGTAGCTGTGTTCATCAAACTTTAAAATTCCTAGACATACAATTCACTTATCTGTGTGTTAAAAGATACAGACAATGTATGTGAAGCACTTTTTCCTGTGTATTCATGTCATTACATTTGCCTTGCTGTTTCCTTGTGACATATGCGAATGAGGCTCTAAGGCCATAGTATTCTATCAAGGTTTTGTGTTTTATTCCTCTCCCGTGTAGGACATTCAGTGGTTCAAACACATCCAGGCAACTCATAGAAACTTCTCACCAAAACAGTCATCGGAAGGCGAGGTTGGTAAAACAGCTGAGCGGCGGAAAGAAAGATCACGTCACCGTTATCAAGTTCCATACTAAAGGAGATAGGAATGTCCATAAAGGAAGATTGCTTGGTGAGTTTAGTGGCTTAGAGAAATTTAGTGGCACAGAAAGACTCATCCGAGAAGCACAATGAATAACTGTAGACAACCGTACTTTCATGGCATAAATAGCCATACAATTTTGGAGCTTGTAAAATACCTCTTCAGCATCGATGAAGCCAAATAATCTAGAACTCCAAGCAGAGCTTCATACTATAAACATACATACACACATACATCCCTACTTACAAACATACATATACAGTCAAACCTGCTTTAGTGACCACCTGTATAGAAAGCCCACCTGTCTTCAAAGACCACATTTTTGTTTCCCTTGAAAATGGTTACTCATTGTATTGTAAATGTACTTGAACCTTAAACCTTGAAGAATTACTCTCCCAAAAGCGTGAACGCTGTCCTGGAGAGGGCTGTGCTGTGTTGCGTGCTGTTGGTGATGTGCTGTTGGTGAAGTGATGGTGGTTGTTCTCTGTGCACTATATACAATGTGCAGGGTGCAGGTGGTGCAGGTGTGTCTCTCTTTACAACATCTTCAGGGGCAGGGGCGGCGCCATAGTCTGTATGACGGGTAGTGCCGCTCCCCTAAAGCCAAAAATTGTATTTGCAGTGACAGCGTTGCTTGGGAGAGTGTTCCAGACACGGACTGCTCTGGGAAACATGCTGTACATGTAGCAGTTAACTCGGCAAAATGGTTGGGTGAATCTGAAGTTGTGACTTTGATGTTGTGCTCATAAAGGAACCTGTAAATAAAGACCACCTGCCTTTAAAGATTAAAGACCACTAATACCACTTTTCTTGTCCCCTTGGGTGGTCTTTATTGACAGGTTTCACTGTAATATATTGTTCATGTTCCTCTTCATACCATAGGTTCTAATCCAGAAGGGAGCACTGTGTATGCAGGAATGGACGCTCATTCTGGGGACCTCCTGACTATCCGTGAATGGGTGATCAAATGGAAACAAGGGAAAGGGAGGAAGCCTCTTCCGGACGAAGAAGAAGATGCAGAAGCGTGCCTCAAACAGGTGAGATATCAAGAGCATCTTCTGCAGGAATCAGACATTAATAAAATGAAAATACAGTGAAGTATTTGTTTAAGCTTAAGATTAAAGTAGCTATTTGTTTGTTTTTTGTTTTATGCTACAGTCACAAAGGTTCGTATGAACAATAATTTTGTACGAATCTTCCTGTTTTTCCATTGTCTCAAAATCGTTTGTACGGCGTTCGTAGCAGTTCGTAATGGCATTTGTGACCGAGGCTTTACCTGACTGCTAAGTATGCATTTGTACGGTTGTAACTAGTAAGCAACCAAGGGACAGACGGCTTTAGGCCCTCTCCGACGGACTTGATTTCACATTTCATTGAATCTGAATTAATTTATCTTTACAGTAGTATCAAATGATACAGTAGAAGAAATATGATGTTTGAATTTTCTTTGTTTCTTTTTTTTGCATTGTCCTAATATTGATTTGAATGAAAATTTAAATCATTGTCATGAGATTCATGTTGAATCAAGTGGCTTCATTTAGAGCTTTTCACATTTTCTTTGCAGTGTGCTAGTGTCGAACAGGAACTTCTATCATTATTACGTCTAGAAAACGCGAACATTGTCCATTATCTCGCCATGAATTACAACAAAGGAAAAGAAGATATAAATGTACAGGTAAGTATTTTAAGCATTATATGGAAATGGAGTACCCAAAAATATGCAATATTTCTATATTCTCTTCCAAAGTAGCCATGTATTCATTTGGAATTAACAAATTAGAGTGAGATTATTGTTGATATGTTTTAGTTTTATATTAATGATGTTAATGAGTTTAATGATTTAATATATTTCTTAACCTTGCTAGATAATAAGCTCTTTCAAAAGGTAGTGAGAGGAGCCAAAATGTTTAATTGCCCAGATTCCTGACCCCCCCCCCCCCCCATTCCAGAATATGTTTTCAAGCTTATTATTAACCTCTCCCCCATATTTGCTGGGAAGAGGGTGTGGAAGCATAGTTTTTTCTATTTGTTTTTCTTTCTCTCAAATCAGGTTGGGGGGGGGGGGGGGGGGGAGGAATAAGGTAGCCATAGCTGGAGAAGGGGGACTCGTCTGGATTAGGATACCAGTATTATCCTGACTATATCATTCGTAGTGTGACATACTAAATCTCTTGTCCCCTCCAGCTACTGATGGAGTATGTTGGTGGAGGAAACCTTTCCCAAAAGCTGGAGAACGGGTCCCTCACTTCCTTTGATCTCCTGAGAGAATACGCCATTGATCTTCTGAGTGGGCTGCAATACCTACACAGCCATGCCGTCGTACACAAACAGCTCAGAGCCTCACAGGTGTATGTGGATTGTGACGGACGGTTACGAGTGGCAAACTACAGTATGTGCAAGAGGTAATTAGTTGCAGTATTGAATTTTAAATCATCAAGTCAATATCAAATCAATTGAAAAGAAACAGACAGAATTTTGAAAATCAAAATTTGAAGCTTGTATGTTTATGTATTAACAAACTTAAAAGCAGTTGTAGTCATGGAAAACAAGAAAAGGGTCCCAGGCTGATACATTTTATTCAAAATATTAGCTTTAAATGGATATAACATTACTTTTGCAAAATTATGTTTAAATACAAAGTTTCTCTCTAAATATAGGTAAGTGAGTAGAATAGTCAACATGCATGTACCGGTATTCAATCTGGTGCACACTTAAACTTAAAAGCTGACTTTCATGCATTTTGTGCGTTTGTGTGTGAATTTTTTAATTTTTATAATTGGTCCTCTTTATTTGAATGTCACTCTTGCAGGTTAAATGAGCTTGCACAAGCTGCGAATGAAGGAAAACAGACGGTGAGATTCAGTGATGATAAAACGTACGGAGGAAGAGGAGGAAAGAAAGGAGATGTACTTGACCTGGTAAGATAGTCTGTGAGAAAATAATTTTCCTGTACTTTTTGAACAAGTTTGATTTGTTGCCAATTGTACATAGCTTTTGTCATCCACCAACAATCAACAATTTACGTTCTCAAAAATCTAATTTAGATTAACACTCTTACCATGATATCATGCAATGATGCAACAATATATTATTTCCTTTATCAGTTTGTTTCTGTCCTATAGTTTTGTACTGAGGCATACTGACAGATGGCATTTCATAATATACAATTATCTAATTATGCTTGCACTTTCTTTATGATATTGAATCTTTTTGCATTAAGGGACAGAGGGAGTCACCGTTACATCACTTTGTCCTAGCATATATATATATTAATTTGAATTCACATTGATATGTGACGTATTTTTGTACAATTCTATTTTACAGGGGCTGTTATTGTTAGGCTTATTGCTTGGTACATCTGATGTGCAATACCCATGTGAAGTGCCTCAAGACCTCCCCTTAGATCTCCAAGATTTTCTGAATAGGTAAGCAACAGTTGTAAATTTTCAACTTTAAAAAGTGTGGAGGAATTTTAAACAATTAACTAGCATACTTTAATTATTATAGGTTAAATTATAATTATGTCACATCAAATGTATATACAGTCAAACCTGCTTTAGTGACCACCTGTCTACAAAGGCCACATTTTTTCCCCTTGAAAGTGGTTTCTCATTGAAACAATGTACTAAAAGAACCTGTCTACAAAGACCACTTTTGTGTTTCCCTTGGGTGGTTGCTATAGACAGGTTTGACTGTATATGTATGTATATATATAATTTTTTTTTTTTTTTTTTTTTTTGGGGGGGGGGGGGTCGATTGCCTGCAAAGCTTTTAAAATGTGACTTTTTATGAAGCTCCCAAAGAGTCTTCATCTACTTGGATCTTCAAGGATCTTCTTGTCATAATTTTGGACTGTTCCGGTAGCATCAGGTTATACTTTGGGGTAAGATATGTCATTGATTTGTCATGTGAGTGTCTAGCTCTATTTTTGATGAAACGTTATTTTGAAATAAATTGATGGTTGATTAATAATGAACGATGAAGAAAGTATCATCTAATGAAATATATCTTTCCTTGTTCAAGACCAGGTGTGTATCTTTGATGCAATATCATCTTGACTGAATGTCTTGAATTATTCATATAGGTGCATAGACATAGATGAAAGGAGTCGTGCTAATGTCCAGTCATTGCTTGACCACCCGTTCATCAAACCTACCATATCAGACAATCCTGACCCACCTAGTGTGTCGTCTGGTGAAAGCAGGGTTCTAGGTAAGACCAGTGGGTTGCTGATTCCTTACAAAATTAGTAGGCAGATGGATGTGACATGCAAATTAAAGGACTTTTAGAGATTTAGTATCAAACAGTTGACTCTCAATGCCTGGTATAAAGGGGGGGGGGGGGAGGGGTGTGGGTTAGTGATATTTTTTAGACTGACACTCATTTAAATCTTCTAAGAAAAGTAAATCGTAATAAAAAGAAATGCCACACTGTGACAAAACAGGTGAAAGAGGTCAGGCTCCATTAATAAGAACAGTGGCTCTTGAAACTGGAAGGCCCAGTGTTGAAAAACAAATCAGTACACTTGTACTCATGGTTATTTTTATCTATTCATCTTCAATTATTTTCATACTCCCTAGTAGCTAACCTCTTGGTAAAATAAACTTTAATAGTCTTATCAAAGCTAAACCTGTTGAACATCAAACCAAGGATACACATATCCCAGCTTGGAGTGTATGGGAATGCAAATTGTATCCAAGGGGTTAAGTAATCAATATCTCTTTGATCTCTGATCTTTCTTTATGACAGAGGAGTCGACTGCTCTGGATTTCCCTGGTGTTCCTACGGCTGACATCAATCTTGGAGTGTCCAGACTGCACAGTGAATTTGAGTTCCTAGCCTTCCTTGGTAAAGGGGGCTTCGGCAATGTCATCAAGGTATCTACAAAATATAGCTGATAAAATTCTTGTCAGATTTCTTTCAAATTTACCGGCTGAAAGATATATCTCGACCGATCATGTTTGTTATGCTGAATATGACCTTGATAAGTGTTGAGGTTTTGTCGATTGATAAATGATTTAGAGTATTTGGGCCAATGGCAGGAAAAATTGCCGGCCCACCACTACTGTAGTGGCCAGGAAATATCTTAGCCACCCCTTCTTTTACATTCACCTCAACCCCATAGATTTGAATAAGTCTCTCAAGGCAGTCACTGTCTTAATTTGTATACAGTCAAACCTGCTTTAGTGACCACCTGTCTACAAAGACCACATTTTTGATTACCGATGAAAATTGTTTCTCATTGAAACATAAAAGGAACCTGTTCATAAAAAACACCTGCCTATAAAGACCACTTTTCTTGTCTCCCTTGAGTGGTCTTTATAGACAGGTTTCATTGTATTATCATACTTGGATTTCTATTTGTCTCCCTGTTGTAGGTTCGTAACAAGCTTGATGGTAACCTGTATGCTATCAAGAAGATCTTGCTCAATCCCAAGAGCAGAGAACTCAACAAGAAGATCACAAGAGAAGTCAAACTACTCTCGAGGCTCAATCATGAAAACGTTGTCAGGTAGGTGTTTCAACCCTCCAATTATCCATTCATCGTAACATGTAGTCTAGGCTTGTATCAACCTTAACATTTAGTTGGCAAGCTTTCATCCATCCCTGAAGACTTTCTCAAGCCAAGTGATTCTTCACACAGTTTCTTGTCGTCTGCTGCTCTGAGATCACTGGAGCAAAGATGGGTAATTAATCAAAAGTAATATCACTTAATGTGAATCACAACTCACAAGGATGTTATAAGAGTTCACCAGATAAATTCTTCAATATTGTGTCATTTTCCAGTCCTTCCTTTTTAATGAGCTTTTTTCTAGCATAAAACTCTCCACTCCTGCATGTTTCTGTGTGAATTATTATTCCTCTGATTATTTTGATTGTTACAATTTCAGTGTTACCAAAAATACCGGTAGTTGTAGTTACACAAGTTTTCAAAAATTATCCCTATGCTAATTAATTACGGAAACTAAGAATGTTTATATTTCAAAATCTCTGTTTTCTACCACATTGACTATTAATGCAGGAGATGATAGAATGCAATGTCTGCTTGGAGTCAGCAGAGTATTAGCTCACATACTTTTACTTTTAGAGTTAATGCCCTTCTGGCTGTTAACAAACTAAATTTGGTATTAAGATAAATGTGGAGATTGCATTCCTGAATTTCTATTGATCCTTTCAGGTACTACAACTCATGGATAGAGGTAGCAGAGGAACCTCCTACCACCGACACGGACGAATCCAGGACCACCGGTACAGGGGAGACCTCTCCCGAAACCAATAGGGTCGGTAGGGGTGCCAGGGAGGTACCCCTTGCTGTTAATAGTCTCAGCTTATCAGACAACATTGAGGAACAAGCACTGAAACTCAGTAAGCTATCAGATTTAAACTCGGTGTCTGGTTAGAAAAATATATAAATGTCCTAAAGATAAAAGTCCTTTGATAAGTCTATGGTGCATGGACGGTTTTTCTTGACTAATCATCATTCAGTGAAAATTTTTACAATATCTGTGTATCAAAAATATATAACTCTTCGTTGAAAGTTGATGATGTACACAAATTTACCCACTTCTCGCTTTGATTGCACTTCCTATATCAATGTTTTATAGCAAAAATATTCTTAATAATATGTATTTCACTAACTTCAAGATTCTGTACCGTATTCATATAAAAGCTTTGCATAAAAATGTATACAGTTAAGGATTTGTTTCATTTTCTCTCTTGTTGTTGTTTTTCTCGTCGATAAATCAAACCTTGCTCATCTTTGTTTAACTGATTCTCTTAGTACCTACCGGTATTCAGTTTTGTCCTTCATTATTTCTACATCACAATTCGGCAAATAATGGTATCATATAATGATCATCCTAATTCAATTTCATCCTTTTCCTTGGGCTAACATGGCTGTCTGTCTGTCTGTCTCTCTCCCTCTATAGGTATTCGTAACTCCTTAGAGTGGAGTTCTTCAGGAAACATAGGTTTGATAGGGGACAGTGATGATTCATCTAGTGATGATGAAGGTGTCTTTGGAAGATCTTTCTTGTAAGTCAATAGATTTATATTAGATATTAGAGAGTAATACAGGGATGCCAGTTTTCAGACAATAGCCTGAATTCAGGCCCTGGTGAGTTATTTTCAGACCATAGTTTAGGCTTTTTTGTGTGAGAAATTGCTCATTCTAGATGATTTTCAGACCCTCTGATCAATTCTAACTGGCATTCCTGAGTAATAATGGTTGGCATTTGTTTCCATACTGTTGTATATGGTTCTGTAATATTTGTTCTTAAAACCACCACCTTAGATTATATTATGGTTGGTATTGTAATGGGAAATGTTATCAAATGTTGTTTACTTGAAATGTGATATTCTTTTAAGTTCCAGTTCTTTGTTCCTTCTAAAAAAATATGCATTTTCCATGGCTGTTTAGGGTGATATTGTCCAAAGATGTATGCTGTATTAGAAATTTAATGATGATTATAACAAAGCACAGTCTATATTCTCTACACATAGTTGAAGTACAAACGATTCTAGTGCTCTTTGTACTATTGAAAACAAAATAAAGAGAATAAACTATGCCTGTATGAATGTATTCTATTAGATTGTAGTATACAGGGTAATTTTATACAGAACTCTAGACCGGCAAGACCATGCATTACACAAATCTTTGTTCATTTACTTTTGGGGTCAACAATGTTTTACCAAGCATTCTACTGTTGTCGGAATTGAAACTGATCTGGTATTATGAACAAGCATCAGCCAATTTTATCATCATCTTCCTATAGACCCCGCTCCGATGATTCGTCTTCTGATGGTATTGACTTTGAAGGGAGTAATCGAGGAGAAGAGTCGGATATCAGTCTGTCCATCTCAAAACAGGTAAGAACTAGATGGAACTTCGACTGCACGCAGTCGAAAATGATGCCTCCGTCATAGAGCAATTTTACAAACCAAAACAGAAGAAATTTTTCAATTTCAAGTTCAATTGTAATCCATTAACAGGTTCTCAGAATATTGTGATTACAAGCTATTTTTGCATACATAATGAGCCCATGACCTTTGACCTTATGAACCAAGAATCTACTCAGTTCATTGGCTCTGCAAGAAACATACATGACCTAAGTTGGCAGGAATCCATCAATCGGTTCTTGAGATAACGCGATCACGAGCTGTTTTTGCATACATAATGTGCCCTGTGGCCTTTGACCTTTGACCTTTTGACCCCTACATCTAATCACTTCATCGGCTCTGCAAGTAACATACATGACCTAAGTTTGGTATCAATCCATCAATCAGTTCTTCAGATAACGCGATCACAAGCTCGTTTTGCATACATAATGAGCCCTGTGGCCTTTGACCTTTGACCTCGTGACCTCAAAATCTAATCAGTTCATCGGCTTTGCAAGTAACATACATGACCTAAGTTTGGCAGCAATCCATCAATCGGTTCTTCAGATAATGCGATCACGAGCTCGTTTTGCATACATAATGAGCCCTGTGACCTTTGACCTCGTGACCCCAAAATCTAATCAGTTCATCGGCTCTACAAGATACATACATGACCAAAGTTTGGCAGGAATCCATCAACCAGTTCTTCAGATAACGCGATCACAAGCTCGTTTTGCATACATAATGAGCCCTGTGGCCTTTGACCTTTGACCTCGTGACCTCAAAATCTAATCAGTTCATCGACTTTGCAAGTAACATACATGACCTAAGTTTGGCAGCAATCCATCAATCGGTTCTTCAGATAATGCGATCACGAGCTCGTTTTGCATACATAATGAGCCCTGTGACCTTTGACCTTTGACCTCGTGACCCCAAAATCTAATCAGTTCATCGGCTCTACAAGATACATACATGACCAAAGTTTGGCAGGAATCCATCAACCAGTTCTTCAGATAACGCGATCACGAGCTCGTTTTGCATACATAATGAGCCCTGTGACCTTTGACCTTTGACCTCGTAACCCCAAAATCTAATCAGTTCATCGGCTCTACAAGATACATACATGACCAAAGTTTGGCAGGAATCCATCAACCAGTTCTTCAGATAACGCGATCACGAGAACGGGACGTACGTACGTACAGACGTACGTATACGGACGTACGGACGTACGGACGGACGGACAACCCGAAAACATAATGCCTCCGGCTATTTCGTAACGGAGGCATAATGATGGTGATCTGACAATTGCTATGGTGAATTAATTTTTTCTCGAATGTATAGAGTTAGGGTGAGGGTTAGGTTAGGGTTAATGTTGGCTATATTGATGGTTTGTGAGTTGATATTAGGAGTTAAAGAGAAGGTTGAGTTCTGGGAATTAGAGGTAAAAAATAATTTGTGAGCGTTAGCATTGTTATTATGCAAGGGTGGAAGAACATCAGATTAAACATGTTCCCTGAAAAGCATGGCTCTTTAAATGCCTTCATATTCTAAATATGACATGAAACATCGTAAAAATCGGGGGGGGGGGGGGGGGTAGGTTTTTTCGCCATGTGCTAGTGTAGTCCCATATACATCATTCTGTGTACAGTGCTTGTAACTTTGCCAGGATTTGGCCAAATTTCTTATCATTTTGATGATTCCAGAACCTTGCAATACACACGAATACTTATATACTAGATAATCAACCTTTCCTGATAGATTCCACACCGTTTCTTTCACAATGCAATCACATGACCAGAACTCAACCTTATCTTTAAGTGCATTATGAAAGGGTACAATTCATCTAATTTGTGTGAAGCTACCATGTTTTAAGTGAACCTCCCACCTAGAATTCTACGGGTTAAATGTTAATAAGGATAATGAAGGAAATAAAGGTAAGATGAAAACCTCTGGCGTGAAACCCATTTTTTTAGGGGTATGTTTGTTGGGTCGAATGGTTGTGTTTATAATCCAAATTATATCTTTCAAGTGATCATCCATTGCTTTTTTTATTGTTTTTCTTTTCTTTTTCATTTCCAGGAATCCAAAGGGAACAGGGGCAAGTCAAAAGAAGAAGACATCTCTGAAGACAATCCAGTATTTTCACCAGTGCAATATCTTTACATTCAAATGGAGTTCTGTGAGAAGAGCACATTACGGACTGCCATTGATGCAGGCATGTACGAAGACAAGAGAAGATTATGGACCCATTTCAGGGAGATCATCGAAGGACTTGCACATATTCATCTCCAGGTACATAACCTCTTGCTAATGTATTCCTTTGTAGAAAGTTGGAAAGATAGATCACCAAATTGTAAAATAATCAAGGTTCATGATTTTGCCAGCTGACTGGTTTAATTTTGCTTAGTTTAATCTCTCAAAATTATTAAGCACTGCGTCATGCTGTCTATCAACACATTTTTAATACAGGTTATCAAAGATCCTTTTAACTTGCCTAGAGTAGATAATAGTTAACCCAAAAAAAAACAACATACATGCGAGTAATACAACATCTGTTAAGTACATTGTAGGTAAATATTGCCTGATCAGGGATGAACATCCTTCCCACTAGAAAAAACCATGAGACTATTCACATCTTTTGATATATGTAGTTTGAGCACTCCTAAAATGTATTATTTAAAACTAAGATAAAATAAACTACAAAGCCTAATACAGGCTTTCCCATAGTTATCTTATTTCATTTCTCATATGTAACTGTTTGTTTATCTTTATACATGACATATTTTTAATGATGATTATTTTTTTTGTATATCGTATATATGTTATATTTTGATTGCATTTTGTAACGAATAAATGAACAACAAACTAACAAACAAACGAACATCAACAATAAGAAAATAAACAATTAATTGAACTAATAAATCAGGTGCATGTTTTTGATAATTTTTACCATTCATATTGCAGGGCATGATACACAGAGACCTGAAACCAGTCAACATCTTCCTCGATTCCAATGACTTTGTGAAGATTGGTGACTTTGGACTGGCGACCTCGGAGCAGATGGCCGGAGCTCTCACCAGCGAGGTCTCGTGTCACAACAGACTCACAGATTCATCGCATTCTGGAGAGGCAACACCAGGTAGCCGTTTCACAAAGCCTTTTTTCAATGACAAATTACAAAAATCAGTGACAAATCTGCTGATAACCAATCAGAAGCAAGGGTTTCAGTAGCTTATAACAAAGACTGTCATTTGTCACTGATGACAAGTTTTGTGAAATGGGGCCCTAGTGAGGGATTTGACTTCTTGAAGATTGCAATTGAAGATGCTTTCCATTATGTTTTATTCCATAAAATGTGTATTAATTAACTGATACAAATAGAAATTCACAAATGTTGTTATAATGATTGAATGCTTAAAGCCCCACTGCACTACTTAAAGCTACCTGAGCCCTCTATATAGCAAACAATGCCTAATCGGTGACCATTGGTCCCCCATGATCCCCTTTTTCTTATGTTAATTGAGAGCTGATTTGATGAGATAACCACCTGTCAGTGACCATGCAGGGAGGTCTAATCCCGCCTGGCCAAACTAGTGCAGTGAGGCTTTAAGTGAAAACATTTCTATTTTTATAGCTTTAAAACTGGTGATTTCAATATAAAGAATTTTTCCTAGCCTCATCTTATGAACATTAGCAATTGATCTGAATGGATCATCACTCGGCCTTAATTAATCTATATTAGAAGATTGTAAGTCTGTGATAGATTGGAGGACTTGTAATTTATTGGGATCAATGACACTTTTTGATAAGACAGAGCCCAGAAGTGATTGTTATCTTTGGTCCACAGGCCTTAGTACTGCAACTAGAAGATGCCTCATGCATGAAGCATTCATGATTTTGGGAAGGGATCAGATTTAAGAAAGTTTCATGCAGAAAAATTCAGGTTCACATTTTATGATTTTGTACACTATTAAAGGCATTGTTTAACAATGTTTCTAGTTTTACAAATCTGAGATGCATGGCCCTTACGTGTTATTAGTGTCTGTGATATGGTGTAGTAGTGAAGCCTTAACAAAATTGTGCTTCAAAATGATCATGAAGTGCCTCAAAAAAATAAAAAATCTTTGAGTGACTGGTTTTACCATACTCATTTTCCCCAGTAGACTAGTGTTATAAAAACCGTTGGGGAAAATGTTTTTTTGAAATTTCAAATTCTAGTCATAATTATCTTGATAATCAGACAAGCGATCGGCTTGTAAAAGTCATGAGATTCCTGACTAACCTAAAGATTTATAATTATGATTGCAGCATGAGTTAAATCCAGGATTTTTTTTAGAATCTGAGACAAAGATATTCCACTAGGTCAGAAATTTCATCATTTCCTCATGTTGACTGTGCATGGTAATAATGAGGGAAAAGAAGAACATTTTTATCAATGCCTACTTGAAATCTCTGTTTATGATATAGGTAATCATCTGACAGGGAAGGTTGGAACAGCGCTGTACGTTGCACCAGAACTATGCAAGGCTCGTATCGGCCATTATAACCAAGTAAGACATACAAGATATAGCTCTTGCCATAATTATGTACATGCATGTGACTAAGTCATGACATACTTTAACAAAAACATTAAAGTCAGAGTCATTTATATGTAACCATCTTTGTTTGACCTCCAAACAAATAATTAATTATTATGATTAGTGTATTTTGTGAAGCTTTTGTTTATTTGTTTGTGATTCCACCATGTTGGACAAAAGCAATATTTTACAAGGTGCTGTATTAAAATGGAATAGAACAAGATTGTACATGAATTAGTCATGTTTTAGAAAATTACTTTGAAGCTGTATACCATGTATTTCAAAATAGAGTATTACAGTTTAATTTTGCATTTATTACTCTATAAATTGTTACTGGTCTTCTCTTTCTAATGTTTGTGTTCTCAGAAAGTGGACCTGTACAGCCTGGGTATCATCTTCTTTGAGATGTGTTACAGGTCGTTATCTACTGGCATGGAGAGAGTTAAGATCCTCGGCCAAATCAGACAGGTTTGTATTCATTTGATCTCTGTTCATGGAACATAATGCTTTGGATGTATGGGTACCAGCTGCTTGTGTAGAATACAATATCACAATGAATTTTTTAAAAAATGGGAGATGATATTAAGCCAGATTGCAGTTTATGCTGTGTACAAATTGTATTGATATATATCTAGATGACTGATTGTCTGCAAACTATATTGTGCACACTATTTTGCATATGCTTTAGATTAAACTTGATATACATATATAAAGATTTCTCTTAAATCTAGCATTGATTCTGTTATAAGTAGAAACCTGATGTAATCATTTGCATGTAATAAATCACTTGTAACAAATATGTTATGCAAGTTAATTTCTCTGAGAATAATTGAGGCTCCTTTTTGAAAAAGCCTTTACATTTTAAAAGAATGCTATACGCCTAAAGGATTGAAAGCACAATCTGCCAATCTGCCAATCTCTTTTTAAAGCCCCACTGCACTATTTATAGCTACTTGCGCCCTCTATATGGCAAACAATGCCTAATCGGTGCATGTTGGCCCCCATGATCCCCTTTTTCTTTAATTGAGAGCAGATTTGATGAGATAACCACCTGTCAGTGACCTTGCAGGGAGGTTTTATCCCCCTGGCCAAACTACTGCAGACGGGCTTTAAATGTTGTTTCTACAAACACTGCAGGAATCAATTCAGCTCCCCGAAGACTTTGACGAGGTCAGGAACACCAATGAGAACGCCATCGTCCACTGGCTCCTGAACCACGACCCCAAGGAGAGGCCAACCTCCCAGGAGCTCCTGGAGAGCAAGCTCCTGCCTCCGCCTCAGATGGAAGACGCTCGGCTCCAGGACATGCTCCATCAGACGGTGGCCAACCGCCAGTCCAAGGGGTACCACTACCTCATGACGGAGCTCTTCGCTGTCGAGAGCAGGCCCGTGGCAGACTTCACCTATGACATCGACATGCATAAGGTATTCATCATGTAATCGTAACTTTGTTTGTTTTATTTCCGTATAAAAAAGACATCATGCATTCAGTCAAACAATAATGAATAGAATTATGAATTACAAGATAAAATAAACGGCTGGATAGCCCATATTCAGCCGTATAATGATGCCGCTGGTCTTCCATGGGGACTGTCAAGACTTGGAATCTAAATACACACTTATATGTCAGAGTTGAGTCATGATCAATTGCTGCTGGAAAGACAGGCCTATGAAACAGACTTTTTAGGCAGTATGTATATATGAGGCTATTCGTCATGAAATATTATTCATCAACATCTCAAAAATATAGAAGTATGTGGCAGAGTCATGACCTGATCATTCTTTTGTCTTTGTTTGGTATTACATTATTATTTTTTGAAGTATGACATACCAATTATCTTCTGTGTCTCTCTTCAGTATCTCTGTCACTTTTTTACTCCAAAATGACTTTATGGCCAAATACTAAGTTATTGCATTCTTCAGCTTTTTTTTCAGATTAAAATTTCCTAATTTGTAATTGATTTCTGGAGCTCCTTCATATTCTTTATGTATGCACTTTCACTTTAAGTTGTTCTCTAGAACTGTTTATGAGCTTTCCAAAACAGGGAGGAATATTGCTTCACCATGTGCACTATATTTGTTTAATCACCCAATCATATTTTCTGCTCCTTCTTTCTTTTTGCTTGATGAATCAGGGCTTCTCGTTGAAGAACTCCCTCACCCAGCAGATGGTGTACGACACCGTGCAGCGCATCTTCCAGAAGCATGGAGCCGTCCGAATCAACACCATCATGTTACTACCCAAGACCAAGCTGTATGAACACAGTGACATGTGTGCGCACTTCATGGATCACAGCGGAGGGATTGTGACCCTGCCTTATGACCTCAGGGTATGTATACCATCAGTAACCGACTAACTTCCCTTCTGTTCAAATTTTATGTAAAAGAGTGTTTTGTTTTCATGAAATCAATGATTAATGAATTGAGATAAAATGACTGAAATTTGTTTTTCACTTCCATTGAGATGCATTAAAGGTGTCTGGTGATTTCATTCTTTACTAAGAGGATTTTATATATTAATTAAATCATGATATAAAATTTTACATTCTATCTTTAGTTACCCTCTGTTTTGTTCTCTTGTATCATTCAGGTTCCATTTGCAAGGTACATTGCAAGAAATAATGTGACAAACTTGAAAAGGTAAGTCTTGTACATACATTATGTTAAGAAACTCAGTTCTAGTAACAGATATTAATGCAGCCTAAGATAGATCATCATATGAATTGTCTATTCTTCACTTAAATTATACTTAGCTCCACCATATTTGGTGATAGTTTTGTAATATATCACTTTCATGAATACTTATTTAGAGGATAAAATGGAATTAAAAATTTTATTTTTAGTTACAGATACAGTACACATCTTTATAACAATAACGTGACCTGGTAATATGTTGCCAAATGAACACAATTTTTGAGATTTGAATTCAATATCATTTCAATGAATTTTAGTGCAATAGGCCCCATGATTATGGTGATTTTATGTTTTCCACAGGTATTCAATAGAGCGAGTGTACAGAGAGAGGAAGCTCTTTGGCAGTCACCCCAGAGAGCTAACCGAGTGTGCGTTTGACATTGTGACCAACTCACCAGGAAGCCTTCAACCTGATGCAGAGGTTCTACACCTTGTGACCGAGATTATCAATGAATTCCCTGAACTGCAGGTTAGTAGGTCAAGCTATGCAAGAGTTCCAACATCTTGATTTTGTCATAGATTGATTGATTTATTACTAGCTTGAGTCAGTGTCTTTGTTTTAAGATATTTAATGATTACTAACTTGTACATCATCAAGCTATAGGTTACTTAGTTATTATATGTTTATGTTTATAAGTTTAAAGATGATCCTATCATTCACTTACTAAGATATTTCAAGGCAATTGAATGTGTACATATTTGATTACAGCCATTTTTCATCTATGCCCAATTAAACAGATGTGAATTTGATAATTATTGTATTTATGTATTGTTCCTGTATTATGTATATATGTACAAAGACTGTTAAACCAGTGAAAAAAGAATTTCCCGTAAGGGACAATAAATTTTCAATTCAATTCAATTCAATTCAAAAAGAAAATACAGAACTAAGGCATTTTTTTTGGATAAAATGATATATAATTCCTCTACCTTCAAAATGTTAATTATGTTTTTGCCAAGCATTTGGAGTATTTACAATTCAACTGCTTTCATTTTCACTCAAGGAGATAGTTGGTAGTTCAGTAACTAACATGGGTGCAATCTTTAAGAATACATTAGTATGGTGGAATAATTAGTACTTTCGATATCTTGGGTAGAATATTGAGTAATGATTGTATTTTATCTTTTTACAGACAAGGAACTACTCCATCCGTCTGAACCACACAGGCCTGCTGACGGCCATTTTGAATTACTGCGGAGTCCCAGTGGAGCTGCATGGGAGCCTGTACCGCACACTGAATGAGGCTAGGACTGAGAGACTCACCAAGGTCCAGACACAGACCAGGCTCTGTGGTATGTCATTCACAGAACAACAGGTGAGGTTAGGGGTAAATGACATGCAATCTTGAATGTACAGAATGTACACAAAGTAACCAGAGGATGTGGAATAGGAGAGGAAAAGTTGGGTTTAGGAGAGAGAGAGATAGAGAGAGAGAGAGAGAGAGAGAGAGAGAGAGATGGGGAGGGGGTGATTAAGGAGAGAAGACAAAAGTGAGAGAGGGGAGCTAAGGAGAAGAAGCGCAAGGAAATGAAAGTTCGAACAAATAAGTATAATGTGTATACTAAAAGCATGTTATGGAAATTCTATCCTAATTTCTTATGCATTTTGTTATGAAATCCTAAGGATTTAAATATAATTTTCACAATTAAAGTATGACCAGCTATATGTTCAAATTGAAAAACCTACATCTTGTCACGTATGATGGCCAATAAGAGCACCAGTTTCCAGTTTTGTGTGTCTGTACTTTGCTTAAACTGCACTTTAGCACTGCGAAAAGACAGAATGTACATAAATGAGGGTTTGTAGAATAATACAGTGAAACATTTTCCTTTCCTCCCATTCAGGTGGCCAGCTTATACCAGTACATTGACCTGGAATGTCCACTCAGTAAACTGACCTCTACCCTCAAACCTTTGACCAGAGGTCAAGGTCAGAATGCTTCCATGGTCAAGCAGGCCTTGCATGAGCTAGAGGTCATCATCTCCCAGGCTCAGGTCTACGGGGTCAGGTTGGAGGTGAGTCTGAAAGGAAAGACTGCTGTATTTAACAGTAATTAAACTTATCATGAAAGAGAGATTTAAGCTACGGTCACAAAGGTTCATACAAACGATGCGTTCGTACAAATCTCCCTGTTTTTCCATTGTCTTTCCAAATTTCCATTGTCTGACAACCGTTTGTACAGCGTTTGTAGCAGTTCGTAATGGCATTTGTGACCGAGCCTTTACTTATTAAACTGAGTTGAGGAAGTGAAAATGTAAAAATTTAATGTTTCTGACTTACGTATGTGACATACCTAATCATATTATAATGTCATGGGATTCCTGACTGACCTAAAGGTTTAGAATTATCATTGCAGCATGAGCTAAATCCAGGATTTTGTTTCAGAATCTGAGAGAAAGTTACAGAATTCCCTTTTAAGAGAGCGCTACCAATGTCCCTCTCATGTCAAAGTTATCTAATATAACACCCTTTTGGCTCAAAATATAATACAACAAAAATGTCGCCCTTTTTTCCTCTACTGAATAGAAACAAATCTCAAAATATCTTACTGGTATTAAAAATACTGTAAACATGTCTTAATGGTCTGAAGCTAAGCAATGCTGATATGTATATTTTATATCCCAGTCAAACTAACTTATAAAACTGTCCATTGTACCAAGTCAGCATTCTATTCCAATTTCATATTCCCTCCCTGTCTCTCCAGATGTTGATCAACGTTGGTCTGGTGTACAACATCCAGATCTTCTCAGGAGTGGTCTTCCAGTTCGTCGCTAGCATTGGACGTCCAAAGAAGAGACCCACTATGGATGTTTTGGCAGCAGGCGGTAGATATGATATACTGGTAGGGAAAAAAACCCTTTATATTTCATAGCCATCTAAAGGGACTTTAAAAATATTTAAAAAAGTAATTGAGTAGAATAAAATAAAGGTATCTAGCTGTTACAGAAGGGTTGATAAAAAATATATGTTGACAAATCAAGGTACTGTAGGTAATACACATAGATGTCTCGAGAGATAGATGTCTCGAAAGATGGAAATGAAAGTTATGAAAGTTTTTATCTAAATAACTTAGAAGAAAATCACAAATCCTTGTCTCTTAAAAATCCTTGAGATTGTGAAACATTGATACAAACAACACTGATGAACAAGTTGATATAAAGCAGTCATTAATTCATTAAATGTGAAATATAGTTGGATAGTAGTAATATTAACTGGGCACTCTTGTTCTTGCTCATGAGGTTCCACTGTACATCAACTCACCTACAATCATAAGTCAGATGACAAACGCATGCCAATATGATTTTTCAAATAAAACCATCTGGGTATTTTGTTTGTTTTTTCTGTGATGGTGAAGTTTATTGGCAGATGTCAGAGGTCAAGAACTTTAAGATACAATCTTTAAAATAAATTAAAACATCCATCTGTTTTCATATCTCCTGCAATTGTAGATCCCGGAGTTCAAGAAGCCTCACTCCACGCAGCAGAACGTTCCCGGCCCCCTGGCAGTAGGAATCAGCGTGTCCTTTGAGAAGATCATCACAGCGGTCCTTCAGGAATCCCAGAGTGACATAGTGAGCTCCTTCGTCAGGCGAACCTTTAGTGATGGTGTCGGCCTGGACTGTAGACACATAGTACAACCTGTAGATGGCAAGGTGTCTTAGTGTGCCAAACTATATCATGACTAAAACTGGGCTTATATAGGGTCTCTAGATTCTACATGAGACGTTGCATTTGTCACATTCAACCAATAACACTATTACCATAGTACCAAGGTGTGTGCCTTTCACACATTGTCAGTGTGCATCAAGCGCCCTGAATGCTATAAGATGTCACTCTGCAGAAATTTGGGGGAAAGTAGCAAATCAAGTGACTTGGGAAGATGATATTTCTGAAGTTGGAAGCCTTACTGGTGATACAGAATATCAATGTAAAAAAAAGGAGGGCATCACTGATCTTTGATCAGGGACTCGACTATGAAGAACCGAGATTGTCAGACTTGGCATGATCAGAACCTCAACCTTGAAAATATTGCTTAATCATCCTTTTCATTTTCTCTAGAGGCATTTCTCATCATCAAGATTTGATCATTGTTGTGCATGTGTAGTGTCTAGCTATAATACCCTTAACAGTCATTCTGTTTTTTTTCTTCTTTTGTTGTTGCAGACTTTGAGTATATGTGACATCCTGGTGGTGTCTGTAGGCAGTAGTACCCTGATCAGAGACAGGATCAAAGTGGTGCGCAACCTGTGGGCAGCAGGATTCCAGGCTGATGTCCTCTATGATGACTCCCTGGTAAGTACACCAATAAACTAGTCTTTAGGCAGTAAAACCCTGATCAATAAACCCGTCTGTAGGCAGTAGTCTCTGGTAATTATATCATTATACCTGTTAGGAGTTAGTAGTGCCCTGATTAATAAACCAGTCAGTAGTACCCTTATATCCTCTATGACTCCCCGGTAAGTAGGGTACAAAGTATGGTTCCATTTCTTAGATGATGGAGCCTGAAAATATTTAGATTCAGATCCTTTTAGAAAGAGAAAAACACGTTAAAAGAAAATGAATAAATCTCTTGGAGGTAGTAAAGATCAAGTAGTATGATTATTAAATAAGTTATTGTTTTCTAGTTCAATGTCAGTGTAACCAAATGCACATGAACAATCATGAAATATTTATATTTCTACCTTGTACTTTGTCAACTTTTTATATTTTCCTGATATATGTTACTTTATCGTGTCCTTTCCATTGCCGTTAGTACTCTGCGGAATGAAAATTGTGATTGATGAATAGTCAATATTTGTTTATCTGTAGAGTCTAGAAGAGGCCCAGGACTATTGCAGAGCGATGGGGATCTCCCATCTGGTAATCCTCAAGGATTCAGACACCCTGATAAAGGTAATTAAGTCACTCCTTTTAGCAGGTTAGATACTCCCCCATTAAAATCAGTTACATTGTCTTGAAATATACTAATGCAAAACATTAATTCATTTTCAGAGGAAGAAGAAGTGAGACTACCTTTAAAAAGCTGTTGTTGTTTTAAAAGCCTTTGTTGTAAAGGCTCATTCACATAATTATGATGCATAAGGAGAGACCGCATTTTGTGTGTGTGTGTGTGTGTGTGTGTGTGTGTTTGTGTGCATGTCAATGAAGAGGCAGTGAAAACAAGTAGCAGTGCACAACAAAGGTCCTATGTCTACTTATTTGTCTTTGCGTTAAGAGATACAGAAGTGTGATGCACATTATGCTTGTATTACCTTTTCTGAGGCTTTTGCATATGAGGCTTAACGTTTGTTTTAATGTAGCTTTCAAACTCCTAAATGTATGACAACTAGAAGGCTTTACTTTGATCATGTTTGCAGGTGCGTTCGTTTGACAAAGAGAAGGTCATCGTGGAATCATCTGTAGGTTTCTACAACCTTGTTGAACATCTTCAAATGAAACTCAACAAAGTGTAAGTTTGTGTAGGATCTTCAATTTGGTTTGGTTTTTCATTACCGGTAGATACGACTCCCCAATTTGGCATTCCATTTGTCCATTAATATGTTTAATTGAGAAGATGAACACTGATGACAACTTCAGCAACACCAGCACAAGATGATTTAAGACTACACATCCCAATTTTTGTAGGACTAATTTAGTAAAGAAATACAAGAAAATCAAACCTGTTGTCCTGACCGTGTGCACAGCACAATGCTTTATATGTGAAATTTGAGGTTTGCTTCTTTAGTGATTGTGACTTCCAGCAACTTTTTGACAGGTTTGTTTAGATTTTGCTGGTCCACACAGTTTAATTAATGCTTACAAATACAATAGATTTAAATGTGTACCATTACAAAAAAAACCTCATGCTTGACTTTTATCATAATTATGTTAGAAACAAATAACTAAATATTCAACCTCTCTGTATGTCTGTCTGTCTGTCTCTTTTTCCTGTTTGTAGTGAGTTGACAGAGCAGAGCCCTCAGGTTGCCTCTAAGAGTAAGAGTATCTATGATGCCAACCAAGGAAGTAGCCTGCCTCAATATAGGGTCTATTTTGTCACTATGGACAAGCTTGATAACAATGCCAGAAAGAGATATGAGCGGCAGGTCAGTTCAAAGGTCATATGTTATTGATATATGTTGTTAGATCAAGTAAGTCAGCAGTCTTCCTCATTATTGAGTCTCCTTTGTTTAATACTCTGTACAAGCTTGACTCTGATTTTAGAAAGAGATATGAAACATGTGTGAGTTTAAATTTCATAGGTTTCATCATCTGTCAATGTTATCAAACAAATGGTAACTTCCTTCACACATGGCTATATATGAACACAATATATTCATTTGTAATATTTATTTGTCAATTAACAAGAGCAGAAATATACTTGCATGACATCCCATAGTTAAAGCAAGAATTTCATCTATGTATGCTTCATATTATTGGTTATCTGTGATTCAACTATTTCCTTTGATGATATTCTCTTTTGCACAGATCCAAGTAAGGATAGAGCCTGTCTTGGAGATGTTTTCTTCACGCTGTATTGTGGTGGTCATAGCTGTAAGTAGAGTTTAAGGGATTATTTGTCAAAAATGAATAAGATACAGGATTTCTCATATTCAAAGATCTCCCATTATACAAGACAATGCAACATACTTTGTTATAATTGGGTTGTGAAGGAACAGATATAGACTGGACAGAACAATATCTTCAACACAGTATATACAGGGTACACTTATATTTTAGTGACTTTGCTCCTTACAGGATTTCCACGTATAGAATTGCAGGTGTGGATAAAGAGAAGATAAGATAGGCAGAGAGAATAAGAACAGAAATATCACTAATTAAGCTTCATAATATCTCCAACATACCTCAAATGTGCCTTAATGGCTACACCACAATTCTTGCTGAATTTGAAGTTATGTTTCACATGGTTAAGTGGAACTTGTGTTTAATTATTAACCAAAATTTGACAAATCTTTCTTAGATTTTGATGCACAATTTGTGCTTTGGGACAAAATTGAATATATTTGTCTAAAAATGGTATGTTTTCCTTTTGTCCAGGTTGATCTTCCATTGTGTGTCCTGAAGAATATGGCTGTCATGTTGGATGTAAGTTCAAACCTATCGCAAGTTTAATTTATATTTAATATATCTGTTACCTGTATATATATGTTATAATATGTTATAATATATGCATCTAATCCAAAGACAAAATTCCTGTTGACATATCATTAGATGAGATAAAGAAAGCAGGAGAGAGAGAGAGAGAGAGAGAGAGAGAGAGGGGGGAGAAAGAGAAAGAGAGAGAGAGAGAGAGGGGGGGGGGGGGCAGAGACAGACAGAGAGACAAATAGACAGTATGAGTTATTCTTTTATGAGGACATGATTTGATAACAATGTTTGCTTTCACCATTGCTTCTTCCTGTGAATTACAGTTTGATGGTGATGGGAGTTCATACCAGGCTAGTGTATTGTCAGTAACAGAGAAGTACAACAAGTACAGGAAATACATCATCAAGATTGCTGATGAGATGCTTGAACTCAAGGAAGAAGAAGAGTAAGACTGTAGATTTTTCCCAACTTTAACCCCAAAAAATGTTCATATACATACATGTACCATCAGCTTTTTTTTTTTTTTAAATGATGATTTTATGCCACTCAGTCATTTTCTTTTCAATCATGAATCATTCCTATTAGACCCAAATCCAAGTTTTGTAGAAAAAGTAATCAATGGGATAAATTCTGTGCATTTTGCCACTGCACATTAATTTTTTAAGCCTGTGACAATGTAATTCTGCTGCTATTTCAATATAATTATTTATTTCTTGTTTTGTTTCTCTCCCCTCCCTTCCTCCTTATAGCGGCAATGTTCCATTGGTGTTATACACGTACCGAGAAGATGGATTCAAAGTGGTGCTCTGACCTCTGGCACCCTCTCATCATGTTTTGCATCTCAACTGAAATATATTACCACTGTTCTCATTCTTGCTTCACATCATTCACATCATTTAGTACTGCATGTACAGCTCGTTGACCAAAAGGAAAAATATAGTCCAGTCCGTCTTTTTGGCCACCTCTCTATACTAGGTCATCCGTGTATAGCGGTCACTTATGTGCCTCATTGGGAAGCAATATGTGTTGTACAACCTGTTCATTAAGGCCACCTGTCCATAGTGGTCATGTACAATATGTCACTCAAGGATTAAATATATTGTAGAACCTGTTTAGAAAGACCCCCTGTCTACAGTGGTCACTTGACTTGTTTCATGTGAGTGACCTTTATCGACAGGTTTGAATGTTCAGGGAGTTACATAAACATGTGTCCATTTCCTTGTTTAAGTGCTGATTTAGATGCAGCTTAAGCATAGATGTTGATGACAAAGACATTGTTATCTACATAGTATTCCGCATAGGTTTAATATTGTTCATCCATCATTAGCAGCTACACAGACTCTAGACAAGATTCACGGCCTTCTCTGTCCAAATTCTACATCTACCTGATTTGATATGTTATGTGATCAATAATATGTCATTAAAGTTTGAAAAATGTTGGTGTATTTGATTTTATTCTGTAAAGCACTAGACCTCCATAAACAACTATGGTATGCATGAAAGAGTTGGATGTATGGCTGTGTTCAATGAGTATGTTAAATGAGTGATAGGAAATGGCATTTTGAATAAGAGAGGACATTAAATGTTTGTTAATCTTACTGGCATATCAATACACTCGACACCCTCTTCTTTTTAATAGACCTGTGAACAACAGTTGATATGGCACTTGTCCTTTGCTCTCAACTGACAATATTTTATTTTATCTGTTATTTAGACCATCAATTGCTTACAAATCTATAAGCTGTATATTTTGTAAAAGATGTTCATTCTGTTCACTCTGTAGTGAACCATAATATAATAAAATATTTACTATATATGAATACCCAAGTACTTTATTTATTTGCACGTACAATCCTAATTGTATGTTTCAGTCTTCCAACCACGGCTTATTACATATTTGATGGTGAGATCGAGTTTGAAGTGATGATTAAGTGCCGTGTACCTTTTCTTCTTTACAGCTCTTTATCTTTTTTTGTTTGAAGAGAGAATGTGTATAGAATCTATCAAATGTGTGGCTTTAAGCAAACATATTGTGTTTCCTTTTTGTACCTTGTGTATCATAGAGAGAGTTATTTATTTTGGTGCTAAACTCAGACAATGTTGTGTCATTACTGATAACAGTACCCTAAACTTCATGCTGATATTCTTGTTAAAATGCGTAGCTATAGTGTATCTTGTGCAATTCACCAACTCACATTGAGGTAATAAACAGGCACTGCTACTCCATGCCTTTGCTTTCTTAAAACCTGTCTCAAGTCTCAGCTCTTGGACTATCCGAGGGCTGGGTTTCTTTGTACTTTGTCATTACTAGTGCAGTCAATGTAGTTATAAGTGCATCGTATGGAGATGAAACTTTTTGCTACAATGCAATTGGATGTGTTGAGAATGTATGCGACTGATTGTACAGACGGTTGTACCGTGCACTAGAACAGTGAATGATTGTGTGCTTGCTTCTATACTAGATCTGTCATTGAATGGTGATATGGGCAGAGGACAATTGAGCAATAAAGAAGACAGAAAGAGAGCTGGAGAAGATATAGGGATTATGAGGTACCATTGTATCTGGGGTTAATTCAATTTATGTACACGCTGTTATTTGTGCAAAGGTTTATTTTGTGAATCACGCAAGAGAACATATAGAGACGCCATCATTGGTGATTTTTGACATGTACAAACAAAAAAATAACAGGAGCACTTTTCACAGGAACATTACCACTTTATTTTTTACAAGTGTATTCCATGATACAACTGAAATAAATAAATCACTGGACATAAATGACAAGTTTAAATTTATCTTGTGAACAAACCAGTGTTCCGACCAATTGCAATGATGCAAAATTTCATTCTTGTTTAAGCAAACTGAAAGAAGAAAAAAAATGACGATATCACTGAAAACAGAGTAGATAGTCATGATTTGTCTTCTATTATGTCTTCTATTTTCTTTCTTCTTTTTTTTTTTAAATTTAAGAAGAATATGTTGCATTCGAGAAGGTATTTCTTTGAACACATGGGTCTGTATTCTTCTTCTTCGCCGGGTTTAAGTCTAGATGCCTTTGAAAATTTTCAGATCCATGTTGCCTACTTTGCATGAATTTTTGAATTATATAAGATCATTGAATTTACCACACAAAGTTCTCACTTTACATACTGCAAAAGCTGTACGATGGAATGACTAGACTTGTCTCATATATTTTGAGTTATCACAAGATATTCTCTCAAGTACAGAACGTGATACATGATATTTCCAACTAGATAATTCAAATTGTCCATCTCCATTTAAAAAAAAATGTAGATTTGATATGCGTAAAGGTAAAGACCAGTATTGGAAACGCCCCAATTTCAAAAAATAAAATAGAAGCTCTTATTACCAATCATGTGAAAGAATATGATTTGACTAATACATGATGATACAAATTTTGCCGGGAAACCGCCTACTAATTGATATATTTGGTAAATTAGTTTATTTATTGGTGTGTGAGAGATAAACGCATGTGTCGAGCATGTGTGCGTATTCCTATATACATCTTTCTGTGTACAGTGCTTGCAACTTTACGAAGACTGGGCCAAATTTCTTATCATTTTGATGATTCCAAAACCTTGCAGTACACACCAATACTTATATGCTAGATGATCAACCTTTTCTGATCGATTCCACAACGTTTCTTTCACAATGCAATCGCATGACCATAACTGGTCTTTATCTTTAATCTTGTTATGGTACAGCAATATCTAGACACAAAACACTGTAAACAGAAACTGGTTTGGCTGATAGTATTCTTTTTCATTCACACAAATACAAGGGTGATCAGGAAGGTCCAAAGTCTTTCAGGATCTCTTTTTCAGTTTTGATTACTCCCTTTCAAACTGTCCGCGGCATCGGCACATGCCTGGATCAGCCTGCACAATTGAGTGCACGACTCTACGGAGGTGCTCTTTCTAAGCTCTGCACTAGCCCACGTGAGCTTGTCCAAGACAGAGTCTAGTGACTGTCCGATCACAAGTTCAACCCTTGTGTTCCGATCCCCACATGTTCTGGCTCCTCCTGGTGCACCCATTGTGGTGGTAGCGGGGGCATGCTGGGTGTTGTTCATCAGCGAGCCGGCCGTCTGGGGGAGAACGGTAGCTTGAGGGTTTGTTGGTGGAGGTGCCGGTGATGGGGATGACTGCAGCTGGATCCTCTGAGCGGTAGCGGAGGTTGCTCCCTGGAGCTGGTGGTTGCCCAAGGCCTCAGGACCTGAGCAAACGTTGGTGATGGTGAAGGGCATGTCGTCTGTGTTCTGTGCTGAGACACCACCGGTTCCTGATGAGGATGAGGGAGAGGCCCTCACCAATTCTTGTTCCCTCACCTGAGATCTTGCTGCTTCTGCACTCAGTGCTGCCAAAAAAAATGTCATGAACAAAAGTGGTTGTTCAAGCTTCAAGATCATTTATTGGCGTGGTGACACTTCTCACATATTCAAAGATAATATCTACAATTTCTTGGCTTCTCAACTTCTGTAACAACATATGGGAAGGATAACCTCCTACAGATCATTCAGCCTTCTTAACTGATTGATGATGTGAAGTTATGTGTTTCTTGAGGGATAACCAGTATCTGTTTTGTTATTGACTTCTTACATTTGAATAAAGATTTTGTTCAAGGTACATGAATGTCTGAAAAAATGCCGTTAAATTTCAAGTCTTCCTTTCTGCCACTCCATTGTTTCTGGGCAGCAGACCAATTGTTTCCTCTTCCCAAGGAAAGCTGGCTTAGCCAGGTATGCAATCAAACTTGCTTGCTCAGACATACACGAGTGACATGGCAAATAACTCACCTGGGTCATCCTTGGCATGCTCTGTAGCCAGTTCACTGCACGTCACACAGTAATCCTTCTGCTGCTTGTCTCGTAACAGAATCGTCTGTATTGGGTGACAAACAGAAAAGAATAAAAGTCTTCAGGTTATAATTACTCACAGTTATATATTTAACTTAGTTCCGGCTTACATACTGTTCCGCATATCGATTGCATCCCTTTATTTTGCCTTAATTCAAGCGCATCCATGAAGTTAAATAATACCTGTGTGGTATGAAAATATAAAGTTGCTAAATTTACTGCACAATGGAAAACATATAGGTTCCTTATAAGGGTCATGGCATTGTTTCAATGTAAACCTGTTAAGAGCCAAACTGGCATTGACTCTATTTGAAATGATGCAAGGTATAGTCCTTCTAGGTTACAATGGATGATATATCCATCTGATGTAAGTACACTCACCCCGCAATGCGTGCAGGTGGTGGCTAGCATGCGGTATCCCTTGAGTAGGTAGTCTCCCATCAGTTTACTGATCTTGTCTGATCTTTCCTTCTTGGCTTGAATCACTTTCATCTCAGCCTCGGTGGGCGGGGTCCAGTCACAGTCTGCCCCCATATCCATCTGCTCACCTCGTCCTGTATAGAAAGAGGGAGAGAGAAAGGAGAGATAGACAGAGACAGGTATAGAAAATAAAGAGAACAGAAAACAAATGAGAGAATGCACAAAAAGGAAGATACAGAAAGGACAAATAGAAAACAGAGAAAAAGGAAAGGGAAAATTTAGGAAAAGAAAAGGAAAGAAAAATTTGATACAAGTTTGAATTTTAATGATGATCTAATAAGATATCTGCGAGAAGCAATCTTGAATGAACAACAGCAACAAAATTTAGATTATCCTTGGTCTGCAAGATATATTGATCAGAATTGCCAGAATAGACTTCCCTGAAAACTGTTTGTACAATGCTCCGCTTCTCAAAATTCTCAATCTAATATAAAGTTTGACACTTTCAACATCCATTCTCTACTTCGCAAAGTTCTTATTGACAGGAAAATTCCAGGACATTAGATTACATTATAAATCCAAAGACACTTTTACACATCATTTGATTAGTATAACAACTTATCTACAAGTATACAAAAAGGATTAGTATTTCCAGATCAAAACCTGAATTTATGAAAATTTTGAGTTTATATTCAAAAGCCACAGCTCCATACCTACTACCGGTATGTGTAAATGGGTTAAACTAAATTATCATTGAGTGCCAAAATCCAGGTCCAACTACAGCATTAAATGGAGTATTTATTTCAATCTCTTTGTCATTCTGAATTCAAAGGGGGAGGGCAATCTATAAGAGGACAACCCTATTCTCATTTCAAATTCTTATGATGCACCTTGCTGAACAGTGACTGCATCTGCAATGTCGACGCCTCGGCTCCTCCCACCAACTCTCCTATGCACCCCTCCCTGGCGTCTATCCCCCGCGCTGTACGAATTAGGTTGGTAGATCACCCCTTCCTGATGGAGCCATTTCAACTCCCTGGTATAGGCCTTTCTGAATCGCCACACGCTGGTGACGGCCACCTTATGTCCCAATTCACGGCTAAAGTGTTGCGCAGTCTCCAGGTCTCCTGCCACCATCGCGTACTTGGCAATGCGGGTGCGCATTTCGGGGGTGTACGAGTTGTACTTGCGGCCGTTGGGCCTGATTGAGCGGTTGCCTCGAGGGTATGGAAGGGCACGCTGATTGACTATCATGTCAACTGCCATCTGGTTTACAGCAGCCATGTTTCTCTTCATGTCACCTTAATATAAGTGAGACAGAGAGGAGTGGAAATTATTATGTTTTAAAGTCTATTTTTATTTCATCTATCTACCACAGTTGGCCAAGCTATTCTACTGGAAACTCAACTGACTTGTCTTTAATTACTGAACATTTTAGGGGTACTCTCTTGGCACTGAATTTTGAAAGCTAACACAGGCGTTCATGCTGGGACCATAAATAAAGAGAAAGATTCTACACGTCTACTACAAAGCATAGCATGCAATCCTAAAAAAATTCCAGTAGTTGATGTCAATAGCGTGCCCTTCCATTCTCCTCCTGATTGGCTGAAAAGTCCCTGAAAATCAATCATTAGAATGTCACTTCTGTTTGGGAAGGACCTCGGTATTCAGTCATTTTATGTCCCATACATGAATTGACATAAAAAGTGTCATTTTCACTTAAAAGAGTGCTACATATCTAGCCATTTAGCTATGTCCATTAAGCTGGATCCAAGGCCAGGGGAGTGATGGTAGAGTGCAAGGAGCATCATTACTGGCATCTAACTAGACCTCGACTTGTATAGCTTTGATGTTTGATGAGATTTTAAGACGAAATACCTTGCGCCTTTGAATGTTTTTTTAAACAGATATATGGCGCCATAAAAATGCTGTTCATCATCATCATCACTGAAACAATTTTAGTAGCAGACATAAACTTGTTAATGTTACTTCTTTTTATTGAAAAACTGTTTCAAACATTGGCACATGCACAACTTCAAGCCACAACCATGACAACACTCAATGTTTTGGAAAGCAACTACTGAACTAGACTTTCTAGAGCCTGGCTGAGGTCTAGATAGATAGATAGAAATTAAGATAACATCAAGTAGAACTAGAACTAGATCTGAAAACCAGACTGCAGTAAACTAATCTGCTAATGACTGCATTTTTTCAGATCTGGTAATAAAGGTAATAATAAAGACTCAAAGTCAAAGCCAAAAGCTACAACCACTCCAGCAAAGGCCAATACTAGTACGCCACTGGTCTTTCTGTCAAATCAAAGCATTGACCACCTACTACTACTACTACTACATGTACATAATGGTAGTCAGGCGAGTCTAGTGTAGTGATCAATGCTTTGGTTGGAACTTATTCAATAACACGAAATACTACGAATGGGGCTACAGTAGCTCAAATCTACAAAGAAGGGCGTCTTGCTTCTTCATTTCAAACACTTTTGCACAACAAAAAACGCAATGCAATACAAAGGAAATACACTTTACCGAACATACCACATGCCAAATTAAAATCCATCATAAAATGTATCTTAATTAGAAAAAGGCGCAGTTTCGCCCTTACCTGATGATGCGGCTGCATCCATCCTTGTCAATGAAATTATCGGCTATAGATCACATGCGCTTTATTTGACGACAACATTGAAGGTATCTGCGCTTGCAAACTTCTCTTATATAGGCCTACATAATTCCGATTGATATCAATTGTAAATGAGTTGCGATTAATATCAACTCTTTACAAGATCTGAAGATGGGGCCTAATTTGCAATTCATTAATATGCGCATCTACGTAAAACTTTCTGGTACGTACTGTGTGTGGTGATCGACGGTCTCTTTGACTGCATCCCTGCACCGAAATCGATGTCGTAATCGCACCACAGACTACCACCACACCTGGCAGATTCCCTTTACCCCCTTTAGGCCCTTTAGGCCATGAATTTTTATAACAATAAAGAAGTTTGATGGGCTCCGGCCCGACCGCCCCCCTAAATTTCCTAGAATAATTTTTCCGTGAGACGTACTTCCAGCATAGTCCTAGAAACAGACCTGCATGAGTGTGCATGGATTTAGTAAGGGGCATCTAGTAATGGATTCAACACTAATGATGCCAATAAGTTCATAATGTAATATGTATATATATACACATATATGCTTTATATCGAGAAAGATTTTAATATATCTCTATATGTGTAGACCGGGTCAGTATTATACTGGAAACATGACGGGCCCCGACTTAGGTGGAGAAAAGTAGTAGCCCCTAGCTTGTGGGCAATGGCTTATCTAGTAATGGCCAGGTGAAAACAATTAAATTGCACCCGGCGGGGCAAACAAATTGGGCAAGTAGTGAAATTACGCCGCCCCCCCCCCCCTCCCGCCCGAACTTGTCTACATAACTGTACTACGCCTGAGAGCAAACGAGCAAAGCAAACGAGCGCAATAAAAACGCAATTTCTCCATCTTACCTAAGGGAACAATTCAATACATGTAATATGATGGGCTGAGACCTCTATGTCGAATATCATAATATATAAATTTCGCAAGCGAAACAAAAGAATTAGAAGACTTTATTATGGTATAATAAATTAATTCGTGATCAAAAGACATTACATAATATTCAAAAGTTAAATTCGGGCATCTTGCTGCCCGAATAAGAGGTGATAGTTGGCCAAATATTGGAATTTTGAAGAAAAAAAATCCCCTGCAATCGAAGAGTAGAGTTTCTATAATTATGGACGACGATATAAACAGTCTTCACTTCACTTCTTTTTCGAATTTCGAATGGGGTGCAAAGCGAGTCAACGAACTCTTAGAAGGAAATATAGTCAAGGAATTTAGAAAAGTAACCGAAAGTTAAACATTCTTTTAAATGTTGAACCTTAATTTGCAAATGACATTGTACACTCCATTATAATTATTGAGGCGCAATATTCATAAAGACAAACACCATAGGGAGCAAAGCGATAATATTCAAATTCAAGATTACAAATTTGAACCCTATGTATAAACGGTATGCTCTATTGGGGTACATAATTTGGGATCCTGAAACAAAACACGCGAGGCAGCAATAGAGGTCTAGAACAAAATTGCATCTCAACCTTCAAAAAGTCTTCTTCTTTTAAAACATGATGCACTTGGGGCGCATGATTTTAATCATAATGGTCATCATGGATAATGATTTTTCTTCCTTTCCGGTCATTTCTCTCTGTGTCGTTTTTCTATGCGTCCCCTTCAATGCTGTGCCGGTTCACCCCCTCCCACCTACCCTATCTCTCTCTCTCTCTCTCTCTCTCTCTCCCACCCTCTCACTCACTCCTAACTCTACCCATCTATACGCTGTCAGTCATAGGCGAAAATACCTAATGTAGAGTCGAAGCTGACCAGGAAATTGTAAATTATTTAAAGAGCGCACAAAATATCTCTGAAAGAGGGTATTTAATATTATACTCCATGACTTTATTTTATCACTCTTGAAATAGAGAGTAAAACCTTTAACAATTCCTCTAATCGAATAATCACGATTCGCAAAAATTAAGAGTAAATAATATCATTTTTGTAACTTTTCAAGTTGCAGATGATGGTGGGCTGATGGTTACAAAGTCACGGTTTTACATTACTGGTACTTCCAAAGTGCCTTCTATTTTGCGATGAACGGGACCCGTTAAAAACTTCTTTTGCCAATCTAGGTAGCTCTCCCTCAAATTATTCATTTGTATTTCTGCCACAACCGTTATCGCATCATACCTAATCTGACTGGTATTGGTAAACATTTCTATTGATTCGTTCATGCCCGGTAAACCCTTTGATGATCTTACAGCAAACTCGGACACACCTGATGGAGGAGAAATCGAACCTACTCCCACTATTGTTGATTTGGAATCATTTTGTGATAAGGATTCTTCCAAATTGTTTGCCAACTCTTGTGGATTTTCATCGGGTGTTGTTTCATTTTCATCAAAGTTTAATTTGAAGGTCGACATGTGCCGGTTTCCATCGCCCAATTTAACCCTACTAGTAGGCCCGGGCGGTAACGGTGGCAAGGTTTTAAGGGACATTGTCAAATGTTGGTCCGTCGTCATCGTCCTACCAACTTCTGTCTTTCTATCTTTGAACATTGCATTTGTTGCCTGCCACTGGGATGGCCGCTGCGATTTCATTACGGTTGGATACGTGTCATCGAACATCGCCGAAATTTGGTCCGAATATATTTTCGTCTCCGTCTTGCCAGCATCCGTCTTTCTATCAAGCAGCTTTGCATTTTCTATATTCGATCGAGTTGGCTGCGATGTCATTTCGGATGGAATTGACGGTAACATTTTATATGAAATCTCCAGTCTTTGGTCTGAGATTCTCCTTATCTCCTTGCCAACACCTGTCTTTGTCTGGAATTTAGCATATTTCGTTGTGTTCGAGTGGGGTAGTTGCAATTGCTTTTCTGACTGAAATGGCAGTTTTCGAGACAAGCCTGGGATAGTTTCGAGACACTCTGTTTCCATGCGATATACTTTCGTTTCTACTTGTGTCGCAGACAGGTCCTTAACGTCGATATCTAACGCAAGATGATCACCTATCCCCGCACCTATCTCATTTCGTAGAGTTACGTCTGTCTTTTGTTTTGCTTTATTACCGACCTCCGGCTCCATATTGGAACTTGCACCGATGGTGACGTCGCCCTCTGCTTGGAGATGTTTGTCATCATCTTTGTGGCTTGATTGCTCTTCCCGCTTCAGGTCTTCCCGCAGTAGCCGAATCGCGTTGTCGAGTTTTTCCATCTCTTGTTGAAATTTAATTGATTTTCGATCTTGAAGTTGAATGTCTTGGTTGAGTTGATGGTCCTTTAGTGTATTCGAAGTTTCCAAGATTGTATGCATTTTCCATCGTCTGATAGCGCTATTGTACACAACCAGGAATATTGTTGAAGTTTAATAAATTAGTAAGATTTTGAGAATATTTTGTATTAAGAATTTAACAACTGTCTGTAAATAATACTGATTTTGTATGTAACGTTAAAAGGTCGAAATGACCTGTGAATAATCTTGCTAAACTTAATTTTAAAAAAACAAGTTACAATCATTGACCCTTTAAAGTCGGCATTTCGACCATGTCTTACAAGCCGATATTTCGTCCAGAAATTTGTGTTATCTCTAACAGTAATATAAGAAATATATATATATATATATATATATAACCGTGATTCATGTATTTTTGTCCTTTATTTTATCGAACCTCTAGTTTGACCGTTATGATTTTAATGTGTTAATTTTGCAGATAGGGGAAATATTATTTTTTAACCTCCCTCAACATCTATTACACAGCCTCGGAGAATATACCTCATGTCCATATGTATCATAATTTCACAAATAATTAATTGAATATTTACCTTCTGAGGATGCCGAATATCTTGATGTCCAGCATACCGTATTCATCATCGAATATACACTGGTCACAACCGAGAGGTTGACGAAGCGACGTTTTTCCAGGAGAGAGACGGCGATTATCCATGTTCTGATAATGAGACTATTAATCAAACAGGCATAATTATGCTGATTATGCTGGGAGGAAAATAATCAGCCGCATCTCCTGGAGATACTAAAGAGGAATTACATTTTCATTAAGTAGGCCTATAACGTTGACCTGAGTAGACACAGACGAATCAGAACAAAATAAATTGAAAGATAGAAAGAATTACAAGATGTATCAAAATATTTTGCGAATTGTTTCGGAAAGGCGGTATGTGTGGCGTTAATCACCGACTCTTTCTTTTACCTTCCTGGTACCGCTCTAAATAAAAATTAAACAAAAATACGATTCTTCTAATACAGTAACCATGACTGCATCTTCTCATGATTGATGCGCGCAGGATGACGAATCACAGTCTGCGCATGTACAATAAGGTATGTCACAATAAAGATCGCTTGGTTGGTTTTGGCATCCCCATCCCTTCCTCGTTGCCCCAATTGTGTATTAACCAAATTTCAAGAGTACCGGCGATTATTGGCCCTGGTTTCCCGTAGCCCATATATTAAATTGAATCTGTTATGCAGACGAGTTATTTTATGGGGGTGCCAAAAACAACCAAGCCATCGTTATTGTGACGTACCTTATTGTACATGCGCAGACGGTGATTCGTCATCTTCGGGGAACTATGCCTACACAAGGCCATCTGGCCTTTTTTTAGTTCCCTTTTTCAATTTCTTATATATTGCAAAAGGTTATTAAAGTGCATCTATGTATTGTTTTGATTGAAAATGGAAATAAATAAAAAATAAATAAAAATTGAATTGAATTTATATGACCTCGTCCCAAATCTTACAGTTCGCAAACACCTTTTCAAAGTTTACCTTTAAATCTAATGTGCCTAGCAACCTGATATAGATATTTTACATAATAATATCCATCGAACAAATAGCGAAAGGCAAGTCTTACCAAATGTTACTGCAACACGGCCACATGCATCTAAGGCAATGTTGCAAAACCCTGTACTTTACCTATTGAATGTGCGAATAGTACAGTGACATATAGAGTGGTATATAATTGAGACATGTTTTCTAGAAAGGCAATACAAATTGGGCGTTGCATTGCCTAATGTTGATTTCTTGAAATCCCTTGCGAACATATTCTGCTATAATTTCAGTAATAGGATTAGAGTACTAGAGTAGGTCCAAAGCAATGTTTACATACTCGGGGCTTCACTCATGGCTGGCTGGGACCTGCCCATTCAAACTAATATACTTTTTTAACCGGCAATCAAGCCAAAATATTGAGCGGACCGTGAGGGACCCCCCCCCCCTTCCCCCGCTTCGACCACTCCGTACCTGGTTGCGCCTCAGACAATCATGCAATTGATGGGGAAAGGTTATGAAACAAATTCTGTATTTTTTTCTTTTCTTTGAATGATTCAATTAAACATTTCAACCACTCTTTGAACCTTAGCTGCCGTAAAGGAGGCGTTTTGTTTAAGGATCAGTCGATCTTGTCAATATAATGATAATAATAATAAAAAGTGTGGTTATAAAGCGCTTACCACGGACGTCTCTAAGCGCTATTGACTGAAAGCATCGCCAGGATGTTTCATAACTGAGTTCAAAGACAGCTCAATTCTACTGCTTCTCTGCCAGACCATAAGACTCGCAGACAAACTTAGTCACAAACCAGTTGGTTAGGATTAACACTTCGACGCAGACGATGGCCACTTACCGCCTCCTCGTATTTATCACACTGTGCAGTGTTTCTGCACTTGCTCAGGAATTCGTGTATCCCAACGTCTTCAACGATCCCGAGAGAGATGCTTTCCTCTACGGGACGTTCCCCGACGACTTCGCCTGGAGTTCGGCAACCTCGTCATACCAGATTGAAGGGGCGTGGGATGGTGAAGGCAAGGGGGAAAGCATCTGGGATACTTTTACCCATGAAGGGGGACACGTTTACAACAACGATACCGGTGATGTTGCTTGTGACAGCTACAATAAGTAGGTTGATTAAGATAAATTGTTACAAAATGGCAAGGGGTTAGCCCATCGTCGCAAGGGTTGTCCCTACATGTCATTACATTGGTCAAACCCCTTAGTCTAGCGTTTCGGCAAATTTTGGAAAACGTGGAAAATCTTTGCTCTTAGGCTAAAATGACAGGGGGTTAACTTACCGTTTTTGCGAAAAATATGAAAATTTTGATTTGTGTTTATTTGGTCGCAATGATTGTCCCTGCAGGTCATTAAATTGGTCAAACCCCCATTTATTCCTTAGAGGAGCGTTTGGGCAAATCTTTGAAAAAATGTTGGGGGAAAAACAGGGTAATAACTTATTCCCTTCCACATCATTCTAATAGCTATACGACTTGTCAGTTTAGTCCTGAAAATATTCATCTACGAAAGACCATATTACCCCTAACCCAGATGACCCCCTCAGTACGTAACTGTTTTCTTCGTTGTTCTTTCAGGTATGGTGAAGATGTAGCCTTGATGAAGGCCATGGGACTGAAGTATTACCGATTTTCCATCGCTTGGGCACGGATCCTGCCAGACGGCACCATCGACAACATCAACGAGCCCGGCATCACGTATTACAACAACGTGATCGACGAACTCACGGAGGCCGGCATCGCTCCCATGGTCACCCTCTACCACTGGGACTTGCCACAGGCTCTCCAGGATGTCGGAGGCTGGGACAACGAAACCATAGTCCAACATTTCAATGACTATGCGGACCTTTGCTTCAAGAGGTTCGGCAACCGGGTCAAGTTCTGGATAACATTCAACGAGCCATGGATTGTATCTCTCTTGGGTTATGGTACCGGTGCGTTCGCCCCTGGTATCGCTGAGATCGGCACTACAGTTTACAGGACTACCCATAACATCATCAAGTCACACGCCTGGGCGTATCACACCTACAATGATACATACAGAGCTACACAGGTATTGATTTAAAGTGATTGTACATCCTTCCTTAACCTCAAAAGTGACATCGACCAATGAGGAAAACTTTGGAGATAAAAACAAGTAAAATATGCCGAGTTATGCTAGTATGTCCCATCTGAATGCACATTCATCAGTGCTTACATTATGTTCTCGGTATCTCAGCTTTTAGACACATCAAAGGTGAGATGCAGGCTTTAAAATGGAATGTGATTGGGAAGGTTTGAGCATAACGTAATGCGTATAGGTCAAGGACCAGGTACATCTCTTCTGCGTAGCATACACATTTCATTTACAAATTTAGCTTGCATATTTCGGCAGTTACTTTGATAAAAGTCCAGGGAATCTCAGTTTACCATGCAATCTCGATGTGATAAACAGGGGAGGGTATATAATTATCTTGACTGCCCATGTGTCATAGATCAATTAGTGCAAGTTTCCCCTGTGTCTGGGACCTGTGGTCAACTAGACTGCATCCATATAAATTCTATATTAATTTTTTTTTCTTGATTCTGCACAGATGGGACAAGTTGGCATCACTCTGAATTCCGACTTTGTTGAACCTTGGGACAGGACCAATGCATCCAGTGTCGAAGCCCATGATCGGCAGCTTAACTTCAATCTTGGCTGGTTCGCCCATGCTATCTACAAAAATGGAGACTATCCCGAGGTCATGAAGTCAAAGATCGCAGCCAAGAGCACCGCTCAGGGTTTCAACCAGTCCCGGTTGCCCGAGTTCACTGATGAAGAGAAGACCATGATCAAAGGCACCGGTGATTTCTTTGGGCTGAACCACTACACGTCCAACTACGCCATCGCAGTACCGGAGTACCTTGCGAACCCGCCAAGTTATTGGACAGACTCCGATGTCGGGTCATGGCAAGATGAAGCCTGGCCCGGGTCCGGCTCTGAATGGCTGAAAATAGTCCCATGGGGCATCCGTCGCTTGGTGAAATGGGTCCACGACGAATACCGCGTGCCCATCTACGTCACAGAAAACGGGGTCTCGACCCACGATGTCTACGAGTTAGACGATAAAATAAGACAGGATTACTACCGAGCCTACATCAATGAGCTCCTGAAAGGTATTTCTCTACATACATTTCTATATACAAGGGATTGTTAAATAAATGTTCATATGCATCTCGAAAGGGAGACATTGAAATACTATAAACGGAGGAAGAGCATTGGAATAAAGTACGGAATAGTAGTTATATTAGGTACATTAAAAGATATAAGTCTTCGGTATGATGGTAAAGAGTACAATAGTAAATGTCTGTTCATTCATTTCAAACTAAAACTACGATTGATTATATAGCAAATAAGCAAAGTTTTTTATTGACGAAACACAAAGAAATTTTTCAAGAAATGTTAAGGTTATAACCATTTATTTAATTACTTGATGTAAAAATATATGAAATATGTGAAATAAAACACCTCGGTAAGAAGACCAGAAAAACAAAAATATCAAAAGACATAATTTTACAATAGTCATTTGAAAATATTAGAGGCGCTTTAACGTACTTTCTACTTTTACTTTGAATAGCCGCGTAGATGTATTTTAAAAGCCACTTTGATACTGTATACTTTTTCATCAAGCCTCTTCAGATGTCTCTACTGATGGGTATTTTTTTGTAAACAAATGTGCATACATTACAAACGGCGACGACGATCCACACCTGTATAATTTGAAAGATATATATATATATATATATATATATATATATATTTATATATGTGACATAATTTGATGTACGTACATATATAATGACTCTCATTTCTTGTTAATATTGCATATCCTTTGATTTATTTGACTTCACAGCTGTTGTATTGGATGGGTCTGACGTAAGAGGTTATACTGCGTGGTCGCTACTTGACAACTTCGAGTGGGGCGCCGGCTACAGTGAGCGTTTTGGCATGCACTACGTAAACTTCTCCGACCCCGCTCGTCCAAGAGAGGCCAAGACGTCGGCTACCATGTATGCCGAGATAATTTCCAACAATGGATTTCTTCCGGAGAACCTGATTACGTCTCCGAGTCCGACGACGTCAGGAGCCACCTCGACTACGAATGGGTCGATCATTGCCGTGATCATCGTCGCCGCCGTTTTCGTTAGCGCTTTCGATATGCTCACCAAAACATGATTCGCTTCGATGCAATTAAGTTATGGCGAAATACAACATCGTAGGAATAACGTTTGGGGAGTGTAGTTAACTTGGAAAACAAAATCTTTTCTATTTTCAAAAGCGACAGGTAGATCTCTAACCCAAATGACTGATGCAGTTTACAAGAAAGAATGGAATTTAAGTAGCCATGAACCACACTGTCAAATATTGTGCATGTTATGTTGTTTTTATGTTGATTTAACCAATATGATAATGATGATATTAATAATAAAAATAAGAAGAAGAAGAAGAATAACAATAATAATAATAATAGTTATAATAACAATAAAGATAATGAAAAATAATAATAAAAAATAATGACAATATTACTAGTATTGATTATAATTTATATTTATTTATTTATTTCATTTCTCTTCATGGTCTTTTTCCGAATTACTGGCAAGAAGATCGAAGAAAGAGAAAAGGATAAAAATGAGAGAAGATGTGAGAACAAGAGAGATAGAGAGAGAGAGAGAGAGAGAGAGACCAAAAAAGGAGAAATACAAGGTGCACTTGAACAAGAGGAGAGATAAGACAGAAGAGAATGAAAATGGAGTAGTAATAATTATAGTGCTTATAATAGCGCCTAACACTTACTTTATCAGAGGTCTTATAAGCGCTCTACAAATAATGCAGCATAATTACCCTGGTTTTAGCAGTGCAGCTGTTACGCGCGCTGCGTTTCAAGGAATACATTCCTACCAGGTACCCATTTACTTCACCTGGGTGGAGTGTGGCAAATGTAGATCAATGTCTTGCCAAAGGACATTAGTGCAGCGGGAAAGGGAAATAGAGGATAGAGGGAGGAAAATAGTGGAGGAGAGAAACAAAGATAAGAAAAAGAGAGAAAAGGGAGAGTATAGAGTAGAGAGAGAGAGAGAGAGAGAGAGATGGGAGACTGGAGGACACTAGCGCTGAGCCTATCTTGTCGTAATACTGGTATCCATAACAACGGATGGTATTCTGGGTTTGCAAGCCATGCCGCTTCCATAGAATAGATCTCGTTTTCCATCCAAACCATGTTTTTGTCAGCGTCATCGACAAAATTGAGATAAATAGAACACATCAATGTTTATCTAGTAATTGATTGATGCACACTTTTTATGCATCTGATGTACATCTACACGTTTTTAGGACTTTAGAACACGGCACACGCTACTATGATAATCACTTAAAAATAGTTATTAATGATTAATGACTCTTTTTTCCAGACATGAGATAAATTCCTGGATGTATAAAGTGTCATCATATTTACATGTAGATAGAGAGATAGATAGATAAGATAAGATAGATAATTATTAGTTTCCACAATATCTCGTTTTACATAGAGTGTAACAACATATTGAAGAATGATTATAATATAAATGTACATACAATACCGGTACACACTATTCAGAAATTGTCCTTCAGTTGAACTAAGAGATAAATTATGGTGGCGGAGCCTATATGGAAAAGCCTGTGCAAATATGTACCGCTTTGCAGCATGTGCCCAAATCACATTGCAATATGATATGTAGGGGGGGGGGGGTGGGATGGGGTGGGGGGGGGGGGGGGGGGTTAATGCAAACTGCATTATACAGCATAAAGTGTGTAGTATTTGGTAGAATATTCTTAAGTTTGAATAAAATGCCGACAGCTTGTAAAATGGTGGTACTGATAACTTGTATGTTTAGTTTCCAACTTAGCTTCCAACACTGGCATTATAAAAATACTGCTTCCATTAGAGATAAAGGTGGTCATCAAAAGAAATATTCTTTTTTTAAATCGATTCCTGCCTGTGTTTTATCAAAATGTATGAAATTTTTTTATATTTATATTTAGAGATAACTATTGCTCTTAAAACATACTGCGACGTTTTCAAGTTAATTGTTATTATTCGCCAGTGGTTCAAGCTCAGAATGAGAACAAAAGAGAGTAGTGTCATCGGCGTATAGCATAATTGTGTCAGATTAGTGGAGGATTTGAAATATGATTTGATGTAAATGAGAAAAAGAAGTGGGCCCAGGATGGATCCTTGAGGCACGCCGTATGTTATGTTATGATAGTACGAGAATTTGTTTATTAGATAAAGTCAAAAATTGTAAATAATAATAATAATAATAATAATAATAACAATAATAACAATGATAATAATAATAATAATAGGCTAAAAATACTTCTATTACTTCAACTACTACTACTGCTGTTACTAGCAATACTGATAATACACGTATTTGGGGTTCATGATTCCTTTCGCAATGAGATATTAAAGATAAAGCACTAATATTATTAGGAAAAAGTCTTTTTAAAAGAAAAAAATTACATTATTCTATTTGGATTAACTCAAGTTTATTATATATTCTGTCTGTATCTTCTTAGTTTTATATCATGAATATATGAAATATGTATTACTTTGCACCGGCTGATGATTCTTTAAAATAACCATGGAGTTATTTAGTGTTCTCCGCCGACACTTCATTTAATGGAAAATAAAGTATTATTTGTGATATTAAAGTGAGCCATATAGGATTAATATTATCATCTACTCTTGAACTTTGGATTAACACTAAGCTTTTTCAAATTAAGACAAAGATTCAACGCCTTTGTCTGGACAAATCTTCTAGAGGGTTGTCCTTCAGATTTACCAAGGGCATCGCTCAAATGCACAGGTATGTTTTCAAGCTGAGAAATGTAATTTTCTTTTTCGGGGAGGAAGGGTTTGGCGGGGTGTACCTCAATGGACCCTGGACCTTTTCAAACCTGTTTTCTCCCCTTTTCTATATTGGGAGGCATTTTGCACCCCTTTACCCTTCCCAGATCAGCCTTCAATTACGTATCGTCTATATTATGCTTTTATTATGCCTGTATTATGTTCGGGCTTTTGAATGATATCATATCGTGGTTTTATTTCATTATTTCAATAAACTATTTTAATTTGAAGTTGAATACAATCTGTACTTCTCATCAATGTTTCCCCATCCTTAAAAAACTGGGTCGGCACCCACCCATCCAGGTCGCCCCTCTTCTATTCATGCTTGATTCAATATTGAGGGAACCCTTGTATTTATGATCAGTGGGCGCCGCGGTCCAATATCCCCTGGTGGGCGTATCCCTTTATTTGCAGTTGAGAAGGGATAAGCTGAGTGTAAGGTCAGGAAAAATACTTTATGTTGAAGTAAACTCCTGCTGTGAGTGTGTATTAACAATGGAAACCAGATAATATTGATCAGAATTCAATGACAGGGATGGCTCATGAAAAAGAAGGTGCTAAGAGGAGGGGGGGGGGGGTTGAGTAATGAAATTAAAAGGAAATCAACCCTCCCCTTATTCATAGAGAGCACTTTCCCCGGAACATGCATGTGCCCCCCCCGGCCAAATTTCATAACTTTTGCCCTTCTTTTCTGTCCCCCCCCCCCTTTTTTTTTATAGATGTGTACCCCCCTCACCCTCGGTAAGCGTATCCTAGATCCGCTATTGAACTATGTCACCTGCTGAAAAAACTATATCACTCTGACTGTTATCTATAGTAGAATGACTTTACAAATTTATATTGTTTTATAAACGCACTATCTCATTAATGATAAAATGTGACATCGAAAACTCTGCGAATATGATTTATTTTATCCACCTCAGACAAAGACATTGTGTCGATTCACCTACTAGAGTAAAGACCTTTCGCCTACATATTTGAACCAATCACTTGATTTGTTCTTCTTGTCTCTCTTTCTGTCTATTCTAACCCTTTCTCTCCCCTCTTACCCTCCCCAATTGTCTGTCTACCTAGCCTCCCTGTATGTCCTCCCCCCCCCCCCCGTTCGTGTGTTTGATTCTGTTTCGAAGTATCAATGTCCAATAGGGCAATATTTCGAGTATACACATTATAAACAAGATGTATACTACTACTTCTACTACAACTGCTGCTACTACTAACACTGTACTATTGGTGATGATGATGATGATAATGATGATAACAGTAGTAACAATAGAAAATAATAATGTGTGTGTTTAAAACAATCTGCAGATTCCAAAGAAAAACATTTTGACCTTAAAAAGGATGTATCTTCTCAGGCATTGCCCCTAATTAATGAGCAGATATTGAGTCTCAACATTTTTCATGTTCCAAAACATCTTGTCACAATCCTAAATTGTTACCCCATCATCACTCCTAAAAAAGAAGAAAAAGGATAAAGATAATACGAAAATGCAAGGTACCTACGGCTATTCGTACCAAAACAAAATCCTGTTCTTAGCAATACGACAATATAATGCCCTTGAATGACGAATTTAAAGGTACTGAGCTTTAGAAAAGTTTATTATTTTCAAATATCTATTGGTATTATTCCTGAGAGGGGAGACGAGGAGAATTAGGAGGAGAGAGAGAGAGAGAGAGAGAAAGAGAGAGAGAGAGAGAGGGAGGGGGGGGGGGGCAAAGTAGATACCAAATGTTAGCACTAGATCAGGGAGTGCAACTTCATAATTGGATAGGAGAGTTCCCTTATCTTACACGACCTATTTTCACCACACGGTCGTTACTTAGGTAAGCACTATTTTTCATTATGAATTGATGTGGAATTTGATTATAAGTTGTGCAATTTGAACTTTACAGTTCTATTCAATCTTCTTGACAAACATTGCACTGTTAGCAACAATATTGATACAAACAAAGAATAATATATTTATGACGAGGCAATAGATGCTTTTGCTAAACTTTGGAATGATTGGATGAAAAGGCATATCATTGTCAATATTTAGTTTAGAAGTGGGCCTATTTGTTGAGTGTGTGGGTAAATGGTTAAAAAACATTCAACCAATCATGATATCATACCAATATTCAGAACAGGTAGCAATCCATTTAAAATCGGGGTTCTGGAGCCCACCTGAACTTCCCTCTAAACCTCAATGCTTGTACCACAATACAACAGTTATAAAAGAGGATCCTTTCCCCAATCTTCGTCCTACTCTGACTGTCTTCCTTTGAATTCAGTAAAATGACTCCTGTACACGAGACACGTCGCAAACAAAGAGAAGGAAATAACAAGCCAACATGAGAACAATCGGCAAAAAGTTTTATTACAACATTTGATAGAAAAATGAAATAAGTGAACTTATTACATCAAAATATATATATATATATTGATCTATCTTATGAGAGGCGATAACACTTCAACAAGTTACAATCAACAGTCACTTTTATTTGTACAATAATTAACCAAGTCATCACGATTACTAAAAACATGTATAATGTATTTTATACTCTTTGTATAATGTACTTTTATAACATCATGTATGGCTCCTGAAGAAGCGCATGGAGACGACGTCAATTTGAGCAACATCATCAAATATGGTTACAATGCATTATATGAGCCTTGGTCTATTCACAATCTGCATCAAGACAATACTTGAAATCTGAAGTTTGTTTGTACTTTAATAACAGATAGAGATTACAAAAGTAAATATTTTGTATATTATGATGAAGCCGGGATTATCTGGGTTATCATTCTGATATGATCCTATTCCTCCTGCATCCATAAAATAGGCCTAGTGTAAAATATAATAGTTGACATTTACTGCGAATATTTAAAAACGATAGACGACTCCCATCCTTATCTCCACAGGAATGGCAGGTAGATACAGAGCTCTAGCTAGCTATTACCCACTCCGCGGCATATTCAGGGTCTTTTGCATCAGGCTAGCAAAGGGGTGGATGATCCAAGATTCAGGATTGATGGCGGGATAGGGGGGGGGGGGGGCTGCACATGTTCGTGTCCAAAATATCTGACAACAATTTTTTTTTGACGGGGGTAGAGTTTGGAGGTTTATTGAGGGGCACGGGCCCCTGTACTCGCTGGATCCGCCACTGGTAATACAAATAATGATAATTTGCCTTGTATTCCAGTAACCTTCGCATGATATCAAAGCTCACCTTGACGTTTGGCAAGACAGTCAGGCATTCACGGGACTTCTTGAAGTAAAGAAAAAAAACGTTAGTTGAAACCAAAATGAAAATGTTAATCACTCTTGTGTCGTTGATCGTCTTCGTCAACGTTGGCGACGTGCGCTCGGTCGACGATCCTGAATTTGTCTTCCCCGATGTTTTCAACGATCCTGAGAGAGATGCTTTCCTCTACGGGACGTTCCCCGACGACTTCGCCTGGAGTTCTGCGACGTCGTCCTACCAGATCGAGGGAGGTTGGAACGCAGATGGAAAGGGAGAGAGTATTTGGGATACTTTTACGCATGAAGGTGGTCACGTGCAGAACAATGATACGGGGGATGTTGCCTGCGACAGCTACAACAAGTAGGTTACTTACTCTCTTTAAACTTGCCTATTTCAAATGACATTAACAATGCTTTGATGAAATATTATAAGAAGGAAACGTGAGGGTGCACATGCATGTGTATAAATACTTTGGGCGAAGGGCATTATGCCTGTGGTGTGTCTCATGGATGCGTCACTGCTTTGGTCTTTAGTATTTTTACCTGTTCTTACGTTTCATTTTTGCATTGATTGAACGCCTCCTGGCTCTAAATAAAACATTAATCATACTTTCCTCTTTGTGTTATTTTGAGGTTTAAGGTCATCTTGATTGATTGATTTCAGATACCAAGATGACATCGACACCATGAAAGACATGGGCCTCAACGCTTACCGTTTCTCCATATCCTGGCCCCGGGTTCTCCCCGACGGCACCATCGACAACATCAACGAAGCCGGCATCAAGTATTACAGCGACGTCATCGACGCCCTAATCTTAGCTGAAATCACCCCCATGGTCACCCTGTATCACTGGGACCTACCACAGGCTCTCATGGACGACGGGGGCTGGGATAACGAGACTATCATCGATCCCTTCAATGACTACGCCAACCTTTGCTTTGAGAGGTTCGGCAACCGCGTCAAACTGTGGATCACGTTTAATGAGCCATGGGTGGTGACGTTGCTAGGATACGGTACTGGAGAACACGCCCCTGGCATCGAAGAGATAGGAACCACGGTCTATACAACCAGTCACAATATCATCAAGGCGCATGCCAAGGCCTGGCATACATACGATGATAATTGGAGACAAAGTCAAGTAAGATATTTCCACTGGCTAACAAATGGAAAATGTATAATTCTTTCCTTTAAAAGATACGTTGTAAGATGGGACTTCATTACGCGAGAATACTGAAACCATTATCATCATAATTATGTTGATAACTTATACAAGGGCACCCCTCAGTCCATGAAATGGTGAAAACAAGGGGTAAGGAAGAGGAGGGGTGAAGAAGGGGGAGGGGAAAATGAAGGCGTGGGAAGAAAATGGTGTGGCCCCATATGCACAACCTCTTTCTTAACGTACTTCATCTATTAGTAATACATCAGTCTCACCTCCAAACCGATTCCATCCCGACTCTAAACCGACATATTCTCGGCCATTCGGGGGATAATGATGTTTGCTCAGCCTGGTGTCGGTCTCCTCGATGTGACTGGGTTATAAGACCGATGCCGCAGCCCCATAGTGCGCATAAATAATACTGTAAGGCATACACTATAATTTATACGTCACTGATCATATTGTAGAGTTGTCAATTGTTACATTCAATGGCATTACGGGACGTGTATCACTGTATCAGATTCAAATAATTTCATGTCAGTATTCTGGTTCAATTGCTCCCTTTGAGGTGACATTATATCTTAGCGCATTTTGTCACTCTTTCTTTTCGAAGGCGCAAACGGGCCTTTTCACATTGCTATATTTTTCTATCTTTCCTTCCTTTTGTCAGGCCGGACAAATAGGAATCACGTTGAATTCCAACTTCGTCGAACCTATCGACCGTGACGACGCATCTAGCGTGGAAGCAGCTGATCGTAGCCTGCAGTTCAACCTTGGCTGGTACGCTCATCCTATCTTCATCAATGGAGATTATCCCGAGGTCATGAAGGACAGGATTGGACAGAAGAGTATGGCCCAAGGGTTCAACGAGTCCAGGCTGCCAGAGTTCACCGACGAGGAAAAGGCGTACATCAATGGCACGAGTGATTTCTTCGGGTTGAACCACTACACGTCCAACTACGCCTGGGATCTTGGATTGAACTTGAACACTGACCCAAGCTATTGGGCCGACTCTGATGTGGGCAGCATGCAGGATGATGCATGGCCCACCTCGGCCTCGAGCTGGCTGCGGGTGGTGCCGTGGGGTATCCGAAGACTCCTGGCGTGGATCAAGAAGGAGTACGGTGACCTGCCCGTGTATGTGACGGAGAATGGTTACTCGGACGAAGATGTACGTGAGCTTGATGACGTCATGAGACAAAAGTATTACACATCCTACATCAATGAAGTTCTTAAAGGTGAGAGGATAGGAAACAAGAAGGGGTCTCGCACGGTCACTATAGAATTATCGACGCGCTTCCCTGATCTTGCTGAGAAAACCAATTGAATTCTAGGCATTGAGGGGGTAGCACTGGTCTTACTTTGTGAATAAAATGTGAATTATACAGACCAGCGATTAGCGGAAGGATTGCGAGTCGGGGTACTTTTATCTTCTTTCTCATCCTTTGCCCCTTTCTCTTTCCTTCTCCCCCTCTCTCTCTATCTCTCTCTGGCCATTCGATCAGGAGGAAGAGTCCTCTATGCCTACTGTAGCTAAGCCACTGGTGCCGAAAATTGTCAAAGCATTATCTTGGAATATTATACGGGGGGGGGGGGGGGGGTCTGGGTGCGGATACAAAATAAATAAATAACGTTAGAATCGTAAGTAGAGGCGCGTATTCAATATTGAGGAGGGATAGTCAGTGTGGAAGATCCCAAGTATGCTTGGCCTCAAAGCCCTGTTAGGCCTACACAAATATTTGCCACAATATTCAGGCCTGTTGCGTCCCCGACCTGTATCAGCCACTGCAAAATGAAGATTCTTTAAAGGGATTGCATTTCCGATGTCTTAATCACAACTATGTTATGTCTTATGAAATGACCCAATAAGACTTTTTCGGTAATCCCTTTCTTTAATTATCGGCCTTATGATTGCCATGTTTCAGATGAATTTTGTTTCATCAATCAATATCGAACATTCAGCTAAACGACATTGCCAATGTCGTGATAACGCTCCATTTAAAAGGTAAATATGAAAATGATCATGTATGTAATAGAAAATATTTCTTTTCATGAATGTATGAAAGCCTTGTTTGAAATGATTATGATATTAATTTTGGATCATAATTATTTTGGATCTTAATTACAGCCATTGAGGTGGACGAAGTTGACGTGAAGGGATACACGGCGTGGTCACTTCTCGACAACTTCGAATGGGCAGAGGGCTACACTGAACGTTTCGGGATGGTCTACATCGACTTCAGCGACGAGGATCGAATTCGGGTACCCAAGATCTCAACCGAAGTCTACGCTGAGATCGTGGCCAATCACGGCTTCATAAAGGGCATGACGACGATGCCCACCACGATGATGACGACGGGAATGGCGAATGCCCCGAAGGCGCTCAGTGTGTTTTTGACAAGCTTTATCACTCTTGGTGCATACATTCTTTTCCGTTAGGTACAGTACAATATGGTTGAGCAAGCTTTTTTTTATCCTGAAGGGAGGAACAAAAGCGTCTGATAATTCGGACTCTATAAAAAAATCCTAGTGAAGGCATTTGACCTAGTTAGCGCCTGCTTGCACCCATTCTATGAGCTTCTGTACAAAAGTCTATAATTTGTTCTTTATTTTTTAGAGTCGGACAAGCGTGTTTTCTCCAATCAATAAACTGTATTACAAGATTTTGTTCATGACCCCCATCCCCTTCCACACAAAGAGAGAACGAGTTAAGAGGAAAAGAATCGTTCATGTTGCTAATACGTATAGTTACGAGTTTAGTTGGTTGCTTAAATTATTCAGTTTACGGTTATGGATTAGAAGAAGAAATGATCTTCCATGATAATTTAATTGCTGTTAGTTTCCCCTCCCCCCCCCCCCCGAGGGCCAGGAGCTCGATTTTACAAATTTAGGTGTAGGGCCTTCTTTTTTCTAAAATGATGAACAAATCTTCCGATTCATCAGAAGCCCTATTATAGTTTTAGAACTGCAAGACCTCTGGATTAACAAGTTAATAAGTTTTTAAGATTCGACACCCTCTATATTCCGGCAATGAATGTAGAATTTTCATTAATGTCGAAACATCAGCAGACGCCGTATGGATGACGAGTCGACCGTAAACAATCCACCTACCTACGATTGTTGAAGTAAAGGAGATAAAATCTAGGGGGTAGATGAAGCTGAAGAATCATACTGAAAATAAAAGATTTGATCTAAAATATATTGGGATACGTGACAACGTTTTCGTCCTAGTATGCAAAAGTTATGTAAGAGAAATTTAACATTTTAAATTTTCATTTTTTCATTGTTTCATCACATCTGTTTAGTTTCTTTATGCGCTTTGTATTTGAACCAGTTTTTAGTTCATAAAACTCATTTTGCTTATGACAGAACCTTACCCAAGACAAACTTGCTTACAGGTATGCGTTCTCGAACAGCCTATTGTTTATATTGTCCATCTTATTTATCTGTAAATTTCAAAGTGACAAAGACGAATTGGTCTTTTTAAAAATCAATTATTGAACGTGTACATGAGCCAATGACATCATAATTATATCTCATGAAGCGGGCTTCTCTTTAATTTCAATTTTTAAACACACTATTTTATAACTTTATCTTAAAAATTGGATACTGCACATTCAAGCCAAGCGTATATTGAAAGTTAGTTTAGCGTAACTATCATCTAGTAATGTTACAGGTATTTTCAGAACGTCTTTATTTGCGGATTTAGTTTACAGAAAAGCAATTTTCGAATGCTCGACTTATCAAGTATTATTATAACAAAAGACATGATGTAGAAATCTATTTTGAAATCAGAATGTAAACAATTATAATGATCAAAGAATATAAATCCGGTATCGATTTTGTTCTCTAATCAAATATGCGGAATATTAATTGTATTAAGTTCTAGTAACGATTCATTAATCATTCATTCCGGCTTTCGTGTTATTGCAGGAAATAATAATAATATTCATTTGAATAACGGCTTCACAAGCGCGTGATGATGCGATGTGTCATCATTAGACCTATTTCCTGCTTAGAAATTACTTCCAGTATTACAACTATTCAACACACCCAGGGGTAGATCCGGGGGAGCCCTGGGGGGGGGGGGGGATCGAGCCCTCTCCCCTGTCCCAAAATAGATTTAAAAAAGATGGTAACGTTAATTTTACCTTTAAAAAAGAAACGAAGACGGCCCCCTAGCAATTTGTTTTCGTTTGCTAAAAAAAAAAGGGGGGGGGGTCAATAAAAAAGAGCACCCCCACCTCCGTTGGGCAAAACAAAAAATAGTGCTCATTCCCCCCCCCCCCCCCCCGCTTATTCGGTCGGGAGGCTAAGTCGCCGCTCAATATTTGCTCACGAATTGGGCCCCTTCTTGGGCTCCCTCCCTCGCCGCCGGCTGGATCCGCCACCTGACACAAACTGGTATATATTGCCCATAAATATCCCAGTAAATGTAGCCTTTAGCATTGACTAACGAGTCTACTGCTCTTTAGTAAAAAATATATGTTTTCTTGATCTTTGATCAGAGAAAAGGAAGAACAATTAGAACAATAAGATATTTGTGTGTGCGTGGATGAAGAATTATGAAACCAGTCAACTATTACGGCCGTCTGAGATGATCGTATCGTGGTTCTATTTCATGCCACTTTAAAGTTGAAAAAAAATAAGGTATTTGGACTTTATTCTCAGGAACTGAACATAGTTTGATTTTTCGTTTCATCCGCAGAGAGAGAGAGAGAGAGATAAAGGGGGGAGAAGGGGAGGAGGAGGAATAGAAAGAGAGGGGGAATATAGAGAGGGGAGAAGGACAAAGAGAAAGAGGGGGAGAAAGAGAGAGACAAAGAGACAGAGGGAGACAGAGAGAGAGAGAGAGAGAGAGAGAGAGGGGGAGGGGGATTAAAGGTGTAGATTGAAAGAAAAAGGAAAAAGAAGTACATCACATAAGGATCATTTTTTGGCAGTCATGATTTGTTCTAGTGTCACTCGACTTATTAATGTTATTTTTGTTTACTTCAAATTTTAACAATTTTTCTTTCCATGGCAAGAGGAAAAATATAAAGAAACTAAAAAGAAGAGGAAGATAAAAAAAACAACCTCTCAATGAAACAGCAAATCTAACATGTGTTGTGTAATAGTTCCTCTACTTATGGTTGAACAGTATCGAGAGAGAGGGACAGGGAGAGTTTGATTAGAGAGAGAGAGAATGAGAGAGAGAAAGAGAGAGAAAAAGAGGGAGAAAGAGAGGGATGGGTTAGAGAGTGTGTTTTTGAGTGTAAGAGAGAAAGAGAGAGAGGGATAAGTGGGAGAGTGTGTTGTCCGTGTAAGAAAGAGAGAGAGAGAGAGAGAGAGAGAGAGAGAGAGAGAGACTGAGGGAAAATGGGGAGGATCACATGTATCATGACATACAAGCAGGGAATTGACATTTGATTATTGGCAGAAGACTCCCTTCCAATGTATATCGGCCTTTTAATGTGTTTATTTGAGGGTCAACAAAAAGTTCCAGTGATTGCAAATAGAACACTTAATATCTACTGGTTCCGCATTCAGAGCAGGATGTTTCGAAAAAGAGAGTTTGAAATAAAGAGCAATTCAAGAAAAAGGGATGGAGAAAGACTGAGAAAAGAAGAAATAAATACAAATAATGAGGAACAAAGAAAGAGAATGAACACACGCTCCCCTATCTCTCTCTCTCTCTCTCTCTCTCTCTCTCTCTCTCTCTCTCTCTCTCTCACCCCTCTCTCTTTCCCTCTCCCCCTCTCTCTCTCTGTCCTCCCCTCTCCATCTACTCCCCCTCCCCACTCTCTCTCTCTCTCTCTCTGCGGATGAAACGACAAATTAATTGTTCAGTTCTCCTGAGAATAAAGTCCAAGTACCTTATTTATTGCTTGTAAACTAAATAGAACAACGATCAACTCAAACAGCCGTAATATTTGACTGGTTTCATAATTCTCCATCCACGCAAACACAAATATCTTATATTCGGAATATCGTTTAATTGTTCTTCCTTATCTCTGATCAAAGATCAATACAATCTATATTATTACTAAAGAGCGCTTGTTAGTCAATGCTAAAGGCTACATTTACTGGGTAATTACTTTATGGGCAATATATACCAGTTTGTGTAAGGCGTGTGGAATAGTTGTTAAAATACAATTTATTTGCCATAGATAAAAGTAATTCCCCTTGAAGAAAAGTCTAATGATGCCACATTACATCATCGCGCGTTTGTGAAGTTGTTATTAAATGAATATAAGTATTATTTCCAGCAATAACACGAAAGATTGAATGAACAATGAACGAATCGTTATTAGAACTTAATATTCCGCATATTTGATTATCAAACAAAATTGACATGGGATTCACATTCTTTCATCAATATAATAATGAACATTCTGATTTCAAAATATATTTCTACATCGTGTTTTTCGTTATAATAATTATATATTTGATGAGTCGAACATTCGGGAATTTAATTTCTATAAACTAAATCCGCAAATAAAGACCTTCTGAAAATACCTGTAACAATGCTAAATAATAGTGACGCTAAAATAACAGTAATTTGCGCTTGGCTCCTGCATCATGTATAGTTGAATGTACAGTATCTAAGCTTTTAGATAAAGTTATAAAATAGTGTGAAGAGAAGCCCGCTTCATGAGATATAATTATGATGTCATTGACTCATCCTGTACAGGTGCGTTTATTGAAAGAAAAGACCAATCCGTCTTTGTCAAATTGAAATTAACTGTTAAATTAAATAAGATGGTCAAATTTCATAACATAAGGCTGTCGAGAACGCATTCCTGTAAGTATGTTTGTCTTGGATAAGGTTCTGTCATAAGCAAAATGAGTTTTCTAAACTAAACATTGGTTCAAGTACAAAGCGCATAAAGAAACTTAGCAGATGTGACGAAAAAAAGAAAAAATGGAAATAAAAAATGTGAAATTTCTCTTTTATAAGTTTCGCATGCTAGGACGAAAAAGTTGTTACGTATTCCAATACATTTTAGATTAAAGCTTTCATATTCAGTATGATTCTACAACTCCATCTACCCCCTAGATTTTCAATCCTTTACTTCAACAAACGTAGGTAGGTAGATTTTTTTTTACGGTCGACTCGTCTTCTGTACGGCGTCTGCCGATGTTTCGACAATAAAGAAAATGCTACATTCATTGCCGGAATATATAGGGTGTCGAAACTTAAATACTTATTAACTTGTTAATCTAGAGGTCTTGCAGTTCTAAAATATAGAAAGAGCTTATGATGAAGATTCGTTTATCATTTTCTTTTAATGAGAAAGCCCTACACCTAAATTTGAAAAAGATAATTTCTTCTTCTAACCCATAACCGTAAACTGAATAATATAAGCAACCAACTAAACTTGTTATACGTATTAGCAACATGAACGATTATTTTCCTCTAAACTCGTTCTCTCTCTGTGTGAAAGAGGGAGGGGGGCAAAATCTTTGATTACATGTTATTGATTGGGAATAAAGGGCCTGTCAAACCTACAAAATAAAGAAAAATTATTAGACTTTTGTACAGAAGCTCACAGAATGGGTGCAACTAGGCCCTAACTATGGGTTGGCATAAACCTGTTTAATAATCAAATACTAGGATTTGTTATAGTCCGAATTCTCAGACGTATTTCTCCCTCCCTTCCCGGGATCAAAATAGCTTGCTCAACCATATTGTACTGTACCTAGCGTAAAATAATGTATGTACCAAGAGTGATACAACTTGTCAAAAACACACTGAGTGCCTTGGGGGCATTCGCCATTCCCGTCGTCATCATCGTGGTGACGGTGGTGGTCATCGTCGTCATGGTATTATTGCTCTTTATGAAGCCGTGATTAGCCACGATCTCAGCGTAGATTTTGGTTGAGATCTTGGGTTCTCGAGGTCGATCGTCGTCGCTGAAGTCGATGTAGACCATCCCGAACCGATCGGTGTAGCCCTCTATCCATTCGAAGTTGTCGAGAAGTGACCAAGCCGTGTATCCCTTCACGTCAACATTGTCCAGCTGAATGGCTGCAATTAAGATCCAAAATTAATACATAATAATTTCAAACGAGGCCTTCATACATTCATCAACAAATATTTTCTATGATATACAGCTAATATTTATATTTACCTTTAAAATGGAGCATCATCAAGACAGTGACAATGTCGTTATCGTGAATGTTCGATATTGAGTGGTGAGACACAAATTATCTAAAACAGGCGCGTACGCAGGATTTTTTCAAGGGGGGGGGGGGGGGGGGGGGGGGGGGGGGGGGGGGGGTAAGAGGACACTTTTTTTTTTTTTTTGGTCTCGAAATTTGAAAATTTGACATTTTGCTCCGTTGAGGGGGGGGGGGGGGTAAGGTCAGCTTTTTTAGGTCAACCATGGGAATATTTTTTTTTTTTAATTAAAAAAAAAAAAAAAAAAAAAAAAAAAAAAAATCCAAAAGGGGGGGGGGGGTTTTAGAAAAATTTAGGGGGGGTTTACACACTAAAAATTACCAAAGGGGGGGGGGGTTAACCCCCAAACACCCCCCCTGTGTACGCGCCTGATCTAAAACAATGTAGCAATCATACGGCCGCTTATTAAAGAAAGGGCTTATCAAAAAAGTCATACATGTATTGGGTATTTCATAAGACAGAACATAAGTGTGATTAAGGCATCCGAAATGCAATCCCTTTTAAGTATCTTCGTTTCGCCCCGGCCCCCCCCCCCCCACTCATGTTTCGAAATGACCGCATGCGTGTTGCCAAAATGTCCGGTAAAGGGGTACTTTTCGTGCGACAAAGTCCGGCCCGAGAATTGTAAAAAAAGAGGTGTATTTGACTTTTCTCCCGGAGATTTCTTTAAAAAGGGGGGTGTTTTCTTTTTTTCTCTCATCTATTTGGACTCCTGAGAAATTATTCCGAATTTAGGGGGGTACATTGAGCATTTTTCCTGATTTAGGGGGGTCTCCAAGGCAGGAAAAGCCCGCGAAAGGGGGGTTCGGAAATGTTGGCAGTCCTCAGATAGGGGATGATTTCAAAAAGAGGGAACGAGCATATGCGTACCCTAAATAACAATGAGTGGGGGGGGGGGGGCCGGGGTTTCGCAGTGGTTGATACAGGTTGGTAACGCAACAGGCCTGAATATTGTGGCAAATATGTGTAGGCCATTTGTATAGGCCTAACAGGACTTCGGGGCGAAGCATAATTCGGACTTTCCACTATCCCTCCTCAATATGAATACGCGCCTCTACTTATAATTATAATGTTTTTTTTAAAATCCGCACCCAGACCACACCCCCCCCCCCATTTTAATTCAAAACAATTGACAATTTTTCGGCACCAGTAGCGTAGCTACAGTGGGCAGAGAGGCCACGTCCCCCTGATCGAATGGCGATAAAAAAGCAAAGAGAGAGAGAGAGAGAGAGAGGGGGGGGGGGGGGGAAGAGGCATAAAGCAAGGATAATGTACATTTTCTCAGCACGACATGGGCATCACCATTTTCTTGATAACGTGACGTCCTATGTTATGTAAAGTCGTTTATGACTGATGAAGATAAATAAATATCAAGTAAATGTATTCTAATTTATGGATGCTTTCTTCCCACGTGTATGTGGTGACGCAGCATTTTATTCACCTGCTATTTCCTTTAGTAATACAATTGCCAGAACGTAAATTGCATAAATAATATGGAAGTGCTATCTTTGTTAGGAAAGATGTGAAGAGGAAAACATAGAATTCTTGCTGTTAACATGGGGGAAACTAACAGTCACCTCTGTTTATAAACCGCCGGGATCTACATTTGCCTTTACTGAACCTCAATCTTTCGACTATGACCTTGTAAACGTTATTATTTGAGATTTTAACAGCTATAGCACCTCGTGGGGATACGAAGAAACAAATGAGGATGGTGACCTTGCTGAGGCCTGGGCAGAGGCACATCGTCTTGACTTAATCCATGATGATATGCTCCCCATTCCTTCAATAGCGGTCGATGGAAAAAAGATCTATCCTTTACAAGTGAACGAATTTCATGCCAAACCAGGAAACGATTCCTAGAGCCAATACCACATTCACAACACAGACCAATAATCGTTAACATCACTGCTGCTGTGGTACCTCGGAGAGTTCCCATACGAAGCCGTTTCAACTTTCGCGAAGCTGACTGGGAGCAGTTCGCCATCCATCTAGTCTAGATGAAGCTATATCTGATCTTGACCCAGTCCCGGCAAACTACGACCAATTCGTCCGGACTGTACAGGAGATATCCAGGAAACACATTCCACGTGGATTTAAGGAATACGTACATACCTGGAATATCAGCTGACAGTGCCTTGCTGTACAAGAAGACTACAAAACTGTACGAGGAATACCCATTTTCAGAGGAAACCCTAAGTGCAGGTGGGCTCCTAATGGCAGCAATATCAGAGGAACATAGGAAGTCCTGGCAAGATATTATTGAGGGTGTTGATATGACGCACAACAGTAAGAGAGCTTGGTTTACCATTAAGAATATCAGCAACGATCCCAAGAAGAATACGCCACAAAAGGAATCCCTTGCAACAGGTTGACACAGAATCTACCTTGCACTTTAACAACCTTGAACCCAAGACGGCTATCGGCTCCCTTAAGAACAGCAAGGCAGCTGGTATTGATGACATACGTACAGAACAGATAAAATATTTTGGGCACACTACACGGGAGTGGCTACTCTCGCTGTTCGACAACTGCGTATATCTCCCAACTTCGTAAAATATGGCGGACAGCCCGTGTGATTGCCATCATCAAGCCAGGGAAAGACCTTAACGAAACAAAGAGCTACAGACCAATCTCCATGTTGTGCCACCTTTTCAAGCTCTGTGAGCGCCTCACCCTGAACAGACTGGGGCCAGTCACAGAACAACACCTGATACCAGAGCAAGCAAGCAAGCAGGGGGATCGTGCACTGACCAAGTGCTAAATCTAACCCAGAACATCGAGGATGGTTTCGAGAAGAATGAACCGACTGGAGTTGTGTTCGTCGACCTGACAGCTGCCTACGACACTGTGAACCACCGTATACTTCTCGACAAGCTCTAATCCATGACAAAGGACTCCCATCTGACTAAGCTTATTCAAACGCTCATGGAAAATAGACGCTTTTATGTTGAGCTCAACGGGAAGCTCAGCAGATGGAGGAAACAAAGGAATGTTCTACCTCAGGGCAGTGTTGCTCATGTGCTCCTTAATGTCTACACCAACAACCAGCCAGTGTATCCAGGGACAAGAAGCTTCATCTATGCTGATGACACTGATGACACTGAGCACCCAGTGTTCTCACATAGACAGGATAGAAGCCACTCTTTCATCAGCCCTGGACAACCTGACAGACTACTACAACAACAACCATCTGAAGGCTAACCCTGCCAAGACCCAGGTTAGCTTGTTCCATCTCCGCAACTACAATGCTGGGAGGAAGCTGTCAGGATGAAATGGCACGATGTCTCCTTGAAACACTGCGATCACCCTGTCTACATTGGAATCAATCTTGACCGAACCCTTTCATACAAACAGCATGTTCAAAAGGTGAAGGGTAAAGTCGGGATAAGGAACAACCTCCTATGCAAACTGGCAAACTCGTCTTGGGGTGCCAATTCCCCCACTCTGAGGTCAACTGCTCTCGCATTGTGCACAGTTTGGTGCATGATACGTACAACTTAACCTAGTACGTCACATTTTCAAGAAAATGGCTGCGCCCATGTCATACTAAAATGCATCACATCATGCCAAGAATATGTTCATTTTTATTTTATATATCTCTTGTCCATTTTCTTATGGAATTTTTTTTACCTCAAAGGGCAGGAATATATCTCATTCTCAGAACACCTACACTCAGGCGCGGATCCAGGATTTCTCAGGGGAGGGGGCCCAATTTTTTTTTTTTTTGCTCCCGAAGAATTTGAAAATCGCGCCGGCCGAAAAGTCGCTCGGGGGGGGGGGGGGCTACACTATGGGATGACGTTTCCTTTATTTCACATTTTATTCATATAGTAAGACGATCGAGTGCTACCCCTAAATGCCCAGAACTCATTTGGTTTTCTCAGCAAGATCAGGGAAGTGGGTCGATAATTCTATTTTGAACGTGCGATCGAGACCCCTTCTTTTTTCATATCCTCTCACCTTTAAGAACTTCATTGATGTAGGATGTGTAATACTTTTGTCTCATGACGTCATCAAGCTCATATACATCTTCCGTCGAGTAACCATTCTCCAACACGTATACGGGCAGGTCACCGTACTCCTTCTTGATCCACGCCAGATGTCTCCGGATACCCCACGGCACCACCCGCAGCCAGCTCGAGGCCGAGGTGGGCCATGCATCATCCTGCATGGTGCCCACATCAGAGTCAGCCAAATAGCTTGGGTCAGAGTTCAAGTTCAATCCAAGATCCCAGGCGTAGTTGGACGTGTAGTGGTTCAACCCGAAGAAATCACTCGTGCCATTGATGTACGCCTTTTCCTCGTCGGTGAACTCTGGCAGCCGGGACTTGTTAAACCCTTGGGCCATACTCTTCTGCCCAATCCTGTCCTTCATGACCTCGGGATAATCTCCATTGATGAAGATAGGATGGGCGTACCAGCCAAGGTTGAACTGCTGGCTACGTTCAGACGCTTCCACGCTAGTTTGGTTGTCACTGTCAATAGGTTCGATAAAGTTGGCATTCAACGTGATTCCTACTTGTCCGGTCTGAAAAAAGATGGACAGACAGAAAAATTAAAGCAATGTGAATAAGCCCGTTTATAGTTACGAAAAGAAAGAGAGACAAAACGTGCTTAAGAATATAATGTCATCTTAAAGGAAGCAATTGAACCGGATACTGACATGAATTTATTTTAGTTCGATACATGACATTGTATAAATAAATGATGTTGTACTTCTATTTGTTATGAAATAAGTCATCTTTAGCAGAATTTAAGTTAGATTTAAGTTAGATTAAGCTGATTTATTCATTTATTTGTATAAACAAACTGTAATTTTGATTTTGTAATGTAACATAGCATACTGTATAATTGTGTACTGAATAATATTGTGTACTTGTGGTGCTGTCGTCCCGGCTTTATTTCGTGTAAGGATATTGCTTCACTTAATGGCTGCTGGGACAACGGCACCACTGTGCCTAGAAACAATGTATTAGGCGCGTAATAAATGTGATTTATTATTATTATTATTATTGTCCCTAATGGCTAGGTCACATTTGACGCGGCGGCCGTGGGGTCTAAAATATCTACGGCAAATAGCTATTATAGGGCCGTCGTAGCATTCCCACGGGCACATACGGTAGCAGTCACAAATGTAACACTCCGCGTAGGCCTACTTTTAATTTGTGGAGACAGAAAACCTGCGGCTGCCGTACGGCCTTTGAAGTGATGACGCACGGTCACCTTAGGGCGGCCCTGCGGCGGCCGTAGGTTTGGAACCGCTCTACGGCATGGCTACGGTGTGTCTAATTGGCTAATTGCTACGGCGAACCTAGAATTGAAAAAACGGCGACCCGTACGGCCTGTAAAGATATGTATACGCCCTAGGGTGACCCTGAGGCCACAGCAGATTCTCTGCGGCCGTCGCAGGTATCTCTCGATTTCGGGGGCCTACGGCCGCCGTATCCTATCCGTAGAGCAAATGTGATCTAGGCATTAATGTCATTGAAATGTGTAACAATACTTATTGACAAAATCTAAGATTTGATCAATGACGTAGCGCCCCGGCGCAACGTATGCCTTACAGTATTATGTATGGGCACTAGTGTCACATGGGGCTGCGGCATCGGTCTAATAACCCAGTCACACCGAGGAGACGGACACCAGGCTGAACAAACATCATTATCCCCCGAATGGCCGAGAATATGTCGGTTTAGCTAGAGTCGGGGTGGAGTCGGTGTGACTGATGCAAGCACAAATATCTTGATAATCAGACAGGCGATCGGCTTGTAAAGTCATGGGGTTCCTGACTGACCTCAAGGTTTATAATTATCGTTGCAACATGAGCTAAAACCTGGACGTTGTTTTAGAATCTGAGACAAAGTTACCGGATCCCTTTAAGGTTGCCAACTTTGAGCTAGAAATGAGAGAGACATTGCGAGGGGGGGGGGAGGGTAATGAGCACTTAATTTGTTTTTTCGTGAGAAAATATTTAGTATATATGGAGCACCATTTAAAGAAATCAACATCCAGGTTGTGAATGGGGACATACCATTTTCTTCGCGTGTTCATTTTCTCCTCCCCCTTCGTTCTCCCTCCCTTCATTACTCCTTGTTTTCACCATTGAACTGAGGGGGTGCCCCAATATATCAATGTAATTATGATGATAATGGTTTCGGTATTCTTGCGTAATCTCCCATCTTACTACGTATTTTGTAAAAGAATTTCGATTTATAAGCTAGCCATCGAAATATCTTACTTGACTCTGTCTGTAATTATCATCGTATGTATGCCAGGCCTTGGCATGCGCCTTGATGATATTGTGACCGCTTGTATAGACTGTGGTTCCTATCCCTTTGATGCCAGGGGCGAGATCTCCAGTACCGTATCCTGCCACCGACACCACCCATGGCTCATTAATCGTGATCCACAGTTTGACGCGGTTGCCGAACCTCTCAAAGCAGAGGTTGGCGTAGTCATTGAAACGGTCGACGATAGTCTCGTTATCCCAGCCCCCGTCGTAATGGAGAGCCTGTGGTAGGTCCCAGTGATAGAGGGTGACCATGGGGGTGATGTTAGCTGCGATTAGGGCGTCGATTAGGTTGCTGTAATACGTGATGCCGGCTTCGTTAATGTTGTCGATGGTGCCGTCGGGGAGGACTCGTGGCCAGGATATGGAGAAACGGTAAGCGTTGAGGCCCAAGCCCTTCACGATGTCGATGTCATCTTGGTATCTAAAATCAATCAAGCAAAATTACCTTAAACCTCAAAATAACACAAAGAGGAAAATATGAGTAACGTCTTATTTAGAGCCAAGGGACGTTCAATCAATGCAAAATCAAATGAGTCAATACCATTCTGGATAACAGCAGAACTGATGACTATTTTTGTCTTCATTATATTCATGAAAGGCTAGAGTAGGAAGAAGTACTTAAGACCAAAGCAGTGACGCATCCATGAGACGCAACACAGGAATAATGCCCTTTTACCAATATCTTCAAATACCTCCCCTCATGTTTTACACTCGTGTTATTTCATCAAACATTGTTATTGAAAATACGCAGGTTTAAAGATAGAAAGGAACTTACTTGTTGTAGCTGTCGCAAGCAACATCTCCCGTATCATTGTTCTTCACGTGACCACCTTTATGTGTAAAAGTATCCCAAATACTCTCTCCCTTTCCATCTGCGTTCCAACCTCCCTCGACCTGGTAGGACGACGTCGCCGTGCTCCAAAAGAAATCGTCGGGGAACGTCCCGTAGAGGAAAGCATCTCTCTCGGGATCGTTGAAAACATCGGGGAAGACAAATTCAGGATCGTCGACCGAATGCACGTCGCCAACGTTGACGAAGACGATCAAAGACACAAGAGTGATTACAATGTTCATGTTGGCTTTAACGTGTTTAAAAAAATTAAAAAAATCCCCAAGACGTCCCGTGAAGGCCTTGCTGTCTTGCAGAACATCAGGGTGAACTCTGACCCGGACTCTGACATGCGAATGTAACTGGCAGACACGGCAAATTATCATTATTTGTATTTCCAGTGGCGGATTCAGGGGATACGGGGAACCTCCAGAAAACCTCCAAACTCTGCCCCCGGCGTCAACATTATTGTTTTTTGTCAGATATTTTGGACACATACATGTGCCTCCCCCCCCCATTATGTGACTGCTATTCAGCTTATTGATTTGATTATAGGTCTACAAAAAAGGTTAACAATTATATATACAGAACAATGGGGGGGGGGGGGGCTGGTAAAAGAGAAAAGGGGAGAGAAGTTGAGGGGAGAGATTGGAGAGAGACCGAGAGCGAGAGAGAATAGGGAGAAGGTAACATGGGAGAGAGAGAGAGAGGGCAATGTATCATGACAAATAGGGAATTGACACTTTAAAGTGGCACGTTTCCGCCAGTGTAGTTATCGCTGCTCTAGTCATCGCCATCTTGGTTCCGAAGATCGACTTCTAATTTGCATACAGCTGTCAATCAAAGTACGCGCGGCCTGGCCTGCCTCCGCCAAGCCAGCTGATCGCTAACGATCGCGACGTCACGAAAGTGGGCGGAAACAGCAGCCGAATCTTAGAGCCGAACTGCGATTGGCATTACTTCGGCACATTGTATGCGATAATCGGTATTGTCCGGGCATTCGGAACATGCCATCTGCGTAAGAGCCGTATTCTGTTGGTGTCAATAGGCAGCTAGCACCGTCCGCCAGCGGGTACGTATTTTGAACGCCCTCTGGAATACGGGGAACATGCCTCTTTAATATCTAATAGTTCCGCAATAAGAGCAGGAGATGTAGAGAAAGAGAGATTTGAAATAAAGAGGGAAACAGGAACAGGGATGGAGAAACGAAGAAAGAAATACAAAGTAATTAGGAACAAAGAAAGATAATGAACGAAAAAGGAGAAATAACTAAGAGAAGATAAGAGAAGACAGGAAGAGGGAGAGAGAAAGAGAGAGAGAGAGAGAGAGAGAGAGGCGGAATTTGTCTCTGTATTAGTTCCTTTTTGCTGAATTACTTTAAAATCTAATTATAAAATTGATTCAGCAACCCATTGTTATCTTAATAGCTTAATTAGCTACTAAAATAAAAGATCATGCCCCGACATGCAACATATTATTGGACAATAATAATAAAAAAAGAAATTTATTTTATTGACTTGCAAACGCCCACAAATATTGATTTTCTTACATCATTTCACAGCTTGCGACATGACTACTTTTCCCCGTCTTTTTGTATCAATTTGTACTTTGTCTAGAATTATCTATAAATGATTGACGATTCAACCGCTTCTTGATTTCATTGTGTGTGTTAGTATTCCATGTTATTGTCTCAACCACAGGCGCGGATCCAGGATTTCTTAGGGGAGGGGGCCCAACTTTTTTTTTTTTTGCTCCCGAAAATTTGAAAAACGCGCCGGCCAAAAATTCGCTCAGTGGGGGGGGGGGGGGGGGGGGGGGGGGGGTAGTGAGCACATTTTTTTTTTTGATCCTCAAAAAAAATTTCAATTTGCACCCCCCCCCCCCCCCCCCCCCCCCCCCCCCCCCCTTGAGCGCCAGGGGGGGGGGGGGGCCCAACCCCCCAAAAAGGTAAAAATCACGTGATTTTACATGATTTTTTTCTCAAGGCCCCCGGCCCCCCTGGATCCGCCACTGCTCAACCATACCCGTAAGAACTGTTCTATCGATTTCTTTTAGTTTGCACGCTTTTCTATGAAAGGAGGTAATAAATCCAATTCAATGTAATTGAAATTCAAAACACGAATTTTGTGCATACTTCTTATTTTGTTAATGTTGCACAAAAAAATTCTTTTACAAAAAAACCATGCCATTTTTGGTATGTGTATTTTCAAATTGACTTCAAAAATATCATTAAGAACTTGTCCTTGAAGAAAAGTCTGATTTTTTTTTCTTCTAGATTAGTATGCCTTTAATCACAAAAAACAAGAAACTAATGCACATCAGAAGTTCTTCATAAAATGATATACTTTCTGTATTCCTTTATTTAAAATGCTCTTAGGAAATATAATGTCACAATGCATAAAACAAACATAACATTTTGAGAATCATTTTAACCATAATCATTTTGCATAGTGTCAATTCCCTTGTGGCTTTCAATGGGAAATATATCATTGTAACAATCTCCTCATTAATGAGTATACCGACTCCAGTCAAGAGGCACATCTTATAAGATTAAATTCACAAATGTCTACTTCATTAAAAAAAGTGATCCGGCAGAACTTGGATTTATATTTTTTTATATGTCACTGCTTTTCAGTGATATACGTTGGTTCTGTTATCACAGATTCATGACTGGTAGTTTAAATATTATGAAATGAAATTTTAAGCTCGCTATAAACATAAGAAGCATAGATAATGATAATTTGGATTTGAATTTGAATCTATATTTTGCTTATCATAAACAGCTTGATTTGATATAGTACACACATTCACAGCATGTTATGGATAAATACATACCATGCGATCAGCTGATATTTAGCTGTTTTCCAATACCGGTAAGTCATAGGCAAACTTATTATGAGCTCTCTATAGCTACTATTACCCTTGCCATCGGATTAATGAACATACACAAACACATATTAGATTGCCATGTCTCCTTTGCTGATCAAGAGCATTATTATCATATAGAGGATACTGCAATTTCATTCAAATTTAATATTAATTTAATATTCTTCACAATAAAAACAAAAGACAAATGTAATATCAATATGCATAATAAAGAAAAGAGGATTGATATACTATTTCCAATATAAACCTTTGAAAGCATGAAATGAGCATGAATTTTGAGAGTGGTTCGGATTTGCAAATGGTTCAGGCCGCAAAATAATTGAATTATAACCGACACAACACTTTATGCTCGTAATTCACAAAAGTTTCTTACTGTGTCTCCAGACACAATGTTATGTTGGTTACATGCTTTCCCTCACTCTTTAGTGTATTGAGTACTTTGATATCAATTCAATCTTCTTTATCTCAAATTCTCAATACTGATAAACACGTGCTACAGACAATATATTGCATTGAAATAAACAATACCGTAAATCTCCGTGTATAACGCGCACTTTTTGCCGCCGAAAAAAATTGAAAGTCGGGGGTGCGCCTTATACATGGGTACAGAAAAAAAAAAAGTTTTTTTTTTTTTTTTAAATTATTTATGGCGCTATGCCTGGCAATGTCTCCCAGCTCAGTAATCAGTGTGTTGACTCACCACTCGGAAACTACAACAACACTAACATTTGTCTGTCATCTTGGTTTGAAAGTAAACTTTCTAATAGATCTCAATATGTAGTTTATAATAATAATTCCTCAATTTTTTTTTATAACAAATGGTGTACCACAAGGTTCTATCCTAGGACCTAGGTACTCTATTGTTTTTAATTTACATTAATGATCTTACAGTCTTCTAAAAAGGACATTGTTTGTGACAAGTTTACAAGCACAAATCAGCTCCTTTAACTGCCCCTCGATGTTAAATGAAGGTCCTTCCCCGTGTGGGTTTTCGGCAACAAAACAACAACAACAAAAAACGATTTTTTTTTTTTTTTTTTTTTTTTTTTTTTTTTTTTTTTTTTTTTTTCTTCTCCCCAAAATAGGGGTGCGCCTTATACACAGGTGCGCCTTATACACGGAGAATTACGGTAGATCACATTTCTCTTTTTCTCACTATACATGTATTATTTTACAGTAGTAAGCCTATAGCTGTCATTTGTATAAAGGCTACAAGTTGTCCAATGTTGTTAAGACACGCTATTTACTATCTTCTTTATCGTACTATTCATAATTATTTACCCTTTCAGGGTCTGAAAGTCCAATTCCTTGATAGTGTTCATTGATTGTGGCATATCCTAATATAGCAAACATGTATCCTATTATCCTTTACCTTAAACTTACTGGATACAAACAATTGTAACAATCGCCCATGCTAGGAAAAAGGGTGCAAACACAGATACAGAATGAATAGATACCTAATGCCCCATCATTGTTTACCATTTAGATGATAACAAATCGTAACAGGGTGTAGCAAAAGAAAGGTGAAATTCTTTAAGTGCAAAAAATTCAGGGCCGAGTCTCTTTAATGCCGACTTGGTAGTGATGAATTGGAGCTACTGACTGAGCTCTCAACAATACACTAATTTCACAAGCTTTTGAAGGGCAGTTCAGTGACTCATAGAGATCCTTCATGTTTTAAACGGACCTCAGCAGATGATACGTTCAATTCCGATATAATAAATATAATAATTCATCATGTAATAATCAGCTTTATAGGCTGCTCTCATAAATCCTCCCCTGTGGTTGGTTGACTGATTTCCCACGTGGCATAGTCCTGCAGTCTTGCATCCTTAAATCCTCCAAATTCGGCCCCTTTGTAGAATACTGTAAACAATCATTACAAAAAAAGCAATGATAAAGATGAGATTTAACTTTTTCCTATCAACTATATTAAATATTTCCTTCATAAAAACATTTAACCTTTACAGGCCAGTGAAGTTTTTTTCGGAGGCCTCTAATTATGAAGAGGCTACATACAGGGGGCATTGTTATTTGTCCCTTTAATTTTATTTCTAAGAATTAAAAGGATTGAATGTGACATATAATGCTGTCATTTTGAATCTATGAAAGTAAGGACCTACATCTCATTTTCTCAAGACATTAGACCGGTTGACTATCATATTCAAATTTATGGATGTTTTTTTCCTGGGGACCTAGTCAGGAGAACTTTTGCCATTAACCTGTCATTAATGAATGAACTAAAATACTTGGGCAAGCTTTCAGTTTGTCAATTAATACAACCTCTGTTTAAAAGTATGCAAACAATGTGAATATGGTAGTAAATCAATCTATTTGTTTCCTTTAATTTTAAATAAAAATTAACTGTGATTTATAAACACTGTCAATGCAATCTTATCTTTAAAAGGTAGTAACTTGATTTGTTTCCTTTACTTACAATCTAGAATCTTAGGATGACTCTCGTGCATGTACTTCCTGAAATCTGTAAAATTAGACAAGAAATCATTCAAAAATTGGCATACAACAAGTATCTAGACAATACATATTCAGTAGACAATAGTTGTGGGTAATATTGGGAAGCAAATTTTATATCCTACATGAAATTAGGCTTGCATGGATTGATTTTTTAATCATTGGCATATTTCCAAAGTGTTGTAAAGGTTATACAAATTTGACATGCCAAGCAAAATGGATATAAGATATTATTGGTATTTCCCATAAGCATATGGCACCCATTTCAGACAAATTATATAATAATAAAACATAGACTATGTGGTATTATAAAAAAAAGGGATTGTCTAATTCGATCTCAGTGATAATAGTTCATCTCGATCAAACAGTGTAGCCATATACTATGGCTCTATGTATGGAGTATTGGTGAATGAGTGAGAGGAGGAAAACATGACTGTCCTTTCTGTTTTGAGTTTTGACATAACAAATATATAATTCAGTTTGATTCAAAATATCAATGAAGGTTGAGAAATCAATCACTTTATAAATGATGCTTAATACACTTTCTGATTAAGTCTTAAATTGTTATAACCCTTGATTCCTCACAGATACCCCCCCCCCCCTTCCTCAAAAAAATCTAAACTTCTTTTAAACGTGAGGCAATCAATGCAGATGAGGCCTGTTAATAATTTACACTCACCTTGCTGCGTATTCATCCTGTGCCATACGTAGTAAGCAGCTCCAAAGAACCCAATCTCAGCGTAGATGACCCATTTCATTCCCGTCCACAGGCGGCGACCACCAGAACTGCTGAAGTTAAACATGACTGTCTGAAATAGAAACAGCAACAATAGAAATAAATAGAAGTTATATTATATAATTTTGAGCAAGCATTAACTCTCTCTTATTAAAAATAGCCTTCCAATGAAATTAAAAGGCTTCACTAAATTACATTTATACAAAGGCCATTTGTATCGTAACCAGGTCTAGCTAGTCTAGATCAAAGCAAATCTACAAATATGTAGCAAAAGACTGCATCATCTGAATGACAACTAGATCTATATCATGTTTGTTGTTGATTATAGAGTAGAAATGTTGATACGCTTAACAAGAAAAGTTACATCTCATGTTCAGTGATTTCATCATCATCATCGTGCAGGCCATAACAAGCAGCTAGATGCGTGTATAAATTGCAGAGGCTTAATGGAGCCCAAGCCTTAATCCAGGCAATGACATTTGATGTCAGTATCTATCCGAGTATTACCCCATTCACAGTGGTTTTGAAATTTGTAGCGGCGTTGTAGCGGAGCGGCGACACCGCCATAACACCGCTACAAATGCATTCACAGTAGAAAAGTTATCCCGCTGCAGCAGCGTGATAAATATCATGTACCATTCACGCTGCAGCGGGTGATTTTTATTACCTCCGTAACAAACACGTGTATGCATGGCTCATGACCCGCGAGTGACCCCGATATGACCGGAAATACTTGCTTGAAATTGCGCGGTAAACATGTCAAGTTGCTTTTTGTATCCTCGATCATATTACTTTTTAAAAAACTAGCATTTTTATTGCTTCCAGTCAGAATATTTTAATTTTTTGAAGTGTGAAATATTTTTATATGGATAATTATAATACCTACATAATAATAAAATCAATTTGAATCCACTGGTTACTTTATTTCTATTTCACTTTATGTTCCCCATTGCTGTAGAAAAGAGGTCAGTGATAGGTAAGTAAACAAATCACACGTGTTTGTCGCGGTGTTATAGCGGAGAGCCTTCACACTGAGTAAACACCGCGACAGCAGCGGGACTGTCCCGCTGCTGTAGCTAGGCGTCCCTAGCGATAGTTTGTGTCGGCGTTATCGCTAGGCGGTGTTATCCCGCGATAGTTTATAACGGGTCCGAGCCTTCACACTGAAGACAACACCGCGACAGCAGCGGGACAGTCCCGCTGCTGTCGCGGTGTTTGAGGCCACTGTGAATGGGGTATATGATGACTAAAAATAATTGTGAAGCCTAAATTCAATATATTTACCTCGGTGTGATTTACGTTCTGGTCTATACAGCAAAAGGAGGGCTTATTCTTCTTCTTGGCAACATCCAAATGATCTGTGACGAAATATAAGACAACGATAATTATATACCAAAAAATTCACTGAAATATTGTAAGGATCTCACATCACATTTCTGTCGCAATCCACATGATAATTGCATTTCTATGGAATGCTTCGAGTACAATAAGTTTTCCTCTGTTTTCATTACATCATTACAACTGCAGATCTCCGAGAACAACGGAGGAAGAAGAAGAAGAAGAAGAAAGAAGATAAGAAATTGTACATGATGTTTAATATATATCATTTTAATACTTAAAACAAGAGATATAATCTAAATATTAAAGTAAATGTTATACATATTGACATTTTTTAAATGGGAATTAAACATTGGATTATTTTCTTGCACTTTGGAACATTTCTTCAGCGGCTTCTCATAATCACTTTCGCATGATTTCTCCTCGAAGTTTCAGAAGTAGGGCCACGGATCTTGTCTCGAATTATCAAATTTTCAACTTGAATCTGATAAAAAGGAGCAACAAATAACAATGAAGTAAGCCGTAATTTCTCACTATTTTATTGAATTGAATGATTGCAATGTAATGATGGTGAATTGCTTGCTGTTAGTCAGTGTGTGTGAGTGTTTTGATAGACATGCATGCCCACGCGAGTTTTCAGCCAAAGCCTCGGTTTCTGCCAGTCCGACAGGCTCGGCATGCTCGAGGGCTGCGGTACGCTGGCTTCATTTGGTGCAGGAAGATCGAGGAGGAGACAGCTCATATTCGTCTCCTCCTCGTGATTGTGACTCGTACTCGTGAGCTTTGTATGCCAGGAACAGGGCACCAAGATTTTACTCTATGCTCTACCAAATTGACTAGGAACTACCACAAACATGTGGTATTCTCTGAGCCCAGTGAATAAGCATGCCAGGCACAGGCAGCTCTCTTTTGTCTTCTTATTCTTAACCGTCTGAGTGACTGAGAAATATATAATTTTGTTGTTTATGACTGAGTACTGAGCTGAGTATGAATATGTCAGCTCAGTATGTCTATGACTATGTGGGCCGTGGGTATATATATGTTTTTCCCTAGCAAAATAGAAAACTAGAAGAAACAAGGAAGATAAAATAAGTCTTGGTCTCTGTTTGGGACTGCTATTTTTAAAAGAGATCAATGCTGTCATCATTTTAAGTGAATTTGATTTAATTTATTTGTCAATTAATATATTCTCATTACATTGTAAGCATTTTATTTTTAACCTTGATCGTCAGTCTACAATGTACCTTTGATAGGCATGGTAACATGAAACAAATCTTTGACGTTCTTTCTTCACAGGGTCAACGTAGATGGTTTGTTAGTTCACTTCCCCTATGACTACATCTACCCAGAGCAGTTTATGTACATGATGGAGCTGAAAAAGCTTCTAGATGCCAAGGTGAGTTTTATTGACAAGTGTAAGTTAAACAAAATTAAAAATAAAGAATTAACATCAATTTAAAAAAAAGAAAGGAGAGAGATGTTGCCAATGTAAGCTTAAATTGCTTTTACTCCATATTTGTAAAGATCACTCCCTCTTTAACTTTGGTCATATCTCATAAAGATTTTAAGGATTTATTTTGGGTTAAATGTATGTATTCCATGGAGGTTAATCATCAAAATAATGACTGATGATCAATGCCAGTATTCTTTAGATTGAAAAGTGATAGGTCTCTAAATACTTTTGGAAGTGAGATTTCTTGTTAGCAGCTTATTGAATTTACTTATTGAATTTACACATGTACAGTATGTGTAAAATTATTAATTAACTTCAAAAGCTTTCAGGAAACCTGAATGGCATTCAGTCAAGTTTAATATAGGTTTTAAAGTTTTGATTTGTCCAGATTGATCACAAAGTAGAATCCACCATTCATTCCATATTTTTTATTTAGATTGAAAAGAAAAAAATACAGAATTGCAAAGACTTCTGAAAATTCATTATACAACCTGAACATGATTCCTATGGGACATACAGTAGGGTATTGTAATTGCGCCAGAGTTAATACGTCTAAGGTTGTTGCAATAGTATTAGAGATTGATCTGTTTTATTTTCAAATCTTCTAGGGTCATGGAGTTCTTGAGATGCCATCAGGAACAGGGAAGACTGTTTCTCTGCTAGCTCTTATCGTCGCTTACATTCAGGCCAATCCTCATGAACTTACCAAACTCATCTACTGCTCAAGAACAGTTCCTGAAATTGAAAAGGTATATAATCCTGTTTAGGCCAAGTGGATTAGCTTTTATGCTGCAAAGTGAGATTTTTCTTTGCTACATGTATGTGTTCTTATTAAACAGTATGTCTTGTAGCTGAAAAGAATATTCATGGACAAAAACTATGCTAAAAAGTTAAAGATTTGCCAGTTTATCATGTATAAACACAATGACACATATTAATATTCTAATGCTTATTTTACCTTTTAAAGCTCCAGGGATCAAAGGCCATACATGGTAAATGCAACCAAAATGGGCACAGCGTGTGCAGAAATTGTTGTACCGGTACTCCCTTCCTAAGTTGTACAAATATCACTTTTAGGTCTGTGAATTGAAAGCTATTGAGCCATCTTTAAATGGAACGAATTTGTGAAAGAGATAAGTCTTTGTTGAGTATTATAAATATGAAGACAGAAATTATTGTGTCTGCTATTCCAGTGTATGAATGGTTCCTTATATACTGAACCTGAACGTGTTTAGTGTTTACTCTTTAGTCTTGAAACACCCCTTGTATTTCCATTCACAATCTAGTTGATCATTTTGTCAGATTAAACCAATGACTTGTGTTTGTGCTTTGTACTACATGTTCTATTGAATCAAAGAATTCACTGTCCGAATATTTATTTTCTTTCAGGCGGTGGAAGAATTGCGAAGACTGTTAGATTACATTGAGGAACAGACTGGGGAGAAACCCAATTTTGTAGGCCTGGCTCTCAGCTCCAGGAAGAACCTCTGCATACATCCAGAGGTGAGTGTGTGGATAAGAATTGGAGTGAATCGATATTAGGCGTGAATAAAAAGGAACAAGATACTGTGGTTTACGTCTTTGAAACACCTTTATGTGAAAGCCTTATAATGTAACAGTACAAAATTCCAAGTATTTAATCTAGAATATGGAATGAAATAGGAAATCCCTCCTTGGATACATTGACTGTGAACCATTTTGTTTAGTACTGTCCAACATGTTTTTTCACATCATTTGTGATATTAAATAGGGATTATCAAATCAGATTTATGAATGGTGACGAAATATTTCTCTATTTCTTGAGACTATTGAAAGCCTGTCCTTGTGTACATTTGCTATTTTGTCTCCTTGCTGTCATGTTATTATACATGTACTTCAAATGAATTGATAACTTTTATACAGTGTGAATAGCTGGATTTCTTCTTTTAAACAATAAAACACCCATATCTGTATTTTTATTTTAATGTATATTATATATTCTAGGTTAGTAAGGAGAGAATTGGGAAAGTGGTCGACAGCAAGTGCCATTCCCTCACAGCATCTTACATCAGAGAGCGTAGGAAACATGATCCAGCTGTTCCTATCTGCGACTTCTATGAGGTAATAACAATGCACAGATACAAGGACCAGTGCCCTTGCACAGGTTTTCCCCACTTATTTCTATTTCCCATGGTGTTTAGTAGAGCTCTCCTACATTAAATCTACATTGAATCATTTTTGTCCATGATACAATTACTAGATGAACTAATGTCAGTGTGCATCAAGTCTGCTCTGGCAAAAATATGTTCAGAGATGAAAATTTTGCCAGATGTTTACAAATACATCTTGGATGACTGCGCATTAAGCTCTTCTTTGTTCAAAGTCCAATGCGCCTGTGCTATCTTTTGAATTGATAATCTATGTACGATTTCTGTGTTTCTCCTATTTTATATCATTGATTATTACCTACAACTGTTCACTTGTTACAGAGTAGTAATAAAACGTGATAATTTCTTATAGCGCATATAAACAAGTGATAAAAATTATAAAGTATTTTTGTTTAAATATGATATAATTCATTTTATTTTTATAACAGGAGTTTGATGCCGCCGGGCGTGATTCTCCCATAGAACCTGGTGCCTATAGTCTTGATGACCTGAAAGAGATAGGTCGACAGAATGGATGGTGTCCTTACTTCTTGGCCAGATACACAGTAAGAACTCATTACTACATTAACACAATAGATGGGACCACATCCCTGATGCTGTGAATATTTCACAGTGGATACTTCTTGATTGGTCTTTCTTGTTGGCGTATCACAATTTATTTATACAAATTCATTCATTGATCAACTGATGTGGGTATACTTTAATAGGAGATTGGTTATTTCTCATTTTTCCAAAATATATACAAATAGTAGATATGCCTATTGCATTCACAGATATATTTTGGTTGATGTCTTATGTTGTGTAATCGTGCATTTTTTTAAAATAGACTTTTGCAATAATTTTATTTGAGATTTCCAGCACACTTAATGAGATTTCCTATGCTCTAGTATATTTTTTCACTCGTTGGGACTGCATTTTCGTATATTGCTTGAATAACCTTGACATAAAGACAATCATTAACCAAGAAGGTGTGAAATTGTCTGAAATTGGTTGAGAAGAATAAATTCATGCTTACTAACATTAACAATTGTGTAGTTTATTTGAAATGAAAGAAATAGAAATATTTTTGAAGGGTATACAATTAATTATGAAGAAGTAACCTTGTCACTATCTGAAAGTTACTATTGTCTTTACAAAAAAATTGCCTTGGGACCAAGATCTGTAACATAACCTAGACCTGTGAATCAACCCATTGACTCCAGGAACCGGGTAGTCCCTGTATGAAGCCTATGTGAATCTGAGAATTCAATTGTCAAGGGGTTAAGCTAGTCTTATAACCTGTCTCTGTCTGTTTTTTTCCCAGATCACTCATGCCAACATCATCGTGTACAGTTATCACTACCTCCTGGATCCCAAGATTGCAGAACAGGTCTCCAAAGAACTCTCAAAGCAATCCGCAGTTATCTTTGATGAAGCTCACAACATAGGTAAGTTTATAACCCTCTTTGTGATTTTGTCATTAATCTTTGATCCTCATGCTCTTTGTTCTTCATCTGAGAAATAATATTAATACTCCGCTTTTATATAGAGTGAATTAAAATTAAGTCTCTAAGTGCTTCCAAACTTGGAGATTATTACCCCGGCTTTAGCTGTGCTGCCATTACAGCACTCTAGCATTTTAAGGAATTAATTACTGTACCCATTTACATCACCTGGATTGAGTGTGGCAAATGTGGATGCATGTCTTATCAAAGGACTTTAGTGCCGCGGCGGGACTCGAACCGCAGACCTTGTGATCGACGTAACCACTCGACAACGACACCTCTACAAAAAAACCTCTATAAAAGTTTCTTAACTTAAGATGGAAATTGGAATCAAGTTTTCTTTATGAAAAGCTTCCTTCATCACTTTGAAGACATTAAGTATTCTAGTATCATATCAAGGAATAATCCAAACTACATAAGCAAAAATGTTACTGAATAGTCTATAAATTGGTGATAAGGTGATATATTTCCTTTCAATTCATGATTTATGTGAATTTTATTTTGAAAGTTTCATCATATAGTTTATTTGATTTGAATATATGCATGTTTGTGAGTGGGTTAACAACCTGTCTATTATTCTCATCACAGATAACGTATGTATCGAGTCCATGAGTGTGAACATCAGCAGAAAAACGTTGGATAAGAGTAACCAGAATTTGGATTCCCTCACCAGACATATCAATCGGTAAGCTGATTCATTGTTAAGCTCAAGTGGGTAATGTCAGCATGATGTTTTTCCTTTACAAGGAATTCTTATGTATTGTCAAAATCAAACCCATAGAATGTTGCAATTTTTTTTTTGAGTTTCTGATAGTATAACTCTATTATCAAATAAACATTTATTTTACTTGTATTAAGTAGAACTGTTGCTGAGCTAGCACCATGAGCGTCCCTGGATGGTTCGTGCGCTCTATCAGTTTACACTATTATTATTATTATTATTATATACTGTAAGCTAACTATCCACTTGAAATTTTGTTTTCCTTTCAGGCCAGTGTGGGTTCCTTGAAATGTGTGAATTCTAATTCGAAAAAATATTACATTTTCTGTTGTAAACAGTATCAAAGACACAGATGCCCAGCGCTTGAGGGAAGAGTACCAGAGGCTTGTGGATGGGCTTAGAGAAGCAAGTAGAGCAAGAGAGACGGATGTACATCTCAGTAATCCAGCACTCCCTGATGAAGTGCTAGACGGTGAGTAGCAAAAGGGCATTGGTTGGGGGATCACCTCTCATGAGTAATTTAATTAAGCCTTTGCAAGTCTTGTCATAGTTATTTCAGTGGATCCACTTTTCTTTCTTTGCTTGAAGGAGCTTTCTTTGAATGTCTTGTATAATTCTCAATCTTCTGTGGATGTACAGAAAGATGCTGTCTTGCATTGTAGGATAGCATCAAGCCTGGACTTTAAATAAAGTGATGCGTTAGATAAAGCTTATTAATCTTGATAATGATATTTTTTCTTGCACTTGTGGATTAATGAGAATAGCCCATTTATTTACAGGAGTAGTTTTTTGTGGGGGTTTACAGAGATGTATCTGTCAAATATGATTTCTTATGTCTAGGACTCCCATTTTGGTGTCCATCCAACGAATGGGTCCTTGTTCCGGATTTGAATCAGGGACATGATATACTAGATGTGCACGATTGAATAAGTTGTTTAAAATGCTTCAAGCTATCACCATGTAAGCTCTGATTTCCCACTATTCTAACACAGAGGCTGTACCCGGTAACATCCGTACTGCGGAGCATTTCATTGGCTTCTTGAGAAGGTTTGTGGAATACCTGAAGACAAGGTTAAGAGTCCAGCATGTCATCTCAGAAACACCAGCATCATTCCTCAAAGACGTTTTCTCCAAAGTGTGCATTGAGAGAAAGCCACTCAGGTAGGATAACAAAATTAGTTTCTTTTCATAAACTTCAATCACTCATCATTTTATTCATTTTTCTCATGATATGATTGGAATCTGATGTGTTGTTATACCATAGAAGTGTTTTCTTAGAATTACAGGTCATATATTGAAGTTATTTATTATATGTATATATTTTGCCTAGGCTGTAAATCTTGTCATTTTTATGCCTTTGCCTACTCTCTGTCACAGTATCTCAAGCATCTGAAGACTGATCGTCATATTTTGATCAGCGATCACTGTTACACAAGAGTAAACTAAATAGATTTGGGGTTAATTGAGTCAAGCGATCACAAGTCACATAGGTTTCTTTAGATGTACAGTTTATAATGTATGAATGAAATGGAGTAGATTCATGATGGAAATGTATAGAATGATAATAAGAATGACATTAATGCCATTCCTTTATTGTTAGTTCTACTATAGCAAAGTATAAAAAGGAGACAAAGCTGATAATTGATTTGATTGTGTTTTGGAATGCAGATTCTGTGCAGAGCGGTTACATTCTTTGCTACGTACCTTAGAGCTCACAGACGTGCAGGATAACATGTCTCCTTTAGTGGCTGTATCAGGGTTTGCTACTCTGGTCAGCACGTACACAAAAGGTATGTTATTTTCTCTTCTTCTGTGTCTCATGCCAAAAAATTGAGGATTCCGTAAAATAGGGTATTTGTTAAAGGGCATCCCTTTGGCTGCGAGGCTGTCATGTCATTTCATATTATGTGCTTGAGCGTGCAATATCACAACTTTTTGTGCATGGTAAAACACGTACAAAAGTGACTTAGGATGCACACCTCGATCCCCTGACCTTACCCATTGTTTGCATTGTCGCCATTTAACACAAAGGCAACTTGACTGTAATTGAGAGGGCCTGAATACAAAGAATTGCTGTATCTATTTATTTATCTTGATATTTTCTATCATTTTTGCAGGTTTCAGCCTCATCATAGAACCTTTCGATGACAAAACACCAACCATTTCAAACCCAGTACTTCATTTCAGGTAAGCACACTGTAAACCAAAGAGTTGTGCAAGTTTTGTTTTAAGTTGGCGTTTTTACTTGTGTAATCTATTTAATGATACAGGATATGAAGCTTCGCGTTTACCTTGAGCTGTTTTTGTAATTTTTGGTTTTGCAATGAATGCTCTTCTGAGAAAGATCTCGCAAAATTATTTTCAACATGTAATTCTAATAGACAGGTTTACCAACATATTCAAATGTATGTATTTATGGGGACCTAGTGATGAGTTATTCCATTAACCTGTCATTGATGACTCGGAATGAACTACAACACTAAGAACCCAGTGTGTATATATTACTTGTTACTATGTCAGGCAAGCCTCTGGTAAGCTTTCAGGTTGTCGAGAAGAACTTTTGTTAAAAAAGTATGCATAAATTTGAATATATTAGTAAATCGCACTACTGCTCCTGGTAGCATTTCATAGTTTCAAGAATTAATTATTTTTTCACCAGATATGTCCTAAAACCCCTATTTCTTCTTTCCACTACATTTCTACAGCTGTATGGATGCCTCTATAGCCATTAAGCCTGTATTTGACAGGTTTCAGTCTGTTGTCATTACATCAGGGGTGAGTATAATAAACCACCTTTTTGTGGCCTAGGATGAAAGGTCAAAGTTCATGTGTCAGTGTTCAACCTTTGATCTTACGAAACATAACAGCTAGTTCATAGTTAAGTATCATTTCCCTGTTTAATCACTTTTCATGGCAAGGCCAACATTTTATTGAGTGGCAAATCAATTGCTTTTCCAAACATTATCCAAGTGACAGATACTTAATGTTTAAGGGGAGAGCACTTATCTTGGGATATGCTTTATAAGTCACATTCTCCAAGAATATACGAGATGCCGGCCTGTGATATTCCTATTGCTTTATTTCCCATAAATTTTGCTGTTGCATACACTTAGGCAGATTTACCTCCATAGTTGTGCAAAGTGTGTGTGTTTTTGGTGAAGTGATTTCTTATCTTTTTTGTTTTTTTGTTTTTGTTGACAGACACTTTCACCACTGGATATGTATCCCAAGATTCTTGACTTCAGACCTGTGTCGATGGCTTCCTTCTCCATGACTCTATCACGCAGTAGCATCTGCCCAATCGTGAGTAATAGTGATGTGTGCATGGATGGGTTCAGTTGAATGGTTTGTTTGGTAATTAGTTGGTGCAGTTAGGTACGTTAAATTACAGAGTGATTGATTGACCATGTCACTGATTGATCGACTATGTGGTCAACTGGCTGAATATTTTAGTTATTGGGCGATTGACTGAGTTACCCACTGACCTATGTATTGTTCAACTGGCTGAAAGAAAAAAAGAGTCTTACTTATCATTTGGCTGGCTGATTTACTGATTGACCCTCCAGTTGACTAATTGATGAATGGATAGATGGACTGATTGACTGTCGGATAGATTGACCATTCATTCATTCAATTTGTCGTTCAGTTTTATTAGTAATCAATGGAGGTAATAATTTGTAGGTAAATGTATTAGAAGATTGGGTGATGAATTTTCCCCTATAAGCATTGAACAGTGGTAATATCCTCACTTTCTCAGTATTAATGCTCATGTGGGAGGGGGGACAGTTACAGAAGGAAACTAATTTTCTGAAAATTGATTGTGTATACTAGACAGAAAGATGTTATAACTCTTTGAGTTGTCTTATTTTTATTCAGATTGTAGCAAGAGGAAACGATCAAGTAACAATATCATCCAGGTTTGAGAGCAGAGAAGATGTGGGTATGTATCATTTTCTTCTTCCAGGTTGTATCTAAAGATGTAAACTAAAGTTAAGTCAAAGGATGTAGTGTAAACACCTCTCAACAGAGTTGAAGCATAATGTTTAATACGTAAAAGCCCCCAAAACAATTTGCCCGTTATAGGGTGATAGTATAAAGATTGAGATGTCCAGAATTCTAAATGGCTGTTAAAATTCCTTCTCCGAGAGTGGGTAATAATCGCTTGCCATTTATTTTCAAGCAAAAGTATGTCAACAAACTTTTCTGTGACGAAAATATTTGATATTCCTTGAATGCAAAATGTTATGATTGTTATGATTCAGTGATATATGAGGTAACGAGATCAAGTAGGTGTGTCTCTATTTGACTGCTCATATGCATATTTAGAATACATTCATTTTGTTTTACAGCGGTCATCAGGAACTACGGCAATCTCATAGTTGAACTTTCAGGTATCGTCCCTGATGGAATAGTAGCTTTCTTCACCAGCTATACTTACATGGTGAGTACTTTTAGCCGGACTTGATGATAAAGTACACTATGTCTTCTAAAACAAGATATTTCTGTTGTTAGTTGTTTCTCACAACTATGAATATCAAGAGGCATTTGATTTGTGTGACCCTTTTTAATATGTTATTATTTATGATTATTACATCCGTCTTGATCCCATGAGATAAAAATGTGCATTGTTTATCATACTGAACATATTTTCTTCACATGTGGATATAGTTGCTAACTGAGCAATATCCCTAACAAGGAATTTCAAACATAGTATCTGCATGGTTAGAGTTGGTCTAAAAAATGAGAGGGGCGTGTGCTTCAGGTTTTACTGTTAGAGTTGACCCCCTTAAAAGATGGGGGTGGGGGAGGGGGATGCCCCTGCACCTCCTCTTTATCTGCCACTGTCATTGATATTATTACCTGCTGAAGGCAGGAACATCAACATTCTGCGTGAAAAGATACGAGTTAATGCTCGCTTGGCTCTCAGCAAACAATATCTATAATATCAAGTGTTTATAATAGTAATAATATTGGGTTCTTATATAGCGCTCATATCTGTCAGACTTGACACTCCTGGCGCTTCACAATTATTACCCCGGCTTTAGCATGGCACCCATTACGGCACTCTAGCATATCTAGGAATTAATGCCTGCCAGGTATCCATTTACATCACCTGGGTTGAGTGTGGCAAATGTAAGTTAATGTCTTGCCAAAGGACATTAGTGCCACGTCAGGACTCGAACCGCAGACCTTGTGATCCACAGTCCGGTGATGTATCCACTTGACTGCGGCACCCCTGTTAGATATGCATTGTCTTTTAAACTGATAAACTGAAGTGAGTATTAAAGATTATTCCAAACGAACCATACTGAACTGTTTTACATCACAGGAGTCGGTAGTTGCCACCTGGTATGAGCAGGGGATCATTGACAGCATACAGAAGAATAAACTTCTCTTCATCGAGACACAGGATGCTGCAGAGACCAGTATTGCACTTAACAACTACCACAAGGTGAGTGCTACATCTATACCCTTAAACCCTTGCCATTTGTAAGCTACAGGATGAATAAGATTATTGACCTTTAATAGATTTATATTACGAGCAAAACATTTGTAAATTTCATTGATGGAAATTTGGATCACATTTTATTCATACTTTGTTTTATAATAATCTAAGACATCAAATTTTAAAGTTGAAATATGAAAAGCCCTTGTCCATAGAAACAATTATCTTTGAATAATTACATTTTTAATGTACCTCCACAGTTCTTTTATGATATTCTTTTATTATTTTTTCAAAATTAATTTTTCTAGGAACTTGCTATCCAATTATGTTACCAACAAAAGTATCACTGAAAACAGATCCAACCTTCCATTAGATATTAAACCATAAAAAGGAGATTTATCTACAGTGAAGTTTAGTCAAAGGTTAAAAATCATTTAAATTAAAACAAATCTTGCACAGTAGAAAATATCAAACAGTGCCCTGAGTATTTCGCGTAATGGATATGGCATTTTTGTCTCGCCTGCGTAGCAAAAAGCGAGACATAGGCGCCGCTTTTCCGGTGACGGCGGCGACGGCGGCGTCAACATCAAAAACTTAACCTAAGGTTAAGTTTTTGAATTTTTGATATAATTTTTAAAGTATAAGTTCTTAGTCAATGAAACTTTGACTATAGGGTAATCAAGTATCCCCAATCATGTGAGTAGAATTTCAGATCACAAAGTCAAGGTCACAGGTCATTCCAGGTCAACAGACTTGGATTATGTTGTAGCATCATCATCGAAAACTTAACCTAAGGTTAAGTTTTTGAATTTTTGATATAATTTTGAAAGTATAAGTTCTTAGTCAATGAAACTTGGACTATAGGGTTATCAAGTCTCCCCAATCATGTGAGTAGAATTTCAGGTCACTAAGTTAAGGTCAAAGGTCATTTAAGGTCAACAAACTTAGATTTTGTTGTGGCATCAACATCAAGATTTTCAATATGCTTCTTCTTCGTTATTTTTCAACCGATTTTGATTCTGATTGTTTCATATGATAGGGCTAGGAGGGGGATTTAAAATTTCTACACAGAATCGTGAAATTGATTATCTATGCTAATTTATGAAATTTATTCGAAATCACAAAAAAGGCTTCTTCTTCTCCCTTTCTTGACCGATTTTGATTTGGTTTGCTTTATATCGTAGAGCTAACTTTGGTACACTAAACTTCTACCCAGAATTTTGAAATTGTTCTCTATTAATTAATTATGGTAATTTATGCAAATTTATTCCAAAAATAACAAAAATTGCTTCTTTTCCCTCATTTCTTGATCGATTTTAATTTGGTTTGCCTTATCTGGTAGAGCTAAATTTGGAACACTAAACTTCTACACAGAATTGTGAGATTTTGCTCCATTGATTATTTATGGTACTTAATGCAAATGAAATGAAATTATGTCCCTTCCAGGGCATCAAATTTTTATTTTTTGACCAGTTCAAAAGTGTACCACATAAAATTTACGATATTTGTTGTTGCGAGATGCGGATGAGCGCTACGTCATTGACCTTCTGGTTAATCATATTGAATTGCGTTATGCAGGCTAGACCACCGAGAGCGTTTCCCTTGTTATAAATACTCATTATTGTTGGTGTTGTAGTTGTTGCTGCTGCTTTTGTTGCTGTTGTTATCAATTTTGTTGTTGTTACTGCTGATATTAATGTTGTTGTTGTTATTATTATTGAGATTCAAATTTTTAAAGGGAAGTCAAAGAAGTATAATTTGTTATTCAATCTGGGTATCGGCATTCTCAGAATGTGTCAGTCTGAAGCATTGTGCAATTATTACGTTCATTTGTTTTGCAGGCCTGTGAGAATGGACGAGGTGCCATCTTGCTGTCTGTAGCCAGAGGCAAAGTGTCTGAAGGAATTGATTTTGGTAAGTCAGGCTTGCTACATGTTAAATTGAATCCTGAACAACATGAAATGGAATATTCTAGAAGTGATCAGTTACAGCGAAATGGAAATTAAGTTAAAATCTGCAATTACAAATGTTTTTGAAGACATTCTGAAGAAAACACGCATATCATGTTATGCAATTGGACAAGAGACATCCTTTAAACATGTTTGTGTCTGTATTCTATATCTCCTTACAATTCTTATGATTGCCGATGGATGTGTGGATTAGTTGGTGGGAGCTTTGATGTTATGTCCATGTAAGCACAATTTTCATGGCCAGGTTTCATCATGATATTAAGGATGATGCCTAGGGGAAGTAATACCTCTATATTACAATTACAATTTTTCTTCAGTGAATTCCCTTTATTTTCTTTTTGTTGAGAAAATAAATTCTTACTTCCTAGAACTGGAACCATTACATATTGGGCACTCAAAGTTGTATTTGTATGTGCTGGTACAGATGTTACAAATAGAGAAGTTTCCAATAATAAATAAATAATGTAAAAGAAATTCTTATTGTTAGAATGATGCAAAGAACCTCCTATTGAATCAAATCTAATGTTTTAGTGATATAAATCTCTATCATATAATGCTCCATTTTTCATCAGATTTTAAAAAGCAGATCAAAGAAAATGACTTCTTTATGTTAATTACTATTTTTATGATTTAACTTTAAATCTTGACGTCCTCCATGTTTAGATCACCACTACGGGAGAGCAGTGATCATGCTGGGTATACCGTACGTCTACACCCAGTCTAGGATTCTGAAGGCTCGTCTTGAATACCTGAGAGATCAGTATCAGATCAAAGAGAAATGCTTAATATTAATTAATATCTTTATGATTTAACTTTCAATCTTGACATGCTCCATTTTTAGATCACCACTATGGGAGAGCAGTGATCATGCTGGGTATACCATACGTCTACACCCAGTCTAGGATTCTGAAGGCTCGTCTTGCATACCTGAGAGATCAGTATCAGATCAAAGAGAAATTCTTAATATTAATTAATATCTTTATGATTTAACTGTAAATCTTCACATTCTCCATGTTTAGATCACCACTACGGGAGAGCAGTGATCATGCTGGGTATACCATACGTCTACACCCAGTCTAGGATTCTGAAGGCTCGTCTTGAATACCTGAGAGATCAGTATCAGATCAAAGAGAATGACTTCCTCACTTTTGATGCAATGAGGCATGCAGCACAGGTATGCTATGAGCTGTGTATTGTAGGTTGAACCTCCAGAGTTGTGAGAAATCCCAGGCCAAGTCCAAGCAATTTTTTCCCATACGTTACGGACCACATCTAAGATTTCACTGTATCTGATGACTGTATTAAGTTGTAGATCCTCAGTAGATTTTGAATTAAATATCAAATATGATGGTATTTTTATGTCAAATTTGTTTTTTCACATGTTGTTCACAATTCCAGAATCCATAGTACAAATCAGTAATACTTAGTAACGTACGGGACATACCTTAGACTTGCCCAATAAGAGAAGGCCCACATACTAATTGGACCCAACTTTATTATCAGTTGGACAACTACAATCTGAACTTGATTTTATTTGATTCTCCGAGTTCTGTGACACTCTTGTGCGACTCACTATTTTGGAACACCCTTACCTCTATCAGTTACTTAAGACCTGTTCAGACTTTGAATATTGTTATCTTTACAGGCACTGAAACAAAATTAAATTGTCTAAATTGCAATCATATAAAATTATTTATCGCCCCAAATATGTCCTTGCATCCTTAAAGCTATCACAGTTATATTTTTCATTCCTTTTACACTTCCTCTCCCATCTTGACTGTCTGTCCACAGTGTGTTGGACGAGCTCTGAGAGGGAAGACAGACTATGGAATCATGGTCTTTGCTGACAAGGTACTTTATAACCATAAACCTGACCACTATTCTAGGCAGAGTACGCCCACTCATTTGCAATTTGTAATACTAAGAATGCTCCGTACACGTTGCATTCACTGCTGTACATATATATACATTGATATTAAACTTTGTTCACTTTTAATTCAATTATGAAAAGTACTGACACACATTGTACACCACTTTTTAAATTTTTGCCACAAAGCATGCACATTACACATAGGGATCACTACTGAACATACACATCAACATTTAACTTCATTGTCATAGATCTTATCTGTTTGGGCTGTACACACATCCTGTGGAATGTTAACAATGACCAAAGGTTAGTTAGGGTAGCTCAAAAGTGAACTTCCTGTCCATTCAGTGTCAATGAAAGGATGGATTATATTTATATTCATGTGCACCTGCCCCAGGCAGTTATGTTTTTAGTTTTTTGACTCTAACATAAACTGTATTTATTATTATTCTCTGTGCATGTTTCATTACGCCAAATAGACCTCCCCCCAGGCGCGGATCCAGGGGGGGGGGGCCGAGCGGGCCTTGGCCCCCCCCCCCCCGCAAAAAAAAAAAAAAAAAAGAGAGAGAGAGAAGGAAAGAAGTGAAAGGGAAAGAGGAGAGAAAGGGAAAAAAGAAGAGGAAGAAGAAAAGAAAAGAGGGAAGAAGTAGATCGGGGGGGGGGGGGGGGGGGGGGGGGGGGGGGGGGGGGGGGGGGGGGGGGGGGGGGGGGGGGGGGGGGGGGGGCAAAAGGACTTGCCTCCCAGGCTGTTGCCCCCCCCCCCCAATCAAAAAATAAAAGAGAAGCAAGGAAAGGGAAAGAAAAAAAGGAAAAGAGGAGATACAAGAAAGGAAAAAAGAGGAAGAAGAAAAGAAAAAAAAGGGGATAACCACACAACAAACCGTCTTCTTTCTCTAATGATTTAATGAAACGTAAGCTTCCGCTTAGCGCGGGAGGAAGAAAACTCAATTCAGACGAGGATTATTTTTTGGGAACGGTACAGCAAATCGTCTTCTTTCTCTAATAATTTATTGAAATGTCAAAGCTTCCGCGTTTCGCGGAGGAGGGAGGGGGAAATTGCCCCTCCCTGCACCCACCCACCCACCCCAATTACGTCACTGCTGGTCACCATTACGAACCAATATTTGGCTCGCATAATTTCAAATTTTGCCCCCCCCCCCTAAGAAATCCTGGATCCGCGCCTGATGTATATATACAGCGGCAACAGTTTTAATATAAAATGTAAGTTCTTCTTACTTAAATCATTGGTCTGGAAACAATTATTTGCCCATTGTTGTGTATTGTATTACATTTTCACTGACAATGAATTCACATTGTAATGCAATTTTCAAGTTTCCCAGGCCTATTTAGGAGAACAGAAGATTGATATTGTTTAGTTGTACGATAACATCACTCAGTTTGATTTGATTTGATTGGAGATATATCTCATTAAAAACAGAGTAAAGGCTATACAGTTTCAAACAAACCTACACCATTAAACTTCAAGCTCACTCACACATGATTTATTGCGACACTTTCAAGGCTACTTATTATTTCAAGTTCATGTATATTCAAAGGGCAACAGCTTCAATATTAAACGTTATTAAATCAATGGTCTGGAAAATGTTAATGCCCATTGTTGTATATTATACAACATTTTCCATAACAATGAATATACATTGTATGATGCAATTTTCAGGAAAACCATACTTGTCATTACTGTTATATTTGTTATATGATACTAAAGCAAATCGTTTCGCTTATCGATAAGATAAATCAATGTGAAGTACGTGTCAAATGCTATTTTTAACCAGACTAGACATTTGAAACGTATAAAAAATGTATACACTATTGACAGCAAGCAAGTTTTTTAAACAAAGAATTCAGAAATTGAACAACATTGCACATTTTAGTCTACACGATATGCTCTACACCCTTAGTTGGACTGTAAACAGTTGTCTTCTTAAGTCTTCCATATAAATATAAATTTAAAGGAGGTCAATAATCATTACGAAAACACCACTTTCGTAAGGTTGACACATCAATATATATTGTGCACACATGTAACAATGTGATAATATTTTTTCTGGGGGGGGGGGGGGCGGGAGGAGGGCAATCCAAAAAGGGACTGATATGTGAACATTAATATTGATAGGTCGCTTCACAAAAGGGGCATACATAGTCCTTTTTTGTGGATAGTTTTTTGAGCAAAACACAAAATAGGTGGAAGGACGGGGTACACGTCTTTCTTCAATTTTCTGAGGGGGATCGTCCCCCATGGATAATTTGAAAAAGTGCACACCAACAAAATGTATAGCAAATACTGACTAAAGACTGCAACACGCTTTAAGGCTCTGGTGGGCCCAAGAGTACAGCGTTTAGACTAATAGAAATGCTAAAATCTTCTCGCTCGGTCGCTACGCTCCTTCGCATAATATCCTAAAAATATACAAGTAAATATTGAAGAAAATATGTATTCTGTTGGTATCACGTATGTACAAATTACACTGTATGTTAACAAGATTAAAAGTTATAGAAATAGATCAGTGTTCCAAAAATGAATATTCAGCTTGCTCTTTTAAGAAGTCCCTTCCTGCTCAGTCAAACTAAAATTTACCTAGTAAATATTTACAACCCTTCGGACTGCACACTAGATATCGGCAAAGTAAAAGTGAAGCGTGAAAAAAGTATATTGCTTGTTTTTATGCTGTAGTTTTGCTAAAGAATGTAATTTTGTAACACAACAAAACTTCAAAAACCTGTGAGGGGTTTACATATAAGACTTATCATACAGCTTTATGGGGGTAGTCCCTTCCGTCACCTCCGCCTCTTTCACTGGCGTACTGATGGGGGGGGGGGCAGTAACCCCCCCCCCAATACAATTTAAACATGGGTTATTTTTAATTTGATACCAGTGATTTACAAGTATTGCTAAAATGGCAGTATTTTTCCATGAGCTCCCGGGGGCTCTACCCCCTGGAACCCACCAAGGGCCCTAAGGCGGGCCCTGTTTGCTCATCTGGCCGTAATTAAATGCCTAAAGTCCTTGAGCTTTCGGGGGCTCTGCCCTTTGGACCCAACCAAGGGGCCTAAGGCGGGTCCCTAGATGCGTAATTTGGTGCCTAAAAGCCCTTCGGTTATGTATTTCTTATGTATTTCTTTGTCTTTCTTTCTCCATATCCTCTGCACTCTCCTTATGTATTTTTTTGTTTTCCCTTTTCTATTACCTTCTCTTCCCTGGGTATACGTGCTTGCACATGAACTATATATGGCTAAACAGTTTTGTAAAAAAAAATATGCGCGAACGGTCAAGGAGTAAGAAGAAGGCAAAAGAGAACAAAGACGGCATCCATGGAAGCCATGTGAGAGTGTCCACTTTTTTCGCTTTTACTTTCACCCTTGCATTCTTTCCTGAATCAGAGTTTTCTCACACCTTGTAGACTCGTGCAGGTTATGATCTTGTGTGTGTGTGTGTGTGTGTGTGTGTGTGTGCGTGTGTGTGCTTGTGTTTGTGTGTGTTCGTGTAACGAAATAACGTATACAATAGCTTGGCAATTCTCATGGTTATGAGATACAATGTGAAAGGAATTGAGAGAATAATGGTCGCGTAGCTTAAATCAAAGTTCCCCATTGCAGTCCTCTCTTTTTGGATATTTTTGCATTTTGTTTTTGTAAGAGGTGTAGCGCCAGAAGAAAGAAGAGGAAGAAGAAAAGAAACGGGTGAAGAAGGAGATCGGGGGGGGGGGGGGGGGCGAAAGGGCCTTGCCTCCCAGGCTGTTGCACCCCCCCCCCCCCCTCTAATAAAAAAAAAGAGAAAAGGAAGGAAAGGGAAAGGGTAAGAGGAGATAAAGGGAAGGAAAAAGAAGAAAAGAAAAGAAAGGGGATATCATTTGCAATTTTCCCGTCGGTGGATCGAGGAGGGGCAAAAGGCCCTTACCTCCCCCGCCCCCGCTATAACAAAGAGAGAAAGAAGAAAAGGGAAAGAGGAGAGCTAAAAGGGAACAAAAAAGAGGAAGAAGAAAAGAAAAGGGTGAAAAGAACGTGAGATCAGTTCCGGTTAATCCCGCCAACAACGTGTGGATCGGGGTGGGGACCGAAAGGCCCTTGCCCCCCACCCCCCCCCCCTCGGCAAACCTTAAGGAGGAGAGAAAGGGAAAGAATAAAAAAGAGAAAGAAGAAAAGGGGGGCACTGGCGTACTGATAGGGGGGGGGGGGGGGCTTGGGGAATTCAAATTCAAACGTGGTTAATTTCTAATTCCATAACGGTGGCTTACAAATAATGCTGAATTCTTTCCGAGATTTTTCCTCAGTTTTTAGTAAATTATACTTTTGTATGCGTTTGTTGGAAAATGACAAGTTCCTAAATTTACAGCCAGGCAAGAAATATGATTCTTGAGAAAAGTTAGGGCCCGGGGATCGGCTGGAATCGCAAGCCTCGAGCTCCCCCCCCCCCCCCCCTCCCCTCCACTTTTTTTTGAAAAGGTATAGTAAAGAGAAATAGAAATAAAGAGAGAAAGAATAGTTAACTAGCTGCTCATCTGACCGAAATTAAACGCCTAAAAACCCCTGAGCTTCCGGGGTTCCGTCCCTTGCACCCCGCCAAGGGCCCTAGACTCCCCTGGATGCTAATCTGACGGAAATGTAATGCCTAAAACCCCTGTTTTCTGGGGGCTTCGCCCGCTGGACCTCACGCCAATTAGTGTCCTGCCAGTGTCACAAATAAGGTATAAAAATATGTTCATCTGACCGTAATCAAATGCCTAAAACCCCTGAGCTTCTCGGGTCGGACAAGGTATCAAAATTTGTTTATCTGACCGTAGGCGCGTAGCCAGGGGGGGGGGGGGTAGAAAAAAATAGAGAGGAGAGGAAAGGAAGAGGACGTAGGGAGAAAAAGTAGCAGACAAAAAACATCTTTGAAATTCAGACAAGAATTAAGAGTATAGAGAACGGTACAACGATTCGTCTTCTATCTCTAATAATTTAATGAATCGTCAAAGCGTCCGCGCTTCGCGGAGGGGGGGGGGGGTGGACTGAATTAAGACAAGGATTAAGAGTATAGAGAACGGTACAACGAATCGTCTTCTATCTTTAATAATTTAATGAAACGTCAAAGCTTCCGCGCTTCGCGGAGGGGGGGGGTTGAATTAAGACAAGGATTAAGAGTCGAGAACGATTCAACGAATCGCTTTCTTTCTCCAATGATTTAATGCAATGTAAAAGCTTCCGCGCTTCGCGCGAGACGGGGGGGGGGGGGGGGGGGGGGGGGGGGGGGGGGAAGGGGGCTGAATTAAGACAAGGATTAAGAGTCGAGAACGGTACAACGAATCGTTTTCTTTCGTCAATGATTTAATGAAACGTAAAAGTTTCCGCGCTTCACGCGGGAGGGGAAAATTGCATTCAAACGAGGATAATTTTCGAGAACGCTATAACGAATCGTCTTCTTTCAATAATAGTTTAATGAAACGTCAAAGCTTCCGCGCTGCGCGGAGGGGGGGGGGGGTGAATTAAGAGTCGAGAACGGTACAACGACTTGTCTTCTTTCTCTAATACTTTAATGAAACGTCATATATAGCTTCCGCGCTTTGCAGAGGAGGGAGGGGGGAAACTCACCCCTCCCTACATCCCCCTGCATTACGTCACTGCTGGTCACCATTACGTACCAATATTTGGCTCGCATAATTTCAAATTTGGGCCCCCCCCCTAAGAAATCCTGGATCCGCGCCTGCCTCCCCCCCCCCCCCCAAAAAAAAACAACCTTCCTCAAACGCTCTAAATATTTGTAGATTTTTCACCACTTTGTATTATTTACAGTGAGGGAACTGTTTGTATAGAAAATAAAAGATTGTGTTTGGATCAGATAACAAAATAATTATCAGACAGTATTGATAAGTACCTCATTTGCCACAAATTTCATTCAATTGAAATAAATTACTTGACACGGTTTAAAGGAAGTATTGCCTTTAAAACAAATGGGGCGATCAATTTGTCATCAGCGTATAGCAGGCAAGGTTGGTGTAAAGGTCCATCATGTATGAGTAAAACTCTCACGTTTGGTCCCCAAATACGATACGTCATTATTTCATTAATTTATTTCCATGTCAAGATAAAAACAATATTATAGGAAATTAGGTATGTATTTAGGTATCTCCTCCAAATTAGTTTAGGCTATTACCTAGATAACTTCATCAATGTAATTGTTTTTTTCTTTATCCCACAGAGATATTCCAGAGCAGATAAGAGAGGGAAGCTCCAAGATGGATCCAGGAGTATCTGAAGGACAGCGTACTCAATCTATCGACGGATGAAGCTGTGCAGATCAGTAAACGATTTCTACGCCAGATGGCTCAGCCATTCAAGAGGGTTAGTGGTTCTGCTTTATCACTAATAAAAATCATGTCTTGATCTGTATTTTATAGATTTGTTGATTATATGCAGTTTTAAGTTAAAACTTTCAAAGAATGATATAATATGATAGATTTTCTGTACGGACACTAGAACTGCAATGTATAGGTAATGCCATTTTTGTTACAAGATAAAGTAGATGATTAACATACACATATAGGGGAAAATGGTTAGCATTGCTTCATATCAAACATTGTAAAATGCATGTCACCCTTTAAAACATTTGCTATGATGTGAAGAATTCACAATGAAATTAGATAATTTTTCTCAAAATGCAGTACATTAGCAGATGAAAAATCTAATTCTGTAATTGTTCTTTGACAGGAGGACCAATTAGGGATGTCTTTACTCACACTTGAACAATTAGAATCGGACGAGATGAAGAAGAAGCTAGACCAGACCGTTCATCAAGTCTGACATGGAACTGAAAAGACAAGGACCCACAAGGCTTGTCTCTTCTCACACTTGAACAGTTAAGAATCTGAAGAGATGAAAACAAAGCTAGACCAAAACATTCACCAAGTCTGACGTGACATTAAACGACCGGGACTAGTGAGGCATGTCTCTTCTCATACTGGAGTAAGTAGAGTCAGAGAAGATGAAGATGAGGCTGGATTAAACAGTTCACCAAGCCTTACATGGAATAGAAAAGACTAGGACCAGCATGAGCATGACATATGTCTCCAACATTTGAGCTTCTAGAGTCAGACAATATGAAGAAGAAAATGGACCAAATGGTGCTTTAGGTCTGATGTGGGATCAACCATTTTGTTGAGTGCATTTGAGCTTGTGAGATGTCAAAGGTCAAAGGAACACTACAAATGATGGTCAGGAACAGTTTGGTGCCTGCATTTTCCTAAGATAACCTCTCTCTTGCTCTCGGGAGCTGGACCAAATTATCAAGTCTGACATTGAATAGCTAACTCCACACTGACCACAAAAAATCCACTCATGACCCCAAAGAAGCCCCCCCCCCCCCCTCCCTCCCTCCCCCTCATATATTAAATGAAACAGAAGTCAATGTAGAGCCATGAATGTTTAACAATGATCATTAGGAACAAGTCTGTCACAATGACATCAGGAGATAAACATAACTCAGATGAGCTTTATCGCATTGATGACTGATTATCAACTCAGGCATGGAATTGGCAATCTTACACTCAGGAGCTTTATTTTGATCCACCAAGGCCTTACAGTTTGGAGCTCCATTTTCATTCTTTGGAGCTGTTCTGAATCATGTAACATGCGTGATATGGAATTGAAAAATGTTAAATTTATGGGCTGCATTTTGGACCATGAGATGCAAGATGCCTGGAACTTAGTACATTTAGAATGGAGAAATTGCATTCATATGCTGGTTTAAAAAGCAAACATGTTAGTATTATAGATATGCAACAAAGGACCTATTCTAGGCGTTTTTAAGTGATGATTATCGCTCAAGGATTACTTTGTAGTATATGCACTCCACGAGGACCCTGTTTCATAAAACTTCTTAGTAATAATAAATTTGCTATTAGCCAATCAAATGCAAGGATTTCAGTAGCTTATAACAGTTATAGTACCGTGTCATTGATGACAAATTTTTGTTGTAATTTAGGTATTCTGTAAGTTGTGCTTCTACTTAGACTTAAAGTCTTTTGGTTATGAATTCACAGTTTAATGCAAAAACAAGGAACTAGCAATGTTCACTCATGTATGGATAACTGATATATCGTGTGCTTGGAGCCACGAGGATCTTAATTTGTATACATTGTACCTCTTCATAGAGTTATTAATGCCAAACAGATGTGAAGGGTTAAAAGTTAAAATGTTTCCACCAGTGCAGTTAATTCACAACCCTGATGATAACAGATGGAGAGAATATATGATCCTAAGTCCAAGCCATGTAAAATTTAAAAAAAAATGATTCTGCATGTCTTTTTGAAAGTTGATATATTTCAGTATGAATTGTATCACATATCATGTGTAAAATATGTAAATTAAACTTTTTTTAAACACAAGAAAGTATTGCATTACTGGTATTTGTTTTTTATGCTTTATTGTTCATTGTTGAGTAATGGTCACTGTGAAAAAAGGGCCTAGATCTCGAATATTTTCTTGTAGAAAAAAATTGGAGAAGCAAGATTGAATTGTGAATTATGCAGGGTTGTGAATGAAACATTGAATTCATAGAGAGAAAAGAAAAAGAGAAATTAATATGGAATAGTAGGAAAGAGAGAGAGAGAGAGAGAGAGAGAGAGAGAGAGAGAGGGGGGGGGGGGGGGGGGGGGGGGGGGGGGGGGGGGGGGGGGGGGGGGGGGGGGGGGGGGGTCATGTCATAGAGTACCGTAGTCAAATAGCTTTGAGAAATGACTCCAGTTCAAGTTGATAACAAAAATATGAAAAATAATATATGAATGTATGTATTTCAGATGGGAGATAATGCAGAAAAGGACAATTGAATTCTATCGTATAATGTACAAAGCAGATTTAAGGTAAATATTTAGTGTGCTTAATTTGATTTTATATCCAATTTATGAGCCAATTTAAAGAAACAAAAAGGAAAGGAAGATATGAAGGAGAGAAAGAAAGAAAAAAAGGAAGGGCCAAAGAAAGAAAAAAGAAAAAGCAAGGAAAGAAAGGAGAAAGAAATAAAGGTAGCAAAATAAAGAAGATAAGACTCATTCATAGTTATGATAACATTAGTGAAATATACATCTTATGTGATGATGTCCGTCTGGATGACAAAGTCAAATAGTGTAAACGCGGTGTAAATGATGAAAAATTCTGAAGTTTTTACTACAACACTCCTCCCCCCCCCCCCCCCCCCCCCCCCCCCCAAAAAAAATTGTTAGTCTTTTTATGCAGACATTTAAGTAGATTAGTTCTGAATGAAGGATGATGAGATAGTTTGAATTCTTCTTCGTTCTGTGATAAAAGTTGAAGAAGGATGGGCTAAATGTCAGTATTTGAGTGTAATATAGAATGATTAAAAAGACGATCGGAAAACGAATATTTTATTGGAGTACCTTAGTTCTAAGTAACATTGGTAACATTGTCTTTGCATACAAGCCTAGCTACTTAATGCAACTCCCCTCAACGCGCCATGCTATACTGCATTAGTTTCATGTCCACACAGCAGCGGCCGCGTCGCGCGTGTATAACGTATTAGTACTGTAGCGGATCAGCTAGCTCGATCGTGCTATCGCCGCTACACTCGGTGGCCAAGCGGACAGTCAGGCGGTGGTGACACAAGGATTTCCAGGGCCAACATTTTCCGGAAGACAGGAACGGAAGTCGAAAAATCAGTGATACAATTTCCCGTATTGCTTTTAATATTTATTCAAGATGGTGGCATTAATCAGGAGAAGATCTCGACTGTTGCTGATTGGCGCAGTAGCGTGGATTGTTATCGTACTTCTGTATCTTCACAACAACGACGATGGGCAAAAAGTGAGTGTATTCGCTTCAAGTGTATTTGAATGCACTGCATAGGCCAGGCCAGGCAACAAGTCCATATCATGTCATATTACACATGACTAATTTTACAATCATGCAACCATGTCATCAAATGAATGGGCATTCAGTATGGCATATTTGCCTACATGATCCCATCCTGTCTGAGATTTGACAGATCTGGATTTTTGTTTTTTGTAGCTGGACATTGTCGTTGGTCAGATCAAGTCAAGCCTCAAGCAAGGTCCCCAGAGTTAATCTCAAGTTCAACATTGTAACTCCTTGTTTATAATATGTTATCCTTCTATAGGCAGTTGGATTGGAAGATGGATAAAGTTTAAGTTACTGTTTGAAGTGAAAATAGATTGGAAAAGTTTAATGTGAAATGTGTGGACCTGCATAAAAATTAAATTTGTGAAATGTGTACGTGGACCTGCATAAAGTTGGGAAAACAACGACTGGTCAACAACAAAACATCCAATTTTGCTGATGAGTCACAGCTGACTTCTCAGAAATTAGTTGATGATGAGATTATTTTATACTCAAATTAGACTATGGTATGGATTTGACTAAAACATTGAGAGAAACAAAAATATGTCTCCAAGCATAGGATCTATAAAAATATAATAGGCCCCTACACATTTTAAAAAATGAGTAAAAGAAGATAATGAGAAATGTCTAATTTAGTACTATTTCAATCTATCCACATGCCTCAACTGTGTGAATGAGTGCGCAGACATGGGAACCTTTTCAACCTTTGTTTTTGCAATGTCAAAATGACACTGAGCACTACCTTTTTTTGTTAAATTGACATTGTCCTTGCTTGAATTTGACCGATATTTCAGCACACTTACATGTACTCTCTAGAATATAAGGAATAAGATTAAGATGACATCAAGCAAAAGGGGAATATTTAGAAATTTAGAAAATTCTTGAAAGTTTCAAGTGGAATGTTAGTGCACAGACATGGGGCTCTCCTTTGTACGTTTGTACGGGTAGATCTAATTTAAGTCTTTTTTTCTCTTTTTCAATAGGGATATCAGATCGTGTGATAAAGACCAGTTATGGTCATGCGATTTCATTGTGAAAGAAACGTTGTGGAATCGATCATAAAAGGTTGATCATCTAACATATAAGTATTGGTGTGTACGGCAAGGTTCTGGAATCCTCAAAATGATAAGAAATTTGGCCCAGTCTTCGTAAAGTAACAAGCTCTGTACACAGAAAGATGTATATGGGACTACGCACACGTGTGCGACACATGCGTTTATCTCTCACAGTCCAATAGATAAACTAATTTACCAAATATATCAATTACATGTAGTAGGCGGTTTCCCTGCAAATTTTTTATCATCATGTATTAGTCAAAAGTTCAAAACATATTCTTTCACATGATTGGTAATAAGAGCTTCCATTTCATTTTTTGAAATTGGGGCGTTTCCAATACTGGTCTTTACCTTTAAGTTTTAAATAACATTACATTGATGATTGAAATGGATGTACATGTATGCTTTTAACCAGAATAACTATAAGTGTGTACATGTTGTAGCTTGAAAGATTGTCATGAATACTTTTTTGTACATGTCTGAAAATAGATTAAATTGATGTAAAGTAAAATTTGCAAAGTTTGTACATGTACAGTAGGTATAATCTGCGCATGGGCAGATAAAGGTCATTGTACAAAATTGTAGAATCCACTAAGACAAATGCTGCATATATGTGCTCATGAAAGTTATGTAATAGGCCATTTTCGTAATACTGTAACCAAATTTAATGCATAAGTCTTTGTGAAGTGCCTCAATACAAATTATTTCATTCACCTGATAAGAATAATAGTACAGTATTTCAATAGTTAGAATGCAAACTGCATATATTAAGTGTTGCTAGGTAGGTCAAGCCATAATGCTTGTCCAACCTGACAACAACTAATGTACATGTATGCAGTTCGGATTCTGCCTATTGAAATACTATTATTCTTTTCAGGTGAATGAAATAATATGTATTGAGGCACTTCACAAAGACTAATGTATTAAATTTGGTTACATTACGAAAATGGCCTATTTGTATGGAATACAGGCGGCAGTATTTTTCTCAAGAAGGCAGACAAAAGTTTGCATGAAACACTTCTTAAAGACTTTTGTACTAAATACTCTAAAATACAAAAATTGTGGGACTTCACCATGTTTAAAAGGTCCGTGGATATTTTGGGTCATTTGAACCATGTGCTGATTACAAACTGGTCTATTGGATACAATGCACATTTGTGGAAAAAAAAAAAAACCCAAATCAAGAACAACAACATACATGTGCATGTTTGTGTATTCATTTTTATTTAACTAGTTAGAGCCATAGTCGTTTACAAATCACTTTAAGAAAGTGGATGGAAGAGACTGAAAAGGATCAGCTTTAAAAGTGGGGCTGGCCATAATATTATGTAGAATGTTCTCTGATGCTTTCTCTCTGCATTTTTATCAACTTTACAACAAAATAATATTGATAATGGTAAGAAAAATAATAATGGGTAGCTTTCAGAGAATTAATCAGAAAAACAAGGAAGTTTTTTTTTTTAATTTAAAAAGAATAAGTCATCATGTTTATAATACATGTACATGTATATACCACTTGTGTCTATAACACCAGCAAATCACAATACATCTCAGTAGGTTGTTCTGTGTATTCAATGTCATTAAAATACATCTCAGTTCTCACTGTAAACAAAGACATTTTATGTAGGCATGTCTGTAGCCTTTGCTTCCTCCATCTCCCCTGCAATCATAAAAAGCTCTCCATAATAATGAATGCAGGACATTCCTCCCCTGCATGATGTACAGTACATGACAGTACATGTACCTGGTGCTTTTCCAATAGGCCATTTTCGTAATGTAACCAAATTTGATGCATTTCTTTGCGAAGTGCCTCAATACAAATCATTTCATTCACCTGATAAGCATAATAGTATTTCAATAGTCAGAATGCAACTGTATATATTAAGTGTTGTTAGGTACATGTAGGTCAAGCCATAGTGTTTGTCCTACCTGACAACAACTAATGTATGCAGTTCAAATTCTGTCTATTGAAATACTATTATTCTTATCAGGTGAATAAAATAATTTGTATTGAGGCACTTCACAAAGATACATGTATGCATTAAATTTGGTTACATTATGAAAAAGGCCTATTCTAATAGGCCATTTTCGTAATGTAACCAAATTTAATGCATATACGTCTTTGTGAAGTGCCTCAATACAAATTATTTTATTCACCTGATAAGAATAATAGTATTTCAATAGACATAATCCAAACTACATACATTAGTTGTTGTCAGGTTGGACAAGCATTATGGCTTGACCTACCTAGCAACACTTAATATATGCAGTTGCATTCTGACTATTAAAATACTTTTATTCCTATCAGGTGTATGAAATAACTTGTATTGAGGCACTTCACAAAGACTTAAGCATTAAATTTGGTTACATTACGAAAATGGCCTATTGACCAATCAAAGGGTTTTTCCTGTGTTTTACCCATCATTATCACACTCCGGTTTCAAGTCCAGGAGAAATGCTCATGAGGAAGGAATGTTGCCTGCAGCCATCTCATGTCTCGTTGCGTTACCTTGAACTTCTTTAAAGGGAAAGTCTGTCTATTAATACACGCCTGTTGGGTTATTGGAGCTCAGCTGAGCAGAGTCCAATTGCTTCCTGTGGCTACAAGTACCAGGTGTTTTCTATTTGTGGGTTTTTACATCCTTTGATGAGCATGTGTGTCCAACTGTGAGACATTGCTTCCCTGAAGAAAAAAATAAATGGCTCTTCTTCAGATGAGCTAACTTCAATTTGCCTGGAGATTGGAATATTAAGTACATCTGAATAAATCTTGGGAGCAACGTTTAGCCACGTTTAGTTGTAGGCCTTTGTTTTTTTGCATTAAAAGTACATGTACTTGTTTGTGATGGGCATCGAGAATTTTCTTTCTTCGGTCTGACTAACTGACAATGTACGTTTAAGAGTTTTCTGAAAAAAAGTTTTCGTAAATATGAGGAGTGTTCCAGAATTTGGAGTTTCATTTACCGGTAGCTAGTAATGGAATCACATAAAATGATAAGAAAGTAATGGTTTATTAGAGCCTTTAGAGGTTCATAAAAGTTTGTGGTTTTACAGTGGTGTGGTCATTAAAATAAAGTTAAACCACATGGTTTTGAATCCCAGGTTTTTATAGATATCAATTGCTTGTCATTTATTTCTATTATGATCATCAATACTGACTACAGCCAATTTATCATTTTTGTGCTGGTAAGTGGATGAGAAAGAAAAGTCCATGAAGGTCCAAAGAATAGGCAAGTAGTCGCAAAATTGTCAATTGTTAATTGTTAACTGTTAATTTTATGGATTAGAAAATCAAGATGTAAAATTCATTACGGGAAATTTGGAGGAATTGAAAGAATGAAGGAATCTTCCTGTCCTTCCCCTCTTGATAAATGTTCCGAAGTAGAAGTATAATTTCTTCTCATTTTTATCTTTGATTTTCAGAATTCAAGAAAAGGAAGACTGAAATTTGATGCCGCAGATGTACCAGCACATTTAGGGGACATTAACAACCCTGAACACGCCCATGAAAAGGACAAATCATGGAGAAACTTTGATGTTGCCGCATACATAGAGAAAACCAAAGTTCGCCCGGGTGGTGATGCCTACGTGAGAAATAAGTTCAACCAAGTAGAGAGTGACAAACTTGCCATGGATAGAGAGGTACCAGACACAAGAAATTCACTGTAAGTATGAGCACCCCATTTATTTTTTTCCTGGAACAGAATATCATGTACCGGTACTGTACGTTTAGTTTGTGTCGGGTGATAACCTGTGTTTTACTGTGCAGCCTCATATCTTTTATGTGGGGTCAGGTTCAACTCTAATCTCCACAAGTCAACAACTTGGGGGTAGTTCTGCCAATGGAAACAATTTTACAACATACCAGAAGTGTACAGTGTTCTGCTTTAGTGACCACTTGTCTACAAAGACTACATTTTTTGTTTCCCAAGAAAATGGTTTCTCATCGAAACGTAGAAGGAACCTGCCTATAAAGACCACTTTGTGTGTTTCCCTTGGGCAGTCACTATTGACTGTACTTCTATATTAATGCATTACTTCTTCAACAATGTGTTCTCTTTCTACCGACTAGAAGATGTGCATAAAACTTGCCTAACATAGCAGCAAGTGTATTCGGATTCAGTCACGATGGTTGAGGCAATGTTCAATAACAAGACGTTAAAAAAAAGGAGTAATTTTGAAAAATATGTAGTCAATAAGCCTACTCTTCTAGTGAAATTACCTATTTTTGTAATAATATGGCGCATAACTGTGCGAATGACTACGCGTTGATGGTTGCGTTGGCAGAAGACACTTTTGCAAACAGCAATCGTAACAGCAATTCAAACAATTTATCTGTAATCAAGATAAAGAGTCACAATACCAACAAAGTTGTCAAAATTTAGTCCCTACATTGTATTTGATGCCATGCCATTCACCCAATTCTACAGTGCTTCACAAGATCAGCTTAGCCCTTGTTATATTACATTCATGTATTGTACTACCAGCATTATGCACCCTACTCATGAATATGCTATACTTAGGGCGCGTTCATGCTTGATTTTGAAGGCAGAATGAGCGATTTGTAACGCTCATCGTAAACGCTCATCGTAATCGCAGTTCCACGGTGCACTGTTCATGCTCACTTCTCCAGGCAATTCTCCTTGGGTGGCCTTCAGCTGGATTCGCAAACCTGTGTGCGCATGCTACGTACACCCACTAGAGGTCAGTGCGTTGACCCCATTTAAACGCGTTTACAAATTGTAAACGCATCTTTTTGTGAGTTTACGATCGGCGATCGTGATCGCCGTTTTTCGGTGATTCTACAAAAGTGAGCATGAACGCAATCGTGTTTTAAACTAAACGCGTAACAGATGCCTGATTCTGGCCATCAAAATCAAGCATGAACGCGCCCTTAGCTACACCGCTTTATGACTTCAACAAGTCTATAGCTATATCTATGTTCGCACGAAACTGTTCTAGTTTTAATTAAACTTCAAGTTTGCTATTAACCTCAACGGGTTAATCACTGACCCACTTACAACAACCTAGGTTCACTTGGCTGCTCAAGGTTTTTAACTCAATGTTAATTTTGTCCGCACCACCCATTTAACTCTAAGTATGGATCCCCCTTGGCTCAAAGTTAAAGCAGTAATCATGAAATTGTTTTGGTTTTTACTTTGACTCCAAGTAAACTTTTAAAGTTAAATTACGGTCACAAAGGGAGGTTTGTATCTCCCTGTTTTTCCATGGTCTTCCCGAATTTCCATGGTCTGAAAATCGTTTGTGCGGCGCTCGTAGCAGTTCGTAATGGCATTTGTGACCGAGGCTTCGATGAAACTATAGTGCGTCTGCAAGTTCCCTAACTACAAGATAGCCTTGAAGTTTTAAACCATGAATTAAACCTCAGGTTTACTTAACGGCCTGTCATGTGAACGTAGCTGTTATGATGATGAGTTAGCATGGGTGAGGAATGATGATAGAGGATACTGTGAATGACTGCAGACAGATGGGTGATTTCAATCATCCGTGGGGTCCCTGTAGAGTCTTCCAGGTATCCAATATCTGCGCCCCAAGCTCTCTCAAGAATGGAGATATCTGTATACAGAGTAATGATCGTGGATTGATTATGAGGACTAGGAGGTGAACTTTTAAAGATCTTGATAATAATGATCCTCCATAATAACAAACAACAAGCACATGTAACTTTAGGTTGGTCGTTGTTTTTTAAACCTCCCTCCCCCAACCCCCCTCCCCCCCCCCAAAAAAAAATAACGACTTGTTTTCAATTTATTTGTAGTTAATGCAGATTCTTTATATCTAGGCTAAACTATGTTTGTCAATTATTGTCAATACCTAACTTATTAGGTATTATAACTGTGGTTTTAATTTAATACATTTTTGATGTGTTTGACATGAAGTACCAGATACATGTACATAAAGGCTATAAACAATATAAAACCTTTCTATTTTTCCCCCTTACATGTATCTAAATTGAAACAAAACCTTTGTTTGCAATTCATTTTTCTAATAAAGGACAGAATAATGGAACCTTGTACTGTACATACACCTGTAACCTGTTGGCAAGCTTGAGTACATGTACATGTACTTGTCTACATGTTTTTTTTATAACCCTTTCAGGAATTTTTTTCAGGGCTTCATTGATCACATAATATTCTTCAAATTGGAAACAGTCATATTTATCTTTTATGGTTAGATCAAAAGTTGGAGAAAGGCGGATTTTTATAGGAAAAAAAAACATGACTTTGGATCTCTGAACGTCAGATTAAGGATATTAAAGCTTATTTTCCTTTAAGAATTCTTGGCATCAAATGCAATATAGTCATCAATTAAAAATAGATGAAGTGTGTGCACAAATTTCTGCCCTTTCCAGTCATGCATCTGGAATGTTTCTTAGGGCTCTGAAATCAATTTTTTTGAGCCAAACCACAAAATGTGGAATGGTTGTCGTTAAAGGGTTAACGAAGTACTTCCACTGCTACTTGTACATAAAACATAATCATGATAAAATATTTGTATCCAATATAAAATTTTCTTAAAACTACCTGTAACATAGAAATTTAGCTTCATATACTGTACATGTACATGTACATGTACATGTACTAAGTTAGAAGTCAGGTCTGTAAGCTACACTCAGAAAACACACATACTTTTATAATATTTAGGTCTCTTGAAGGAATTCTTTATTTTCTTCTTCACCAGTCATATTCAGAGATCCTGGCGTGAGACATGTACATGACACGTAGCCAATTCCTACACTGTACTTGTTCATGTAACGCATGTATGGATCAGTGACTCATAATCTACTTTCACCGTGACCCTAAACAAGCAGCCAAGTTTCCTCTGTATAGTTATTAAAAAAAAGTATGGAATGTATGTACATATACTACCTGTATTGTAATTTGTAAAGGAACTGGTCACAGATGGATGATTCCATGCATTGTGTACGACAATACGACATTTCAAAAATGAAAAATCTCTTGGATATTGAGTAATGTCAATAAACTTTTTTTGACACAATTGGAAAAAAGGGTATGTTTTATACAGGACACATTGTAAGGATTTGCACTAAATGCATACAAATGTAGCCTAAGCTCTGAGGTCATGCTATGGTCTTTTGTGTTTGTACTTTGCTTTTTAGACCGGGACATATTTGAATAACAGGTAGTATATAAAACCTAATTAGAAACGGTAGTGGTTGCGTTGCCAAGCACAGAGATCAAATATGGTAATCTTCATGTCCCCATACACATGTACCTCAATTTCTTGCTTTGCTGATAAACTTGTAATGATTTTAATCCCTTACATGGTTGTATGTACACTGAGCTGCAATCGATTCTCAAAAATACCTGCTTATGTAAGAAGTCACTTAATTAAATAGAAGGGTTGTTCATTTATTGTACAGTTTGAAGTAGGCTTACAAAAGTGCTTCATTGTGCTTGATTTTTATGCACTTTTAATGTACCTGCATATTGGTTAATGACAGATTTTCAAATAAACCTCACAGTAGTCATATACATGTACATGTACAAGTGTAGGTGATTTTATGTTTATTGTAGCTAGTCTGCTTCTGAACCCTTTTAACCCTTGACAAAAACTGTCATACGATATTGTCTGAGAATAGATAAGATGCTTGAATATATTCCATCAAAATAACTCCCTGGTCCTAATTCCCATGTACGGCCTCCTGCATCTTGACTTGTATTGTAAATGAGGACCATATTTACAGTCCTAGGTTCAACCATTAATCCTTTCAGCATCATACTATACATTAATTTTTAGACCTACAGTACAGATGTATGCTGTGGATAGCTAATTTAATTGGAAGGGGGTCCGGATTAAATTTTTTACGGTCAATATGTACTTCCAAATTTTGGGGGTGAGGACATGCATGTAGATTATGGGTTTCCATGTGTTACCGGGCACCTGTTAGTGTCAAGCCTAGATTTAATGTTTCAAGTCAAAGTCAGTGGCACATTGAGTTTGGATTCTGAGAAGATGTAATCCTTGGTCTATGGTATTAGAGTGATTTCTGTATTGGCCTAACGGAATGGGATTGAGAGAAGTCAGTAGTGAGTGGGTGAATTCTCCTCTGGCTCCAGTCTACATGTAACATGTTCATTAGGTATATACAGTACCCAATTCAGAAGGCAGTTGGCCCCTCCCATCTGCCTGATTTATCCTCTAATATCACATGCAGCGCTCACATGAGACATGGCCAGCATCAGGCGGCCTGCATGTGGTAATTAATCAGCTAACCTATGCCCAAGACACGGATTACTTGTTTACCAGTTAGGACGTAGCTCTTATGGAGAACACGATGTGCTCTGCTGCGCTTTATACGGATCTGTGTCCTAGGCCACAATGGAATCAATCCACCCAGGATCAACAAGTTGACCACCTCCACATTGCTACTTGGGTGTGTTTGGTGAACTTGCTAAGATACCGATACCTCTCTCAATATCTCTTGTTTGGAAGTGCAGGTACATGTACATTTATCCGGGGGGAAAGCTAGCAAAGCGGGCAAACGATAGCCCTTGAGCCAACAAGGAGGGTAGGAAGGTGTGCTTTGCAAGCTTTAGAGGCTGTTTAATGAGTTGATTTGGTGTTGTATGTCTGCTTGTTATCACCAGTGATGGGATTTGAGCATTCCCAGGAAGCAAGACGTGTATCTATTCTATTATAAAGTAGCATAGCTTGTAGGCTAAGGTACAGTTCCCCTGGTGGTATGGGAAATAAGTTTGGTTGCATCAGGAGTGCATATACAGTATGTATGTAGACTAACAAGTATATCACTAACTTAATGAAAGTGAATTGATGGGATTGGATGGTGTAGAGATTAATGGGGTTAGTTAACGTGAATTCAAGCTTGGTCAGCACATTTCCATTTAGAAAAGGAAGAAGTCACTTTAATATCATGAAATCCAGGGCATCCATACCGAAGAAAATGTAATGTTTTATCTACATGGAGGAGTGCACATTTGGATAAGATATTTGATCCATACAATTTTTATTTTTCAAGCACTCTAAAATGTACAATTTTGTACCTACAGGTAACTAATTTATTTTTTATTTTTACTGTACCGTACTTAACTGTGTATAAACAGCCCTTGTGTATTGACTGCGCTTCTTTTTTTTTTTGGGGGGGGGACTCTTTTTTGCCGACTCTGTCGGCAGCAAGCCAGTTCCATGTTAAAAAACCCACGCGGGAAGGCCTTTCATTTAACTGCGAGGTGCAGCTGAATGTGTAAGATCATTAGTAATGTAAATTAAAAAACAGTAGAGGACCAAGGATAGAACCTTGTGGTACGCCTTGTACAATTTGACAATTTGAAGGAATTATTATTATAAACTACATATTGAGATCTATCAGAAAGAATTAAAGATTACTTTCAAACCAAGATGATAGACAAATTTGAGTGTTGTTCTAGTTACCAAGTGGTGAGTCAACACACCGATTACTGAGCTGGGAGACATTGCCAGGCATAGCACGAGGTGGAGGGGCATAAATAGAAAATTAAAAAAAAACAAAAAAAACTCACCACTCAGAAAGTGGGACCAAATGTCCGGATTTCTGTTTGAACTCGGAGGAAAATGGATTATTCTGCCATCTTTGGTTTTTAAAACAGCATTGTTTATTGCTGTTATTATTATTATTAAATCGGCACCTTCAACTGCTCTTGGGTATGGTGGTGGCTATAAATTTTTTTTTTTAAAACGTGGCGTCCGAATATTCGAGTATTCGCTTGTAAGCCTAGGAGTGTACTCGGGTACCTCATTACACGGTTGTGCACAGCCTTAACATGTACAGGTTATATCAATTTTCCTGCAGTAAAATGTACCAATCACCAGAAAATATTTGTTAGTATGATATGGGTTCCATTTTTCTACACTTTATTCAAAATATGAGCTTCAAATGTTTAAATACAAACATATTGCAAGTTCAATGACATTCTCATTAAGCACAAGACAGACTTGAGAGTAGACTACATGTACATGTAGTCGACTTACCTGTGCGTTCCGTGCGCCAAGTTAGGTTGATTTTATACATTCTGGCTGTATACAAATTATTTATCAGGTGATTGATACAAGTTCCTATCAAGAAGATCGTGCAAGTCAAGCTAAAGTAATGAAGAGGAAAATGTTGGAAACTTACAATGTCAGTGACCGGGCGCAGATCACTATGTTTGCCTGTGTAATGACTTAAAGCATCATTGGAATGACACCCAACGGATATGAAGCAGGAGCAGTATGTTATCATGCATAAATCATGCAAATCCAGGAGAAACAATGTTACAGGGCAATGAACCGGTGGAAATAGTGGGTGGTGGGGGGGGGGGGGGAGGAGGGTAATCTCCCACTTAAAAAAACATCACTACATACACCCTAATTTTTGGAATGCATGAAAGATTTAAGAAATAGGATGATCTCCAAGTCTGCTTTAAGTAGCCCCAGTATTGTTTTAATAACTTGGGTGAGAAGGACAATAACTTCTTTGATAATGGCAAATCATGTGTAAACTACCTAATGTACAAGAAATAAGTCCCAATATTCCATACTGAATCTTTTGATGCCCTTTAAATGTCAGTTTGCAAATTCAGTGTTGTTTACAAAATCAATTCCTGAGTTCTCAGAAAAAATACTTAAAATACTCCCCCTGAAAAAAAATCACTACCCCTCCCCCTTCCCACCCACATACACACACTGCATGATATAAATGACCAACAAAAAAAAGCATGATGCACGAAAAATGATTTGGATAATAATGTTTTTTTCTTCAAGTTGATAAGTCTGCCATAAGTACTGGTCTGGTAGCCCTCAGCACTTTTTTAGAAAAAATCTCAGGTGAGAAGAAGAACAACTTTGAAGGTTCTTTTGGAAAATCCTGTTTGAATACTCTATTGTACAAGAAATCAATGCCTGTGTTTTCACACCGAATGTTAGGATACACTTTAAATGTCACGGTGTGGAAATTCGGCGTTGTACAGGAAATCAATTCCTGAGATTTGAGATAAAATGCTTTGAAGTGCTTTAAATGTCATACTGTCGGACATTGCGGATCACCTCCCCCTCATCTCAAGATGTTGTCTTGCATCGGTGTAAACACTTTCCGTTTGCACAAATTGTTCCCCCAGTACGACTTGTTTTGGAGCTCTCCTCTTATTTATTCAGGTTTGATTTACATCCGCGGCGGGCTCTAATCATGCAATTTGAGATGTTAACGTGCCAAGCTTCCAAAAACTTCGACCAGAACATCACATGATAATTGAATGAATGAAACTAATCTGATAAATTTCTTGATAGTTAAAAACGAGCCATTTCAAATCAAGATGCAGAATCAGAAATTCGTTGAAACTCAAATCCCCCTGGTGATAAATCTGATTGTGATGTAACAAATTAAAAGAGGAATGCAGCTATTTTACACTGTACTGTAGGCTCTTCTCTGTTATAATGTCGTTAAAGTGAATTTCATGTGTCGGAAGTGTAAAACCAGAGAATTTAATATTCAAGTCACCCCACCAAAAATGTCTCTGCACAGCCTCAAAACTGACCCACAGTGCTGATCTAGAATGTCTCTTAAATTCAGTGTTTTTATCTCACATAAATTTGCTTTTTTTCTTCTATTGATTTATATTTCTTAAATTGAATTCAGTATTATTTTCACATTCTCATATCTTTTATTATTTTCTTAACAACATACAGATGCAGAAAACTTTCATGGGATTCGATTTTACCTGCTACAAGTGTCATCATTACTTTCCACAATGAAGCACGCTCAACATTAGTTAGAACAGTCGTCAGGTGAGCAGATGATTAAGACTCAAATCTAGAATTATTTTTTTTACTTTTAATTTATTTTGAATTTCAAGCTTTCCTAATAAGCTTTTTAAATGTAACTTTGTAAATGTAACATTTGTAATGTAATTAATCTTCCTATTCCTTATTTTGTTAAAACATAGAAATTGTAAACTTTTAGGGCAGATTTTTATATTTATTAACACAATTTTTGGACAAGATTTAAGTTTTTTTTTCTGTTTCATTTTGTACTTCAGAAAGAAGAAAAAAATTAAAGACCATATGCAGAGCTGATTATCTGTACTTTCAGTATTCTCTTGCAGGTGCTTGTAAACAAGATGATATTATTGATTAGTGTTCTGTGGTTTTTGTATCTCTTATCTCTTCCTTTGTTCTTGTTTTGACGGGATGTTATCTATGTTTTTCTTTCAGTGTAACACCTTCCATCGTGCTATCTGTCTTCTCATCTCTCCTTGCTTTTGTATTTTTTCTCCTGTTTTCACTTTCTCTCTCTTTCCCTCTTTTTCCCTCTCTAACCTTTCTATCACTTTATCTTACGATCAGTCCATCTCTGTCGCTTTCTTACACCAAGATTTACCAATCACTTTCCTCTACCCCTCTGTCCCTACCTATTTGTCTCTTTCTCACTCTTTCTCTCCCCCTAATCTTCATTCTTTCCCCTCATCCTCCATTGGTTGCTTACAAGTAACACACAGTTGTTTTGGATTATGTTTTTTTCTTCTCCTGCTTTCACTCTCTCTTCTCTCTTTTCCCCACTCTATCCTTTCTTTGACTATATCTCATGATCAGTCTCTCTCAGTCTCTTCCTTGCACCAATCTTTACCAATCACTTTCCTCTACCCCTCTGTCTGTCGGATCTGTCCCTCTCTCCATCTCACTGTCCCTCTCTCCATCTCACTGTCCCTATCTCTTTCTCATTCTACGTCACCCCCCTATCTTCATTCTTTCCCCTCATCCTTCACGGGTTCCTTACAAGTAACACACCATTGTTTTGGACGTAAGAAGAGAGTTCTAATCTCGTGAGCTTTGGTTTTCTCTTTCAGTGTCCTGAGGAGAAGCCCGCCTCATATGATCAAGGAAATTATTCTGGTGGATGATTACAGTGATGACCGTGAGTATTTATCTTCCCAATTTTGTAACATGATGCTTCAACAACACCTTACATGTATGTCCATGTTCTCGAATGTAAGGTTGGTGAACCTCACTGCCTTACTCCAGAACCTAACCTACAGGACAGTAGATAATCTTTGATGCCTTTCAAGAACTTAAAGAAGTACCCAAATAGAAGGAAAAGACAGGGTTCTTTTGCTAGTTTTCTTTATATTGGATGTGTGATATTGTTCTTGTGACTGGGTTTCCTTGATATCCATTGTATATCATGATGCTCCAACAACACATTGCTTGTATGTGCATGATCTTGAATGTAAGATTGGTAAACCTCACTGCCTTACTCCGGAACCTAGATAATCTTTAAAGCCTTTTAAGAAGGAGAAAGAGGGGGTTCTTTTGTTATTTTTCTTTATATCTGATGTGTGATATTGTATTTGTTGCTGGGTATTCTTGGTATTTATTAATGCTCCAACAACACATTGCTTGTATATCCATGATCTTGAATGTTAGATCAGTGAACTCCACTGCCTTACTCTGGAACCTAACCTACATGTACACAACAGTAGGTAATCGCTGAATTTGTTTAAAGGACAAGTCCACTCGAATTTTCAAAAATCATAGCATGTTGTAAATAAATCAAAGGTTAAAACTGCCAAATATCACTGCTGTACTTCAATCGGTTGATTTTTAAGAGCGATTTCTATTTCGGTTATTTCTAGCAAAACATTTAAATTTGCCACACCGATGTCAGATTGTTGATCACGTGATGTGACGTATGGTCCTCACAACTACTAAGCGCATATCTTACATTCTGACTAGTCAAGATGCCGCTGTGCCAGGCGTACGGGTGTTCCAATCGGCCAGGGTATGGGAGTAAAAAAAGTTTCTTTAGCATCCCAAACCCATTGCAAGACAGGGAGAGATGTTCTCAGTGGTTGAACAATATTGGGACGAACAAGTTTAATATACGGACATATCAATTTAGCAAAAATAGAGTCGTTTGCGAGGACCACTTCGAGGCTGATTGTTTTCAGGAATTCGGGCGAAGGTGATGAAGTACGAGGCCCGAATGAAACTACTACTAAAACCCGATGCCATTCCTACCATCTTCTTCCACCGTCCTCAACCACCATCCAAGAGGAAATCAACAACACGACGTCGGGAAGAGTCTGAGCGTCAAAAGGTAATGTTCTTACAAAAATATGATGAAGTAAACAATTAAAAAGTACATCCACAAACGTAGATCTTGGCTTCATTCAGTAACCGTATCGTACGCGATGCCTGCGTGCCCGGGCCGCTCAGGCGTAGATCTACAGCGTCGTAGGTCTATGCGTGCGGCCGTGCCATGTGCATGTTGCTGCTAGTAACCTACCGGTACAAACAATGCGCCAGAAATGATCATTTACACTCGTCTAAATTATAGGTTGACCTTAGTAGCGCTGTGGTAAATATGACAAAACAGATGACAGATGACAAAATACTAGCTTTCCTGAGATACATTGTAGATGTTTTCCAGACTAAAGCGCAAATTATTTGTGAGGGTGTACTTACTTCTGTGGAATACTGTCTGTAGATGTAATAATAACCTGAAACATTAATGATATTATTAGTAATAAATAAGGACCGTGTTAATGATGACAAAGATGATGAAAATATTTGGTTTGGATGTATGTCTGATCTTTGGAAGACAAGCTTTAAGTCAACTGTCAATTAGTCATCTATTTTTGGCGACGAGTGTTTATTTTATTTGCATGCATTATTAATTATTTCACCTCCAGTTTAAATGATTCCATTTCACATAATATCACATTCACTAATCACTATGAACATGACACAAGAATCAACAATATTTGTGTTCAGTGTTCTTCAAAGAAGCTAATCCCTAAATGCACAAGTTTATGTACTGTTGTTCAGTACACTACAGTTAGGGATGAACTTATTTGAAAAACATTAAACACAAATAATGTCTTTCAGAATCTATATTTAAAAATAATAATGTACTTCATAGACATTTTGCCCAAATTATTGGGCTATATTTTGGAAATCTACCGGAACTAGACGGAAAATGATTCGAAACCGCAGGAAATTGCTATGGCTACGGCCTTTTAGTCAGAAATGGCGGGGTTTCTTGTGTGTCGCTGTTCCATTGTGTGGTGCATACAGTAGTCCCAAGTGTATTTATTTGTGTCAGCTTTTTAGTTTTTGTTGTCGCAAATCGACAGCAATGTAAATAAATCGACTGCTGACACTGACTGCTCATTAGTCATTGCTATTTATTATAAATCTAGAACAAATGATATGTTTTAAATGTATATTTACAAGGGTTTAAACATGTTAAGACAAGTAATGAAGGGGTTTGATAACTGTGGTCGAATTGTAAAGAACTGGAATCCTTAGCTGAGCTGAGCTGGATATTAGAATGACAAATTACAGGATAATTAATTTTATTATTTTAATATTCTCAAACTTTGGTTCTGCCTTCTGGTCAACTCAAACCTTACAGCCAGCCACAGAAATAAGCAACAATTCCTTGTGCGAGTTGTATATATTATGATTATGAACAGAGCAGAATTAAAACAAAAAGCCGAAGTTAAACACTTACATTTTAGAACTTGTGCACATCTTGAAAAATGAAGGGAAAACTTCATGAATCTGACACCTGTAACTTGTTTTCATTTAAAAATAAATTTGAAAGCAAGCCAGTTTTGGCTACCATAAATGGCTAGCTACTTTGATAAGTTCTTTTCAAATCCCCATACATTGAACTAAGCCATTTTATTCTTCTTATCATTTGTTGTTGTTTTTCTGACAGACGCACTTGACCATCGAAGCTTGCGGGACTTTGACAGACATCACACATCAGTCTCCATTGCATTCCTGGATCAACATTTGCTGGACTGAGTGGACTCCAGGCCTTTGTTCATTTTAATGGTTATTAATTTGAAGACTCATCAGCAGTTATGCTTCACGTTGCAACAAACAATCTTGAACGGGGAGTTTGGGAGAAGGACGAGAAGGATTTTGTTCAGCTTAATCCTTTCAATAAAACAAAAATCTCTGATACTCCCAAAGTTCCAAGGTGGGATTCCAGAGCTTCACACGAACAAAGCATTTATTATATTAATAGAAACATGACTGAACAACAATCATTTGTTGTTGTTTTTCTGACAGACGCACTCAACCATCGAAGCTTGCGGGACATTGACAGACATCAATCTTCCTTGTATGAAGTAGCATTTACCGAGGAAGAAGAAAGAAGAACTGTCACCTTTATACAATTTAACAATATTGAACTCTAATAATACTTTTATTCTCAGCGACACATTTTATGCGTGTGATGGTCTCAATATAAATGTCAAAGTCAGTTCATAAATAAAATATAAATATTATAAAATGCAAATTTTATTCCTAGTCCTATCGCATTTATTATTAGAAGTAGTGTTAAATAATACATTTTTTGTTTAACCGTTGTCTGTTTACTAGGCTATTCAGAAGAAACCAGAGCTGGTTTTCTTCTGGGTTAGTTAGCATGAATTTTGATTAAAGAATGTAAATTACACAGACCTGTTAAATAATAGCCCCCCACAAAAGAAAAACAATTTTTTTTTTTTAAGGATATTTTTTGCAGATTTGTATTTCATCCAGAAATAGTACCTACACAGGGTAAACATAATATAAATAGTCAAGCATTGACATTTTTTGATACGTTGGTGATGGTGATTGTGATGGTGGTGATGGAGACGGTGGAGATGATGGTGATGATGTCAGTGGTGAAGGTGATTGATCATGATGGCTATGGTGATGATGATAATGATGACGGTGATTATGATGATGGCAACGGTGATGATGTCAGTGGTAATGGCGATCATGATGACGATGATTATAGTGATGATGGCGAAGATGATCTTGATGGCAATGCTGATGGTGGTGATGATGAGGGTGATTATGATGGCAATGCTGGTCGTTACGGTTGGTTGTGATGATGGCAATTAATGGTGATGTCGGTGGTGGTGATGATCGTGATTCGTGATGGCGATCGTGATTCGTGATGGCAATGATGACGGTGATTATTATGGCGATAATGATCATGGTTATGATAATGGCGATGATGATGACGGTGATTATGATGATGGAGATGATGATCATGATGATGACGATGATGGTTGTGATTGCAATGCTTATGGTGGTGATGATGATGTAGGTGGTGACGGCGATGATGGCTATGGTGATGATGATAATGATTGTGATGGCGATGACGATTGTGATAATGATGTTGAAGATGAAAATTAGAATTCTTCAAGTTATATTTGAGCCCTTCAGCCCACCGCACACTAATATTTCTATCCGAGGGTCAAACAAACCCCGAAAATAAATTTTCAGATATATATATTCCGCGGGTCACTTTAAAACAAAATCAAACAGGAAAAAGAATAAGGGAAAGAATTTTGTAATATTTTATTTCCAGGAATACACATGAACTGGAGTAACACAATTGACAAAAGAACTATGAAATAAAATATTACCATCCTCAAATGTCTGGGAATTACCAAAAGAAATTCCTGTTTAAGGCTCTTCTCATTAGCTCATGGTTTACAAATATAAAAACACATTTCAGAACTTTTACAACCATGAAATTATTAGCAGGGATGGGAACAATCATATTTTCAATTTTAAATCACATTGCCCCCCCCCCAAAAAAAAAAAGAAAGAAGTTTGTATTTACACAAACATACATTTCATACAAATAATGTGTCTTCTTTGTTAAAATGATATCAAAGCCTGGCCAAAAATAGCCTATATAGACACTTAAATCCCCTCTTCTGTCCCTAGAGCTGGTATTCTATATTGTACTTGATTGTACTTGTGTGCGTATCTGTGTCCATTTTGTACTTTCCGTTCACTTCTACAAGTATGTAGCGCATGAATATCGTACACAATAATAAGTATGTGGGGCAATGCAAAGCCTCTACGACCGGGGGTTACGCACACGAGAGTAATTCA